ATACATATATAAATGTAAGATAATGAAGGAGCGAACCGAACCATGTAACGTCTAAACTTGAACTGATTTTCGTATGACTCATACCTCTTAAGAAGTCTCTTGAAACGACGATCTTAAAAACAATAACATAGCGAGATATGATCTTGTTCTCTCTTTCTCTCTCTCCCTCTCTATCCCTCTCTCTCTCTATCTCTCATTCGTCCTCGTATATTCATACATTATACATAACATCGTGACCTTCTTTAAAGTCATCGTCTTCTTATATTGATTTTTCCTTATATGAACGTTCCGTCACAGTACGATAATCTCGATGTGTAAAGTTTTATAGTGAAAGTTATACGATAAGAAAAACAAGATGATTAGGTAAGAAATTTCGAAAAAATTAAGAGAAGCTAAGAAATAATCTGAAAGGAAAGTGTCGCTTAAAAGAATTTGGTTGTGGGATAATAGAAAACTCTTGTCGAGACTGTTTATGCAGGAACGGGGTTTATGCGCGTGTATGTATGTATGTACGTATGTACGTATGTACACATCTGATCTCACTTTGGACGCTGTCCTGTAACGATATTGCAGAATCGTTACTTTCGAATAACGGTAGTTATCTGTCGCTTGAAAAAAAAGCAAAAGATAATATACTCTTATTACTTTGTGTGTTCCTTATTGATAATTAATAATAATGAAATTGTTCGAAATCTGTCTTATTTGCGAATAACTAATCGTTGATTATCATATTAGTATCTATAATATTAATTTTAATACAAAACGATCAAGTATTTTCTACGTTTTTTTTTTAAATAAGTAATACGTTTATTGGGCCGTTAGTCAATAAAAACAATTTTTTTTATATAATTATTTTGTTTATTTTGAAGTATTAAAATGACCATGTTTGTTGATTGTTAACGAAGAAAATTGATCAAATATTATCTTCGTATTTCTTTAAAGTATTTATAATATATACCAAAAACAAAATTGACTCCAATATTATTAATAATAATCTTCAGTTAAACTCATACGAGAATTCCATGACAATTTAACTTGATCGAGAAAAAGCACGAACAAGTTTAAAAGATCCAAGTTTGCAAAGGCGTTTCTAACGGGATCGTTTCAACGGGAGAAACGTTTAACTTGAATCCAGATGAAGAAGAAGAAGAGGAAGAAGAAGAAAACTAAACGACGTATAGGTATGTGCTTTTTAGAATCTCGTTGGCACGATAGCAGGATTAGAATAAAACAATGTCTCTCGAGAAACTTAAAGGAAGAAACACGTTCGACCTTTTCGTTCACGTCTGGCAAATTAAAATGCGTCTCCCATAAGCGAGAACGGTCCGGCACCGTTAATGGCGAACACGCCACACGACTAAATTTATTCTAAAACGCAACTAGGGTCAGTGTGCCACGATTTTTATCGAACAACAGGTGTACTTGCGACTTGGCACGTCGATCATTCGACGATGATGGCTCCTTTTATTTTTGCAAGAACTTCTTCTCGTTACTATATGTTCATTATTATGCGAAAAGAAAAAGAGATAAAGAGATAAGACGTATTCTTACGTAGCTTGTATTCTTAAAAGTATTCTCTTATTCAATGTATTTTCCCCTAGCGTTAGATCTGAAAAGAATTGAAAAAATTGTCGTTCAAAAATTATGCTATCGTCAAATTTCAACCGTATATGTATATGTATATATATAATTTTATATATACATATACTTATAAGTATAAAAAAAGAATAAATAATATTTACAATATCACTTGATATCAAATAAAAACTATAGAAATTAATTTTTACACTGATTTTTAATAACGACTAACTTTCTTACATTTTGAATACTTCACTCTAAGTATATTTATTATCTCCTTGGGCTAAAATTTTATCAATGATAATACTTATTATTAAAAGTGAAAATATTTAGTATATTGACGTCTAGAAATTTTTAAAGAATTCCTATGAATTTAAAACATCTTCCGTACATTCGCTCGTACAATATTCCATATAGTTTTAACCATCAAAATTCGTAATTTTTACAGTACAACATTCTCTTTGTCAGCAAAGGGTGAAAATCGATCGGATTGGTTAACGAGATACGTTGAAAAGCGTCACGCCATTGCGGAAAGAACAACACGACTTTATTCGGCCTCGGATAATTCAAACTTTCGAATATTTAATTTCTACGTTTAAAAGTTTGCGATCTTGTTTGCAAAATTCTCACAAAATAAAATAAAAAGAAAAGCCTCGTAACTCGAGAGAGAGAGAGAGAGAGAGAGAGAGAGAGAGAGAGAAGAGAGAGTTCTTTGTTCCTTCGACTAGTAAGAAACGGTACGAGAGTTACGAACGCGAATGGAATAGAGAAGCGATCTATGAATGAGCCCACGCTTAAACACCTACGCCCAATACCGTTCGAGCTCTGACACCACATCGAACGTGCTTGATACGGTATGACATGATTTTTGTTTCCTTCTTACTCGAAAATCTTCAAAGGACAAACGAACTAAACTTCTTCGATTTGAATAAACTACACTTTATCGATAACTCATTCAACGAAATATCTATGGCATTTTTATTTCGTACTATTCGATGTCCTAAACTATCCAAGTATGTAAAAAATAAAATCTAAATTCGAGTGAAAATATTTACTTATAACAGAAACTATTTCGGACTAATTTGAAATTAGAATATCTGACTGCATTTACAATTTTTAATAAGATTATTCATGAAATGTTTTTATAAAAATTGTTCGAAATATGTCCAACGAATGAAAAATTAAAAATCCATTCAATTGGTATCTAAATATTATCGCTCAGGAATGCACAATTGTTGTCTAAATAATCAAGTGAAACCGGTATCAGTATCAAGAGGTCACGCATGGAGTCCTATGCGGGTAGAAACGACTTACAGACAAGAGAAATTCTGCTTCCGTCTTTCTTCAAATTCAAGGAAAATCCAAGATCTATAGATACGTTTCTATCGATAGCATCTAAACAGAAATAATTAGAGATCGAAGTAGATGCCACAAATCTATAGAAACTAAATCCAAATCGAACGTAATCGATTTCAATATGTGCCAGTGTTGACCTATGACACTTAACGATATAACATGAACAGACGTGCCATGAACTCGACTCGATCTCACCGTTATGCTCGACCCATAAAAACGATCGTGGTAGAAAAGCGACGAGGATGGAGAAACGAAGTCCGAATAAAGAGAAAGAGAGAGAGAGAGAGAGAGAGAGAGAGAGAGAGAGAAATCTCAGTCGGGTCAGGAGGACGTACGGACGTTTGTATAGACATACAGAAGGACGTATAAAAGGACAGAGAGAAGGAAGGAAACTACGTCGAACGGTTTCTAAATGGTGGGCCGTTAAACACCGTATACGAAAGTACTGGAATCTCTCTCTCTCTCTCTCTCTCTCTCTCTACCTCCCTCTTTCCCTCCCACCCTCGTTCTTTCTCTCCCCCTTTCCTCTTTCTCTCTCTACAAGTCGACCAACCAAGGTCGAAAAGGGATCGACACGATAAGAGCGAACAATCGAGATCTCCGAATGAAAAGTGCCTCTTTCTTTCTCTACTTTCAAGAACTTCTCAAAGCTTAAAAATAAAAAGAAAATATGTATAATAAAAAGAAGTATGATGTCTCGAACATAGAACTTTGATCGTTCGAGCTCTAATCGACTTTGAATAAGTTCCAAGAGATCATTCGTCCATGTAACATGTGTAAATTATCTAACGAATGAACGATCATAACGCAAATCAAACTTGGCTCGAACTTTGGTTAAAATTCATTTTTCCTTTCGGTACTTTCATTATGGAAGACTTATGGTCTTCCGTGAAATTATATTTAATAGAAGACCATGTTTTTAGAATGATTAACTTTGTTACTGATATTTTTCATAATAAGAGAGTCTTTACGAGGTTGGATTATCGGACTAACCCTCAACTCCTACTAGTCTCCTTTTATGATAAGCAGAGAATACTATAGGTATATTCTATCACCGATCCGCAGGGGAAAGATATGAATACTTAAACGTATTTGAATATCTCTAGAGATTTACATAAGAAGAAACAAACAATTTGGAATTAAAAAGTTTCTCTCCTACGCTAATAAACAAAAAAGTACAAAAGTGGACCACAAGTTCCTAGGTGATTAGAAAAATCATTTACTCTTTTTTCTCAAAACTTTTTAGATTAATTTTTTTTCCGGATTAAACCTAAGGACTTTTAGCCCACTTTGTATACACCCATTAAAATACCACAAAAGTTTGCATAAACGGATCGATCGATCGATCTCGTGACTCAATTTCCGTATATCGCGGAAGAGACTCTCATTCGTTCGATGAGAATCGTCGTCAAGGTCGACGATCCACTACAAGGAATGGCAATAAACTTCGTTCCTTTTCCCCTCCAGCATTCTCCTCTTCCCTTCTCTTTCCCCGTGTCTCCTAATCCGAAGACGAGGGACGGAAAAAATATCCAGCAGCAGTCGTACGTTTCATTTTTCTTTTTGAAAAACCAGTCGTATCCAGCAACAGGAGCAGCAGCAGCAGCAGCAGCAGCAGCAGCAGCAGCAGCAGCGGTAGCGAGAGTAGCGGCAGCAGCGGCGGCGACGGCACCAACGGCGGCTTCTAGAAGAGACAAGATTGCATTCCGATGCAAGACTTCTGTGGTATCTTGAGGCGAACAAGGACAACAACGATTCGCTAAATGATATCGCTTAACTAACCTTTTACGAAACTCGAGTTACTTTCGATTTAATTTGTTTTAGGACATTTAACATCTTGGAGAGAAATAAAATTGAAAAAAAAAAAAAGAATTGATTTTCCTATTCATAAAATGTTTCGTTAACAAACGACATTTTTTAGGTCAGTAACATTTTTAAAAAAGTAACTACATAGTTAGTTATTTCTCGATCAAAGGAGAGTCCTCTGAGTCGAAGTAGGTCCCCCCTTCCTTCTTAAGCAGACCTGGGAGAACCACCTGTAGACTGCTCGAGAGGTGTTGTGTTTTCACCTGGCAGTCGAAGCTGCGATCGCGAGCGAACCGGTGTTCCGATATTCTCCTCGCTTTCTTTTAGATATTGGAGAAGTTTAATCATTTGATCATTGAGAAAACTCGATGACTCGAGAGGACGAAAAAATCAATTTAAAAATCATCACGAGTGAAGAATAAACATGATCCAATATGTGATTTAACGAATAAAACTATTATTTCAATCGTGAAGTGTTTTGAACAATTTTCCAAAAGGAAAAGTGTAACATTTAACATGGAAACTGTCCTTGAAAAAATGGGCAGGCTCAATCTGGTAATATTATAACTATTCCTAAATCGAATTGTATCATTTAAAATTGGAATACAGTGAAATTATTCCTCCAGAGAGGTTCGCTTGACAACGAGTAAACACGTTCACTCAAACCAAATAACATCTAATTCGTGTCCTAATTGTATTATCGTTTAACGTGCCGCGTTATTAAATTTAATTCTAACTAATGCCATTTAAATGTTCAGTTAACGTAAGCCTCTAATAAGAGAGTCGTTGCGTAGACGCTAGAAACATATTTTACATCATATTTCAGGAAAGATCTTTTAATTGGAGATAAAAGTAAAAACGTGTTTTTGAATCTTCATTTTTTTTAATTCCAAGTGTCTTCTTCTTTTTCTTCATCTTCCCCTTTTGTCATTGACATTCCATGTCGTGGATATTTTTTTAGTAATAAATGTAGACACACGTTGCATTATACGAACACGCGAATGAGGACACGAACGAGCAGGAAACTTCTCGCTTGGCCAATCGCAAATTACGTAAAAAATCACGTTACTCCTTCGAACGTGCGAAGGAGCCATATCGTTTCACATACATACTACGTACTTATATACTTATATACTTTCTGATGCGTTACAAAATATATCTATGATTAATATACAAGACGAATAATTTAATTCGGAGAAGCCATTGTTTCTTAATAATTATCGAAGCATTCGTTTGGGTTAGTTACGAGTTGCGAAAGTTACGAGTGAAAACTCGTCCTGGTTGGTCGTGATACGAAAATGTTGACATTTCTGTCGACGTAGTGTTTTAATTAAATCGATTTCATCTATTAAATAATTCTTTTTTTTTTTAGATCAGTACTTCAAATCTACATATATGTATATAATTTAACAAAAATAGGTTTTTTGTTGTCAAATGCCTTTTAAAAATCTTTGTCAGAAAATTTTGTTAATAATATATAAATATACAAACTTTGATGATCAACTTGTTGTATGTATTCTTTATATAAGTTAGTAACAAAGTGATAACATAAAATACTATCAAAAGTTATATACATTTGCCGTTTTATTGCGACTGCTATTAGGCTTGCCCAGGTGTGCTCTCTTGTTTGAAGAATTAACATGACAAAGAAGAAGTTAGAAAAGAACACGAAGAAAAATGAATAACTGTAAAACATTAGACATCGTTTAATAGTCAATGGGCACGCGACATCGTACAAATGATACTTAAACTTTACAAAACATTTAAAAAATATTATTTCCGAGTCAAATCCTTCTTTTGTTTAGTTCTTATCCTTTTCTTTCTCTTTCTCGGTAACAAAAAAGTTCTACGAATTTCATTGATCTGTCGATCGTTCGATCTTTCGTACAAACTGGTATTTATTTCCGATACTCTCGTTTCATTCGATATCTCGATTCTACGATAGAACGTAGTATTGAAAAAAAAATTACTATGATAACGCAAATATAAATAATGTCTTTGAAATGTAAGATAATATTCTTTTTCAGTCTAATTTCTTTTTTTATTATTTTTGCCTCTCACATATTTCTTGTTTACTCTTTCGTAAATACTTCGTAAAACAACAATAACAACGACGACGATAATAATAATAATAATAATAATAGACTGAGACAAGTTGAAATTAAGAAGCGAGTTCTCCATTCTTCTTCGTCACTATCTTTCACTTGTTCGTTTCTGTTTCTTCTATTTCCAGTCGAAAGCTCGTTTGTTAGTTCGCAGTTGCATGACGAATAACAACGTTGTCTCGTGAATATTTTCGCAAAAAGGAAACGAACGAAAGGGGCAGGGACGTTCATTACCCTGCTGAAACCTTGGGAAATTTATTTCCGACAGTAGAATATTAACCTAATCGTAATTATATATCGTAGTCAATCAATAGTGTTTCAATCGAAAGGTTTAAAGGTTAGACTATATCGTGCTTCTAATTTCATTGACTGGTCTAATACGATCTACTCTATAATTTACTACGCGAACTTAATATAGGAAGAAAATATTTAAAGGTATGTATAATAGAAATTCAATGATAAACTATTCGATTATTATGTATATATATTTATTTAGCAATTTACGTATCAGATGTGTCATCTAAAATAGCAAATGTTGCATTCCAAGTTCCGGTTTAGAGAGAGAGAGAGAGAGAGAAATTTTTAATAAATTATTGGAAGCGTTTGTTAGAATCTGTAGATCATTAAAAAAAGTATCTTGATATCGAACGATATTGCTCAAGGACATTACCTTTACGCATATCTTGATATACATACTAGCAAACTATGTATCTCGAGACTAAATCGCAAACGCTGCTAACATTTGGTTTCTTCGTATATATTTTTCCGTTTTTTTTTTCACTCAAGAGATAAGAAATTAGCGCGATAAGCTTGACGATGCCTCGGAAGAAGCTCATAGTCAGTGTCGAGCATTCGACAAAATCGTGTTAAAAAACGTTGTTAAGTGTATCTCTTCCAATGGCTTCGAATGAGGAACGAGATATCGATAGTTACGGTGAACCCGTGACGCCTCCACGTCGATGGATTTCTTATGTAGTAGGTGAACGTGCTTTGCACTATAGTTATGACGAATCATATTTTCTTACTGTTATGTATATGTATATAGTATGTCTAAAAAAAGTATTCTCTTACACTTATTTATTTTATACTTTTTTGTTTTATAATTAATTATAAAATATCTATGAATTAGAGAAAAAATCTGCTTATAGTTTTCAAACTTTATAAAATTTATTATATGTGCATGTCGTATTGTTTCTTCATATTGTATTGTAGATTCTTTTTATAAAGTAATATATTATTATAACCATGCATATCTTGGATAAAATGATACAACATAAAATATAAATAATAATTTATTATCACTTCGATACATCTGTTAGAATCGCACAAAAAAAAAGAAAAAAGTAAAAAATAATTGATATTAGAATTGTATTACTTAATGAAAAAATATACAATAAAAGAAATATGCATTTAAAAAGAAATCTATAAGTGTACTTTTTAGACTCATTGTATATCGTAGAAAAGTGAAAGAAAAAGTAACGTTACGTTAACGATTCCGCAACACGACATTTTCCTTATTTTCTCTCTCTGCTTCCTCTACAGCGTATCCTGACATAAGAATGATGCCAATTCAAACAAGTACATCGATTTCGAATTAGTCCTAATTTTTCAATCGGGTTGACAAAGTTTAATACTTTGCATGACTAAACTCTATTAACTTGAAACTAATCTCTGTCGGTATCAAGGACGCTAAAACTTATAGGAATATTATTCTTTGTCTCTGAGAGAAATGGATTAATAAAAACTTATTACTATAATGTTTTACTCGTGTTGTTTGTATTCAGAGGATTCCGAGCTGTCCTGTAAAGAGTCCACAACCACTGAAGGAGTTTGTCGGCCGCTGTCAAACGATGCCATCGAGAGTGAAGAAGTCTTTTTGCGGTTGCCTCCAAGTAAGTACATGAGTTTCCTTCCTATAAACATACTTAAGAAACGTCTCATTTACTTTCCTCTTCCTTTTATTTATTTTCGTCTTTATCTTCTTTCTGCACATCATATGAAATTATCATCATAATAATAATATCACGAAACATTTAATGATAAACGTTAAATGTTTCCGACGATATATCATATATAAATCAAATTTATCATTCATGTTAGTATACATATAATTAGTACGACATATAAGATAACTACTGATAATATATAATGACATAGAGTATAGAATGCTAATAAATGTTTTCTCATCACTCTATCGTTAATAGATACTTATGAAATAATCGAAAGACTTGACGATTATGTCAACGCAATATCGATCGTGTATAAGTGTATCATCCTTCTTTCTTTCTTTTCAAAAATCTTTTTTAAAAGAAGAAAATCCATATGGAATCTTGGTCGATAATTCATCGATACTCTCTTCACAACGTTCTTCTTCTTCTTTTTCTTTGTATCCATTTATTTTCTAGAACGCTATTACGTTGTAGTATCTTGGTATGCATCTCCGCATTCCTGACTTAAACTACAAACTATGCGGCTTCTCTTACTATTTTTTTATCTTTTTACAATGCAACGAATTATCATTGAATGATCTTGCAGAGAAAGAAGATAAATCGTCGAAAAGATACGAAAAGAAACAAGTTTGTAGACGTGTTTAACAAATGATTTTTATCTTATCTTATAGAAAGAGAGAGAGAGAGAGAGAGAGAAAGAGAGACAAACTTAGTTGATTCACCTTCGTCTAATCGTAATTAAAGAACATAACCATCTTCTATCGTAAAATTAAATTTGAATTTCAGAAAGGAATATTCCTTCCTTGTGTCAAGCTTGATAATAACTAATTCAATGTTTCGACCTTCTCCTCGGTCGAACTCAATATAAACAGTCGGATAAAATCATGTATTCAGCACGTAGTCCACAACACCTTGAGAGACCTTCCAATGTCACAACTCGGCAAACATTTTCTATACAAATTTCTTCTGGACGACACTTGTAAACAAATTAGTTTTCTTCGAATTTTATGCTTTTCGATGATATCATTACGGAAGGTTATACAATTATTTATACAATCGTAATCACAATATTTTGAAGTAATGGATTTTTAATTATTGATTTCTAATTAATCAAGTCATTTTCTAATCAGTATTTAACAGATGTTTTTGACAAATTAAATAAACAAACAAATAAATTATTACAAGGGACATTGAACTTCTTTTTTTTTTTACAATCAGTGAAAAAATATCTTAATAGTTATAAAAATATAAATCGTTCAATAATTTGAAAGATCACTCAATAAATGTAACAATTTATTTCATTCAATCGACACTCTTGAACGAAAGAAAAAAAAAATTAGAAGGGGAAAAAAGCGTCGTTGACCTCAAGCAAAGGCCAGTCGACCTTGAATGGATCCCATGTGATCCGTAAATTCTATTAGATCGATGCACCGTGGATTCACGTTAGGTGAGTGCCTCGAGGCGTGTCCACGTAGAACGACCATCCAACGATCGTATATCTACCATCCTATCTTCCTTCTAACTCTTATTTTTTCTGTCTAACGAATCTTCCCATGCGAATAAAAAAATGCATGACTGCTTTTCAGTACAACGATTCAGGAAATTTCCTCCTATAAAAAGGAAATATTACAAAGAAGAACAATATAACAAAAAATATAGCAACTTTATTATATATTAAAAAATATAGCCGGCAAAATAAGTAAGGCCAAATGTAAAAAAATTAAGAAAATACTTTGTAATATTGTTTTGAACTTGGCCAAAATTATAGTAAGTAGAAAAAAAAAAGATTAAATAAGTATAGTAAATTCATATTAAAAAGCGTTAATATCAAAAAAATTCGAAAAACCTCTGAGAAGAACTTTCTTAGAATCGACTTGAACTTGCTATTCAAAGATTAATGCTAATTTGACATAGTAATGTGGCAGTCTAATTATCGTAATGGTACTTCTCCCTCTTCTCTCTCTCTCTCTCTCTCTTTCTTTCTCTCTCTTTTGTTCTTATTTATCTTCCACCTGCTCCTAAGACTCCTTCTTCTCTTCATCCTCTTCCTCTTCTCTAAAATCTCTTCTATGGTTAGAGATGCTCCACGGAAGAAATATTAATCGCCGAGATATAATTACGCTCGTATCTTTTCTTCCCCTTTATTTTCGTCTATCTAATGCTTCTTGCATTTTCTAAGAAGCATCCAAGTCATAACGTAAATCGAACAGTAAACCGACGTACTCGAAAATGTTTTTCTACAAAATTTCTAATTCTCGTATGATCATTAAATCACTTTTATGCCTTGTCCTACAGCGAAGCTTCCTCTCGATAAAATCACCTAAACACGTGACGCGCTGAAAGGAGTAATCATATTTATTTCTGATCATGTGCGACTAGATTGAAGCCGAGTTCATTCTATTCTCTTTTATCTGTTTTTCTTTGTTTTCTCTTTCTCTCATACATATTGAAATGCAATAGAAATAAATTTTTTCGATTCAAACTTTTTTATAATCATTTGATTTGTTGACCTAATAAATCTCTTTGAAGATGCAGAAAGACGTAATCGTGATCGCGCACGACATAAATCAAGAAGTCGCAAACGGCCAATGCGAATAGGTAATTTCCTAGTCACGTGTGAAAGTACCTTTGGAATCCAGCGCCCAAGCCGGTCTCCTGACCTTTGCCGTCCCGTTCGATGGAGTAGAACGAGCAAGCTTGTATCGGAGAGATGCTGCATGGCCATCTCTTCTTGTCAGCGTTCCATTTAGAAAGAAAGTCGGCATAATCTCAATAGAAGAGAACGAATTACGTATTTCTAAATATGCGAACATCAACGCTATTATTTATATATATATATATATATATATATATATATATATATATATATATATCAAAAGATATTCAAGACTTATTTTGAAAGTCAATTTAAAAAAACTTAATTTGTAAAGAATTGCTCTTAACCAGAGAAAATTTATTTAAAATGAAACTCTTTCAGTTGTGCCAAATAAAATCGATGAAATTTCTCGAATTTACGTAATTCGAAGAAAAATGCACTTTCTTTTCTTTCTTCGACCATATCGACTGCAATCGATAGAAATGCGAAATGTAGAAACTCCGAACTGCGTAAAGCGATTTTTTTTATCTAGATATAACACCGATCATCCTATTGGCCGGCTGACTGCGGTTAAAACTCGCTGTCATACTCAATAAGGTCAAGACCTGCTTACGTAGCCTCGATCGGGTTTACTGTTGAACGCTAACGTTTCCAAGCTCTCATCGTTGATTCGATTTTGTTGAGACTCAGTCCTCGTTATTTTTCGACAGGATGACGAACCACCGGAAATCACGTACTGTGTGGTGGAACACACTGGTACGCTCACGCTTCAAGCAATGACACCGACTTTACCGATGCCAGCTGAAGAAGAATTGAACAAGATGTTCCTTGAGTTGGTCGACGAGCTCGATTTGACGCAAGCTAATCGACAAGCAGTTTTGGCACTTCCGGCTAATAAGAAATGGCAGATATATTGTTCGAGAAAGGGAAATGGAACGCTTGAAAATGGAGGCTTGAGAACCACTGATCTTAGCGGGGATCCTGACGATTATATCGATAGGATCAGGACAATTGCAAGTGTAAGGTTAAATTTTATTTTTCACTTTCAATCAATTTTACTTGGATCCTAAATTAACTGCAGTTGGCAGTTAATGTGACAATAATAAATTTTGTCGTTTTGCTTGTATCGGCGAGGAGGACAGAAAGAAAAAATGTATTAAAAATGGGGACAACCAATTGTCAAGGAAAAAGTAAACGTAGGAAAAAATTGATGACCCATAACCGACCAAGATCGCTTCATTTCAGAGTCAATTTCCAGAGGAAGGAGAGGATGCAGCGATACGAATGCGTCAAGTAGAAGCTCTAAAGACAGCTCTGAGAACGCAACCGCACAGCTTCGTCCTAAGGTTCATCGAACTTGATGGTTTGAACGCTTTACTGCAGGTTCTAGAAAGAATGGACGTGGAGGCAGCCAATAGCAATCTTCACACAAGCGTGATAGGTTGTTTAAAAGCTTTGATGAACAATTCGGTCAGTTTTTGAGACTTAACCGATCGATAGTTATCACCTGCAACAAAGACGAGTTCGAGGGATTATCGAAAAAATTATTTTACAGAATGGCAGGGCACATGTGCTGGCACATCCCACAGCAATCAATACCATATCTCAATCGCTCGCAACGGAGAACATAAAAACAAAAATTTCAGTATTGGAAATACTCGGTGCAGTTTGTTTGGTACCTGGTGGTCATCGTAAAGTTTTAGAAGCTATGCTACATTTTCAACATTATCATTCCGAGAGAACACGTTTCCAAAGTATAATAAATGATCTCGACAAAAATTTTGGTATCTACAAGGACAATCTCTCTCTCAAAACGGCTATAATGTCCTTCATCAACGCCGTCCTTAATTATGGGCCCGGTCAAGTCACTTTAGAATTTAGACTCCATCTCAGATACGAATTGCTCATGCTCGGCATTCAACCGATTATTGAAAAATTGAGGAAATATGAGAATGAGACGCTCGACAGGCACCTTGATTTTTTTGAAATGGTTCGTAACGAGGACGAGAAGGAATTAGCTAGAAAGTTTGAAAAGGAACACGTGGACACTAAAAGCGCAACGACCATGTTTGATTTGTTGAGGCGAAAACTCAGTCACACAGCAGCTTATCCTCATCTTCTCAGTTTGTTACAACATTGTTTACTGTTACCACGTAAGTTTCAAAACAATTGAGTTGAGGCGACGGATTTAAAAAACAGATTTAAATAGAATCATTGGATCATTCTCTTTCCATTCCAGTCGATTATGGTTCGCACCCACAACATTGGCTACTTTTCGATCGAATCGTCCAACAAATTGTCTTACAGACTGAAGGAAACGAAACAGGGATAGCAAAAAATCCTGACATTGCACCAATCGATATCAACGTGAAGGAAATCGTTCATCTATTGGCCAAAGAAGAGGAACTAGTTGCTGCCAGAAAGAAAGCTGAAGAATTGGAACGTGAAAATTCTGATATGTCAACGAGATTGGCTAAAAAAGAACAAGAACTTGATTTACGAACACAAGAGAAGGTAAGATTATAGAAAATATTTTTTACGATCAACTCCATCAAAAATCCACCAAAGGGAACCATCAAAATCCCTTTTGTAGGAGGACATGGAGGCAAGTTTGGCAAGGATCAAGGAACGTCTGGAAAAAGAAACCTCGATGCATATAGAGACCAAACAGAGAATATCAGAGTTACAGGATAACCTCGAGATTTTGTCGCGGCAAATTAATAACGAAAAGTCCGAGAGAAAACGATTGGAACAATTGGTAGCATCGGGAAGTTTACCGGACGATGCCAAAGCTACTTTAAAGATCGTAGATGATGAGGTTCTTGAAAAAGTCGAAGCCAAACCGATGCCACCTCCGCCGCCTCCACCGCCTTTGGCACCGCCTCCTCCACCTTGTTTAATGCCAGCTGCTCCACCTCCGATGAAGGTAATATAAAATACAGTGTCTGAATAATGTTTTTAAATATATAAAATAGAATGAGAGATTAATCTTTGTTATTGTTTTAACAGGTTGAGATAGTAAAAAACGTTCCTCAACCAAGCAATCCACTGAAATCCTTCAATTGGTCGAAGATACCAGAACAGAAACTCCAAGGTACGATTTGGTCCGAGCTAGACGATACGAAATTATACAACGTCATGGATTTAGAATCGATCGACAAGATCTTTTGTGCCTATCAGAAGAACGGTGTATCCGCTGAAGGTTCCATCGAAGATCTTCGTACTTTGGGAAAGAATAAGAAAACTATGTCGGTGATCGACTCGAGAAGAGCACAAAATTGTACGATATTATTGTCGAAACTTAAATTGTCTGACAACGAGATCACCAGAACGATACTGTCGATGGACCAACAGAATATATTACACATTGATATGGTCGAACAATTATTAAAATACATTCCGTCATCGGAAGAAGCTGCTCTTTTAGATATGCATCAAAAGGAATTACAAAATAGGGCTGATTGTTTCCTCTATCAGATTTCGAAGTAAGATATGCTTTTTTTTTCTTTCATTTCCTTTGATTTTCATTGTTTTTTGTTATCATTAGAGAAATTCTCATGAAAATATTCTTTCAGAGTTCCTCACTACGAACAGAGACTTAGATCGTTACACTATAAAAAGAAATTCTCAGCTAGTATAGCAGAATTAACGCCAAGAATGCGAGCGGTTCTTGAAGCTAGTCGTCAAGTTGCAAGATCTAGAAGACTCAGGAAACTATTAGAACTGGTTCTAGCTCTTGGGAATTATGTAAATCGCGGAAATGCTCGCGGTAATGCTTGTGGATTTCGATTAGCTTCTTTGAATCGTCTAGTCGATACGAAATCTTCTTGCTCAAAAGGCACCACCCTTTTACACTATCTCGTACAAATCCTTGAATCAAGGTTCCGTGAAGTTTTAGATATTGAAGAAGATATGCCACATGTTAGGACAGCTGCTAGAGTTAGCATGGCTGATCTTCAAAAAGAAGTGGCTAACTTGAAGAATGGTTTGCAAGACGTTCAAAGGGAAATTGGTATGTATGTGTGACAGACAATAAATATATTTTAGTCAATCTTAAAAAAGAATTATCACACGTTTAATAATTCCTTCTTTTTTTTTTAGAATTTCATCGAGGCCAATCTCAGGTATTGCAAGGTGACATGTTTTTACCAGCTATGAGAGACTTCCAGGCGCAAGCCACATGTAGATTAGCCGAAGCTGAGGACTTGTTCCAAGATATGAAGACTAGAGTAAGAACAGATAATCTTTTACCTCTTCAGAGATGATTTTCATTCAAACAATCGATTTATCTTATTGGAATTTATTCTCGTTATAAAGCAGTTTCTAATAAAAATTCTTAGTTTTATTATCATTCTGCATGATAAATTGTTGTGAAAGTAATTTTAAAAACATTATTCCTTTTTTATACAAATTAATTATGAATTTTAATAAATCAACACAGTTTGACCGAGCTGTTAGACTATTCGGTGAGGACTCTGCGGGTGTACAACCAAACGAATTCTTTGGTATATTCGAAAACTTCCTTCAAGCGCTTGCTGAAGCTAGACAAGATGTTGAAAACATGAGAAAGAAGATCGAGGAAGAAGAACGTCGTGCTAAACAGGAACAAGAGGTATTAAAAACGAAATTATTTAATGAATTTCTTGAAGATCACTTTTTCTAATCATTCCTTTTCAGCTGCGGAAAAGAACAATGGAAAGAAAAAATTCTCGTGAAGGAATATTAAACAGTATATCATTAAGTAAAAAGAACGAAACTAATGGTAATCAAGGAGACAACAAAGGTGAATTCGACGATCTAATTTCTGCGCTTCGTACCGGAGATGTTTTTGGCGAAGACATAGCCAAATTTAAAAGATCTAAACGTAGGCCGGTAACACCATGTGGTCAAGAATCACGTAGACATAGCGCTCATAGGGAAGATTCACGAGAACGACATTAGACTGTACCGAATTTATTTTTATTCAAGGATAACAAAAAACATAAGATAAAAAGAAGAATAAAGAAAGATAGAGATAGAGAAAAAAAAGTTCATCAAATTTCGATACTAATTACATCGAAATATGACTTCAAAACTCTTTTAAAAGGATAAACTCGAATGTCAATGAGAATCCTAATGATTAATAACTACCCTAACTTGTGATTATAATTTTAGAAATGACGAGTCTTTATATAAATTGTATTTCACGATCGGTGCTACGTTGATCGTTTCCTAACATAATTCACAGACTGCGTAGATAGATTGTATTCGCTTTTTAAAATCAAAGAGAGAGAGAGAGAATGAAGATCCGGCATTAAAATATGAATTATAAGAATCGATTTTCTTTGTATATAGATCATAAAGTTTTCGTGTTTGTTTAGAAAAAAGAAATGTTCAGACCAAAAAATCTTACCAGCTAATACGAATCAAAAACACTTTATCGATATTGATACTAAACAAAAAAGGGACTGATATAATTGTAACCATTTTTTTTTTCTTTTTAACCAATGTTATTCATTCAACAGGAAAAATATTGGAAAAATGGAGGCCTATAATCACAGCATTTGTTGTGTCGAGTAATCCACAAGTCTGAATTTTCTATTGTTGTATTAAAAAAAAAAAAAAATATATAATACACCGAGAATTTATCATCGTCAAATTTTGACAATAGAATTCGATGTTTAGAGACAAAAAAAGAATAAAAGAGACGAAAGAAAATGGAAATTAGTAAATCGCGCTGTATAGAAATCGGTGTTTTGTAAGCTTTTGTACTTTTGTAAATATACACTAATATCGATGTTTATTTCTCGCAAAAAATTTTTTTTCTTAAGAAAACTTTTTTCTCGCGAGAATCTCGATATCTGATTTAATATATTAATTATATATTACGCGTCTCTTACTGATATCACTATGTATTAATATTTGAAAAAATATATCTAATAAAAGAGTAAGATACGAATCAAACTTTTTTCTATTAAGAAAGAGAGAGAGAGAGAGAGAGAGAGAGAGAGAGAAGAGAAATCCCTTTTTACGACATTAATGCTGTAATTTACGCTTATCGTTATATAAATGATATACACACAAGTACGTAAACACATGTACGTTTTAAAAATTTGTAGAGCACTACGTATTTAATAAGAATTCATAATGATAATGATGTTTAACTATAAAAACGTGAAATATACTCTCAAATGTACTTGCATTGAATATCAGTAATATAGTAAATATTATTTTTCTTATCATTTGATGCAGTATTGCGATTATTGCAAATCATAACATTTTTTTCAGATGGCACCACTAGCCATTTCAGATGACTAAAATAGACAATAGTTCTTTGATTGTATGATTTTTATATGATGACGACATCTAAGGAAATAGTATTATTGACTATAATTTGAAAATTCAAAATAATAACTATATTATCATCGTGTGGATGGTAAATGCATTTACATTGAATGTCGATAAAGTAGTTAACTGCAATTCTTCTTATCATTTGATGGAATTTCCAAGGATGAAAATTAATGCGACGATTGAAATTTCACATTATAATTACTTTTTACTTATGATATAATAATTTATGAATATATAATGCTTATATATAATTTTTACATATAGTAAGTACAAATGTAGCTCATTCAATAACATAACATTGTTATTGCATTCAATTATTATTTAAAGTAATCAGTAAACATAATTGTAAAAAGATATTTAAAAGCACAGTTATAAACAAAAAAAAATATAATGACGTACTATATTTCAACCTGTGATTTCTTATTATACTTATTAATAATTTAAAATTAGAATTACTAATCTAATTCTTTACCTTATCTACAATTTTTATTTAGCATAGAACAGCAGTTAATTGTTGTTAATATTATGAAGCATAAGAATTAGTTAGCTATTTATCTATTATGCAATAAAAATAAGAAAATCTTAATACTATCATCATTTCAATTAGAATGTTGATTAAAATAATATAATTAATTTATTATTACATATAAGTTGTATATTTCTTTCTATTGAAGACATCTGCTATGAAACTCTGACATTAATTTATATTGAAAAAACATTTATAACAATTTATAACTTGAAATGACAAAATAATTATATGATAAAATTATTTTTGCAATGACTTATTGATAAACTAATAATGGAGAATTAAAACCTAAAAATATTATTTTAAAAACTACAATAAAAAGGTTTTGAAATTTTGTGTATGGATATAACTGTAAAAGATATTATTACATAAATTATTTTGACATTCTTGAAAAATTATAAAACACTTTAAATATCATAGATTATAAATAATTAAGTACAAATTAGTGGAATGTTTATGCTATTAATGTGAGATAGTACATCTGCAATTGTATTATTATCATCTTTCACATAGCTATGTCAATGGAAAGTTATGAGATATAATCGAGCTGTTGTAGTCGACATTCCGATCCTTTGTCCAGTTTTTATTTGAAGGTAAATATTGGGTTGGCAACTAAGTGATTGCAGATTTTGTCGATAGATGGACTTTACACTTTCCGCAATCACTTACTTGCCAACCCAATAGTGAGTGGTTTGTAGTCTATTTTAATGACAAATTGATGGCAATCAACCAAGTGATGGAAAAATTTGACTGATGAAAAAATGAAAAAAGTCATTGTATTATGAAAATAAGAGAAAAAATTTGGAATAGAAAGCGTCCCCTTAAAACGGGTCCCCTTAAATTTTATTTTCATGAATATATTTTAAACACAACAATATTTCGTCTGGCATTCGCGGTCCCATGAAGATCACGTTTAGTTATCTATTGAAATATATGGAGATAAAATATACGTTAAAGAAAATCGAGTAATTATCTGAAATCAATGAGGACATGTCAAATTGATATCCACCGGATGAATATTGCATTAGATTACTGCGAAAGAAATTGAATAATTCGCTCTGCGCATGCGCATAGCGTTACCTTAAATCCATTTCGTGCCATGTGTGCGTGTATATGAAAATCTAATACGAAATACGATATGTCGTGGCCAATTAATGAACAATTATTAATTAAATCATCGTAATAAGGCAAAATAAGTACTTCGATATTGCAAAAGTAAAAACAATAAATACGATTAATGAAATATAAATGATTACAACAAGGTTACAGAGTAACCGCTTTACTTTTGCGTGCTCGTTTTTAGTTTGCTTTCTTATTTATTTTTCCCTTAACCGCAACTATGCAAATTTCCTTTACCTATTATTAAGAGAGTTAAACCCGTACAAGGAAAAGAAATGATTGTAAATATAGCTAGAAAGAGCTATTTATTAAATTTCGATACTTTTATAATTATTTTGTAAGAAATACAAATATAATTTTTTTTAATTGCATTATTTTATTATTTATAATTTTCAATTTTATCAAGGTATACAAAAATATTGTATATAGTGACTTAAAGAATTTTAGTATTTTAATGTAGGTTTCGACCGCAAGGTAGTGCTTAAAAGTGATACTAGCGCCGAAGAAATCAAGCATAATACGATCAAAACGTTCTATCTTGATTTACCTCCTTTATAATCTTTTCTATGCCAGATATGGTTCATTTGAGAGTTAAAGCAGAAAGAGTGAGATAGAGAGAGAGAAAGCATATTTAAATAACAATTTATATTGAGATAACTTGAATGTGATCAAAGAAAATAAAAATTTCTTGCTGATCTTAAAGTACGTTTATTGCAGTTTTGTTGGTTGCAAAGTTTATTAAGAAGACTATAAAAGACTACAAAAGTGAGCCTGCGAATATCTATATTATTAAATTTTCAACTATAATGACAAGCAAATCAAAAGTTTTAACTACTTTCGTCCGCAACTATTCAGCACCGAAACATTGGATTTCGGATGCAGTAAAATATGAAAAAGTCAAATATTATCCAAGGTATGAAATAACAAACGTAATCTGTATCGCCATGGAACTTAATTTGGAACCATTGATTTCAGATCCCCAAATCATGAAGATCCTCCAATTATACCATCCAAGCTTTTAATGGTTGTATTAGTAAAACCTTTTGCCGGTAATCCTTATTGGGAAAAAAATATACTTAAACAATTGGGTATTGCAGAGAAAGTAAGAAATTTTATAAAACATTTTAAAATAACTTTTATAATCCGTATTATTCTAATTTACTATTTCTATATCTGTATATAGGGAAGGGATCCTGTGATAGTTAAAAATATTCCAGAGATATGTGCAATGTTGTGGAAAGTAAAACATCTTGTCAAAATTACTCCTATTAAATTACCAGACAAGCTGCCTAACACAGATGATTTTGGTGCAAGTTATCTACATGAAAATGGAACCTTCTATGTTGTTCCCAAAATAGATCCATTGCGTATAGCGAGCACAGAAAAATTCGAAAATGATCCAAAAAAATTGGAAGGCCCGAAAATAATAGAAACGTTAAGATTACAGTGGTTAAATGGTACTTTACCTTAATATAATAACAAATATAGAGAGATTTGTAATTTCTATTAACAGGTAATATAAAAGTAGTCGCTGAACAAATAATATATCATTTATTCATGTATCATACGTTATAACTTACAATTTATATCCTACTAACCATAACGTTAAAATCTCGTCAAATTTCCAGTTCTGTAAATGGTACGTTAGGACCCTATAGAAATAAAGGATGCGTGCCGCTTTAGATCAGTCGTGCGGTCCTATACTGCGATATTACATACGTTAAAACTAATTATAGAAAAGGAAGAAGAAACAAAAATGATATTAAGAAAATCTAAGTCTATCGAAAATCTATCGAAAATATGTCGATTAAGACTCAATTAGTGGTGCCTTACATCGAAAGAGAATAAAAGTAATTTGCTAGGCCGTAATCGCATCTTTTGGAAAACTTTTATGTACTTGCGCGCATAATAAGCGTACTAAGCGTACTGATAATGCCAGAACACGAGACCTTTTCTGCAACTCGAATATCGTCTGATTGTTAATTGTGCGCAAGTAGCCTTTGGAATTTATCATTTTATCTGAAATGCTAACATCTATAATGAAATCGTCAACTCGATATCCTATTTGTAGACTAATCTCTATGAGAAAACAACTCCTGATATAGTAAGTAAGTAGATTTGAAAAAATTCTAACAACATGATCATTTTGGAAGTCCTAGTAATGAAGAAAGAAAGGGGGAGAAGAGAGATAAAGAGAGAGACAATAATCTCTCGTTGTCCTATTTAAAATTCAAGTCGAACTCGATCGCCTACGACTCCGAAGCTTCCAAAATCGTCTATCTCTGGACGTATGGTGAATGCAGATTGTATTATGCGCATTTGTAGTTTTCTCAGGCATATACATCTTTAACAATCTTGCTGCTCGTTCTTCTTGCGACCGATCATACGCTTTGCCGCTAAGGAAGCTCAGTAATTTCAAACTACGTCGTTTTATTCTCAAACGATTTAAAAAATTAGTTTCCGACGTCTCGATGGAATTACGACCGTTATTCTGACTATAGGATTCCTCTCCGAGCTTGTTATTTGATTTTCTTATCATAAATTCTAATTGTTTTCTATGATCGTGCTGCGCATCCAACTTCCTGTGCCTACGTCCGTCGGTCGCAATCGCGGCATAAGCTTCCTTTTGCAATATCTCAAAACTTATTTTTTCTGCATTTCTGTTATTAGATTCCTCGGCTCTTCTCGCGACCAATTCCAATTCTTTCAAACGATCTGCCTCCTTGACATTCTTCGATGAGTCCGGTGATGTTAATTCAAGTTTTGAGGCTTCGTCTACGTCGGACAGTTTTCTATGAAGATCTACAATTTTACGACGAAACTCTTCGTCTTCTTGGCTCAACTTTGCAAAAATACGATCTCTCTCGATTACATCGGAACTCGAGCTGACGTTTTTCAACGTAGTCGATTGCAACCTCTGTCACCACCATCCAACTTGATGTTTTCCACTTCCAGGGGAATCCTCCTCTTCGAGTAAAGGCTCCAGTCTTCTTCTACTTAAGAAGCAACGTAGCGAGCCAAGGCTACCTCCGCCAAGTAATTGATCCATGCTTAGTTCGGGCAAACCGCAATCCTCGTTATCCGATTCTTGATCGTGATCTTCCTCCGTAGATAAATTCAGACCATAATTGTCTTCTCCGGAACCAGTCAAATTGCCGGTCCCATTTGGCGGCGGCTAGGGAAGTCAGGCACAGCTCGGGCTAATGATTCTTTGCAAACAGAGGGCAAGCGAGTCATGCAAAGGCGTGCGAAGCTTACAGGCTATATTAGATGCTTACAGGGAAGGTACGGGCTTTGACAAACAATAGGTATTGTATTGTAAGAGCCAACAGACTAGGACCATGTAGTCACGTAATAGCAGGTATGTTTCTTACGATTGCATCGGAGTATTTAAAAGAAAAAGCAACGCATGTCACTGAACAAAGTTTAGTTTCGGACTTTAGCAAAAATATTTTTTATTTTTAGTTGAGACGTAGATAAGAAAAATGGAAATTCTATTAGTAGGTTTAACTTTGTGATCATAGAAGCGCGTTACGCCACTATTCTTTATGCAAAAATATTTTTGACCAAAGCGTAGCCGATACCTTCCGCGGAATACAAGTGTGTGTATGTATATAGTAAGTACTAATATTATTATTAATTATTATAATCAAGTATATTACAGAGCGAGTGTGTGTGTGAATGGGTGGCTCTAGAAATGATTACCGAATGTGTCGTAAAACTCTCGTCGTCTGGACCTCCGGAGGTTGGAGTACCCCAAATATCATCTCCCGAAGTTGCACCCGACGTAGTACCCTCCTCATCGTTAGGATCAAGAGAAAATTCTGTCCTTTCTGGAGGAACAGGCGGTTGAAGAAGGTAATCGCCAACCCCTTCGCTAAATTGCTCCAAAAGAACCATCTTGCTAACAACATAATTACTAGCTCTTGCGGTCCAAGCTCTCAGACCCGAAGGTGGTGATTCTGTCTCACGATTTTCATCGTCTCCTTGCTCGTCCAGCTCATCGTCTTGGTCCAAACTACTCATCGTACCGAATCTTCTCAACGTTCTACGTAGAATCGAGATTATCGTAGAAGATAATAAAACGGATTGATATAAACAGAAATGTTTATCGAATGATAGACTAATATCTACCTGTAAGGTGGTTCCCCGTCGCAGTCAAGATCATCTTCGCTTCCATCTTCCGTATTACCGTCGACAGATGCATAATTTGGACTGTTACGTCCTGGACTATCGTGTAGGCCATTTCTTAATCTATGTCTCGCCGTATAAATATCTGGCGTAGGTGGCATGACAGATATTTTAGGAGGTAACGGAGAGAAAGGATCTCTTGGAAGAGGCGGCGTGGGGCAGCCAGATCTGAAAGAAGAAACGAAAGAAAAAGGAAGACAAAGAAAGGAAAAGAAGAAAAAAAGAAAAGGAAATTTAATTAATTAATATTGGCACATGCTATATCATATGATAATCTTAAATATGGTAAGTACTTCATTTAATACATTGGATTATCGGTAAGGCATATAACCTATGACATCGCCTACAGATGTTGATAGAACTCGTAGAGTTTTCTTTCGAGGATACGTAGCTCCCATTTTTTCTTGCCGTAATACTATTGGATTTGACTGTACTTAAACTGGCACTGGAGGCTGTGCTCTGTTGCTCTATGTCCGAATTCGCTGTTACGACTTCTTCTGCCGTCGTCGTCGTCGTTGCTGTCGTCGTCGTCGTAGCTTCCTGAATGGATCTTTCGTTCTTTTCTCCGGGTGCTCTTGCAGCTAACTCTTCCGCAGTCCATTCCTCGAGGGAGCCTTCGTTATCGGAAGGCGGTATTTGGTGAGAATTGCGCACCCATTGGGCCAAATGATTGTCCTCTCGCGTATTTTTCAGAATATCGGCAAGACTTTCACTCGAATTACATTCCTTTTTTTCCTCGTGCTTATGCGAATCCCGTAATCCCATCTAATTTAAGAGGGAATCGTATATTAAAGAGCAAATAAATCCGATATCTCGAAATCCTTCACTTTTATGCCAATTCACCACCTTACCCGCGGACTTTCCATCGATTCTCTAACGTGAGCAAAGTTGGTGCTGGTAATCGGACTCTCCTCGGGGCTGCCAACACTCGATGTTCCACCATAGCCTGTATTTAGATAAATTCTAAAATACAAGGGATTAGTGTAAACAATGTAACTTTGTGATATAATCTACGATCCGAGTGATTCGGGCAACCACTTAGAAAATAAAAGTAGGCGCTACTCACATTTGTCGTTGAAGCAAGTTATGCCAAACTGCTTTGAGCTCCGGGCTAGGAGCTCTCAATACGATGACTCGTCTTCGAGGACGACTATGGGGACTACAACCTCCGCTGTTTGTCATTTCTGCCTGACCGTTCTCAGTATTACCATTCGAATTGATTGCCACTTGTAATCTGAATTCTGTCGGCCTCTTTCTAATGGTAAAACACGCTTCTGCAATATTGGCCAATCGCAGAGGTTCCTCAGTAACGAAAAGAACGCGATCCCTCGAAACGCGAGCAAAGACCAATAAGTCGGTAAGAAGGAGCGCCCACGATGGTTGCAAACGAGCCCGACCTTCGACCTTCGCTAGGGCCCCGCCGAAAAGCCTGTCAGATAGAATCAATCTGTCAGAAATTTAGTTCGTAAATAATCATAAGTGACAATCAACTGACCATTGTCTTCCTGGCATGGCTAAAGTAAACGGTTTGCATTTTGCGAAAACCAATCGCGACTCGACTTCCTGTAAACTAAGTAAAGGTCTTCCGGTGTCGCGCGGTGGTTCCATTACGCCTGCATTAGCCGTTGATTCTCTGTAGCCTTGTGCTAAATCTCGAGCTTGCTGACAGTTTCTTGGCGATGCCAGACTCAGTAATCTCGTCATTTCTCTAAAACGCAACCACAAATAAAAGTTATTCAAAGATTACTTGAAACTTATTCAAACTTTGGAATAAGCGCTACAATACTGGCGCGATGGAACTGGCGTAGAGACGAACCTATAATGCTCTAAAGGAAGCAAGAGGATTCCCGTAAGGTCAGGCCGCCTTTTATGAGGAACGGCAGGTTCACAGACTAACTTAGCAAAGGCCGTATTCCGTCTGAGTGCAACGAGCAAATAACAGGCCCATTGCAGTCCACTGAGGTATCGTCTGTAAGCGGCCGTGATCTTGGGTACTCTGCAGAGATAGCTATCGGTACCGCCACCCTCGTCTCTAATCTCCTCGGATATCTTAAGTAATTCGTCTAGATTTTGAAAGAGGACCATGTAGTCCGCCGCGGAGAGAACGTCGCGCCTTTCGGCCAGCGGCGTCATGAATCTTGTGTGACCGCTCTTCAGAATCCCCCGGTATCTTGCCTCTCGTACCGATAACTCTTCCTCCGGTGGTGCATCCGGAGCAAGATTCGGAAAAACCTGATCACGTAGACGTGCAAGATTTTCGTCCTGTCTTTTCGAACTACTACCAATCGAGAGACCGCATGCATTAATGTCCTTACCTAAGAATATTCTTATTTTTCAATAAACTGATCAGCTACAAACATTATTGCTTATCAACATTATAATCTATGATCTTTAACGAAATTGTAAAAAGGGTCGATCTTTTATATAATCGTATCCAAAATCTAACAATGAATCGATCTATATAGTGCACATATAGTTATATATACATATGCATATATATATGTGTATGTATATCGATCGAAGCAATCATGCGAGTGTAATATTCTGTTACATAACTCGTGACGAAAAATTTTGCTACAATATTATCTTTCGACCTGCATGCAACAAGAGAAAGTATCATTTCGACCTAATTTCATACTATGATAATCACATTCTCTCTCTTTCTCTCTCTCTCTCTCTCTCTCTCTCTCTCTCTCTCTCTCTCTCTCTCTCTCTCTCTCTCTCTCTCTCTCTCTCTCTCTTCTCTCTCTCTCGCTCCCTCTGTATCCAAAGATGCATACACACCTACATGTACTCGTAGTTTAATGTCATGGCTAAAACACGGGGAATGGATGAGGATGTGTTCAAATAAATGAAAATAACAACGAGTATAGTTTAAAACAAAACTTGTTGACAACAACAAAAAAAAAGAAAAGACAACCGAACAAAGTACAAACAAGATAATTAGATCATAAGTTAAGAACACGCTTACCACAAGAAACGCGCGAACGATCGCTATGAGAGGTAAGGAAGGAAATGCACTATACAAAATATGGACCGTGTAAAACAAAAAAAAGCGTTTATCAGTCAACCAAATGAAAAAAGAAAAAAAGAAAACAAATACAAAACGTTCGCCGTTCTTTTCGCCTCGCGGTTCTGTAGATCGATTTTAACGATAAGGCGAATAAAATGATTGATGCTCCGATAATGCTCGGACACGTTCGCTTTTATCAATGAAAATCGAAACTTTTCAATGTCATCGAGCGGCAAGCGATATCGCGATAACGATAGGAACGAAAGAATCAAGCGGTTTTAAAACAGCGGTATTGTCATCGAGCTCACACCAGAACGCCGATACCGACCTCGGCGTTGAACGCGACGGCGTGCTGACTAGCGGGACCGACAGTTTGTTGAAGAGAGACATTCATCGAGTTGGGCCTCTGCTGTGACGAATGAATGCCTCCCTTACGATAAACCTCAAGGATGAGCTGATTCGTTGCCGCCTGGATCAAGCCCAAAATCTCGTCCCTCGGTTTCGTTACAACGTTCGTTGTTTCGACGAAGACGACGTAATCGCCTGGTTTCAGACCAGATCTTTCCGCAGGACTTCCTGAATCGACGCGCTCCACACGTGGCGGTCTGCCCCAGGATAAAGAGAAACCCCATGGCACCTGGTAAATAAGGGATACATATCGATCATATCGCGATATTATAGAAACCAAGGCACACAGTTAAATCTTTCAATGTTTTTTCCACTCTTCCTTTCCCAATATATGTCGATATCGTTGACATCGTCGACATTGTTACTATAGAAAGGATAATATCTACATATGATACCTGATTCACAGCACTTTGTCTAATCAGTCTTCTGGTTACAGTACAAGGCGTTCTACCACCTCTCGCGGTAAAGCCTGGATGTAGAGGTAAGCCGGTCAGAGGATCGACTGGTTCCAACTCAAGATGTTTTAAATACGTCAAATCATCCCCACCGGAATTGTTGTTATCTGATTCTCCATCCTTGGATAAAGGCGGCGAGACTCCACATTCTTGTGGTACTCTTGCATAAGGGGTACTTGTATTTCGGCTGGATCCAGATTCGAGTGGGTGCCATGTTGCTTCCTACGATATTCACGAGCGACGATATATCAATCGGTCAATAAGTCAAACAACTGAGAAATATCATATGCTTTATCGATGTTTCTACATATATACATATCAATGCAGTTATCAAAAAAATTCAAAGATCTTCAAAAGAACACCAATAACGATAAAAGCAATGCAATAAATTGCAACAGCGATCATTGTTCGTTGATGTGTAACAGTAAAAAAAAAAAGAAAAAAAGAACAAACATTAGACAAGGATGTCTGTTGCGATAGTCGAGCAGATTCTGCAACGATTCGTTGACCACTGGACTCCAACGAACCGGCTTAACCATGACCTTAAGCGAGAAGACCTATGAATTGCGAACATTACGAGAGAAATTCCATTTGGACGATTATATACGCATCAAGTAACAACAAATTTACTTATCGATCTATTTCTATTCACGTTTTCGACTTTTTCAACTTTTACAAATTTTTCGCATTATAGATATTAACCGTTACCTTATCCTGAGACAAAGGTAGAGGTAAAGTCATACAGCCCAGCAGCTCGCTACGTCTGAAACAGGAAAAAGACAAGAAACAAACATCAATTTTTAATTGCTTTTAGATGATCGTGTATCTACCGTGATATACTTCCATGCTAAAACAGTAACATTGTCACTCAAAAACATGCTAAGCTAAGTAGGATTTATGTATGTGTTGGAGAAAGTGATAGATTAGAAAGGTGGTGAGAGAGAGAGAGAGAGAGAGAGAGAGAGAGAGAGAGAGAGAGAGAGAGAGAGAGAGAAAGGGAGAGAAAATATAAATGCGCGAGCGCAACGTGACTACCATTTCGCGAAGGTATCTACATACACATGCTATAATAGTGCAGATGTGACGAGAGAAGTGCACGTGGTGATCCCGATGCGCATGCTTCGAGAGAATCGATTCCCCTCCTACCGCAAAGAATACTCGAAAATCTAGATATTAGCTTAGATATTGGGATTGACCGTAGCGCTCAACCTTTCAAAACTAAAACTGATATGAAATGTTTTAAATAAAAGATAAATAAATAATATCGTATTTTTAATTTTGGCTACAACTAAATTTATTATATCCCTATCTATTTATCTAAAAATCCCTACCATATAAAGATTATCTATTGAAAAAATTAGATAGAATGATCGTCTAAAGCGAGAAACTACCTCTATCATAACGTAAGTTGATGATAATTACATATTAAGAAAATATAATAGATTTGTTTAAATACCATAATAAAGTAAGTCGGTAGCTCCGATATTGACTACTTTCCAATAATGATTATTATTATTACTATTTCCTTGAGCATGCTCACCTTGCTCGACGATCTCTATGCCAGACTGCGATATCCAGGGACGTAGATTTGCTGATGCACTGATTGATATTAACCGGGCAGGGCAATATTAAGGTCTCGTGAAAAGCGGGATTTGGTGTGGCTCTGTGAACCGCAGTTCTCTTAACGATTCCCTCACCGTTGATATTTTTTAGGCTGACCTTAACGTAGGCGTGAATAGGTCCTTCGTAGGTCCTCCGTAGGTCCTTGCACCTTATCACTGCACGAAAGACAAGTATATATCGTTTTTTTTTACCGATAAAAAAGTTTCTATTTTATCGCCAACCTTTTCATCTCTAAGCTTTTATACATATACGTGTATATCACAAGACAGGAAATTAATCGTCCGAACGAAAAGGATCTTCCGATCTTAACGAGAGAGTAAGAGAGAGAGAGAGAGAGAGAGAAGGAGGAAGAAAGAAAAGAGAATTTTCGAGGCTGTTATGATCGGATGAAATGCACGAAACACACTGACGATACTAATACACTGGTACCACGACCATTAACCACTTCGAAAGCCACTATTTACGCCTTGCGCCGTCCAATAAAGGCTACCAACCGAAGGAGAAATTTGTCGATATTCGTATAAAAACTGATTCATTTCGTAATACGCGCACTTTCACAATCTCTCCAATATGTTTGTCGCCTGTTTCGATAGATATCGCTGAAGTAAAGGAACGTGATCATTGTTAGACGGCTTGGAAACTAAGTGTATCCTTGTTAAACGCACAAGCCAGGATTTCATTTGAATTACGTCTGGATAGAAAATTCTCGACCTTTTCTATATTTATGCTAGGATGACCTGCGACAAGAATCAATGACGTTGAGCCTACTAACCGATATGAAAACTCTAGAAAGGTCTGTAGGTTACTGGTACAATACTGCTATTTTCTATGCTGCCAAGTGATAAACTCCTCGCTCTCTCTCTCTTTCTCTCTCACCCTCTCTCTATCTCTATCTCTCACGTAGAGAGTACTGTGCTCGCGATATGCGCATGTCCCGTTAAAAACACAGAATCAGCAGGAACGTATCCAGCAACTCCAGCAACTCAACTAACCCTACATCCCCACTCGCTTTCTTTTTTCCCCTTTTATTTTCATTAATAAAAGGTAATGTAAATTGGCGACTCACCTCGAACTTGTATATGATTGGCAACGAACGAATACTCGATTTCGATAGATCCGCGACGATCCGAATCCGATTTCGATGGCTCGCTCTCCGGACTATATTTCAAACATCTTCGAACGGTCGCGACCAACGGAGCTTCTGGAGTATTAGAGATTGAGTTTAAGATCGAATTATGATAGCCCTCTGTCAAAAACGATTTAGGACTTTCCAACTCCCATATAGTGCTTTTTCCATTATTCTCCGAATGCTCCTCTTTCTTACAATCATTCTTGAAAAAGAAGGACGATTTACTCGAAAACTGTTGATTTTGGATTTGTTTATCCTCCAAAGTAGAATCTAAGTCTGTCTCAAGGACGAGTTTCTTTACATTAGGATTGATCGCCTCTATCGTAGGATTATCCCTGTTTTCCATTTTTGATAGTTGATTTGATCTAGGACTCCCGCCAGAAGTTATCCTGATCATTCTTTTCGGTTTCTTACCCTCGAAAACACTCTTCTCTTTTCTCTGTTGCTGACGTTTTCTACGTATACCGCGCTGTCTTTTCAAAGTGAATTCACCGTCGAATTCATTGGTGATTGGCGACGTAAAGGGCCAAGACATCGGCGAGGGATCCTCTAAAAGCTGACTAGCCGAAGACACGGAACTATCGCTCTGTATCCCTATTTGCGAAATAGCAGCTTCGTCCTCATCCATCATTTTCGTATCGCATTGAATGATCGTTTCATAAGTATGATCCTCCTCGAAGGAGAAGGTTTCGTCTTCCTCTATAGTAACTGTACAACGACTTTTGAGTATCTTTTTCCTCTCTTCAATGTCACTCAAAAGAATCTCCGCGACTGTTTTGCCTCCAAAATTTGTTTCGTTTTCTCTAAACAATTTAAACAGACAAAGTTAAATATCGACATAATGCGTTTCATTACTTATGTATTTAACATAACAGAGAAGCAGCAGCAGCAACAGCAACAGCAGCAGATCTTACCTGTTGAGAACTTCCGTAACCGTATTATCCATATTTTCAAATTTAGGTAAATCTTGATCTAAAGCCAAATTCGATAATTTCCCGGCAAGCGGAGTTTGTTGTTGAAGACACTGCTTCAAAGGACTAACAGCTTGAACGACCTTCTTGTAATACGGAGTTCTACTTCGCGCGTGAATCTTGGTAACCTTCGCCAGTTTAGATTGGAACTGTGCCTTTTTAGATTCCTCCAATTTTAATCTGAAATCATTCTTTTCGGGATACATTCGAGACTTGTCTAACGGCACGAACTCGGCCTCCATCACGTCTTCGGGACTAGTGGCCATAGAAATCTGATGAAAAAAATCCGAAACGTGCGACTGCAAATTGGCACGCGCCTCGTTAAACATATTTTGCGGTAACTCATTGTTGCTTTGAAAATTTTTCGATCGACTCTTCAAAAACAAAGTTGGATCCGTTGGTAAAGTTAAAGCCGTTGAACGTTTACACTCATTTGGGAAGAACGTCAATGGTCCTATGTCTGTATCCACTCGCGGAGTACCTTGATAAAAATTCTCCAACTTGGGTGACCCTTCAAATCGTTGAGAAAGCGATTGTCGTTTTCCAATCCTTACATTGGTTTTCGTTGCCTTCAAAAAAAGATTCGATTATATATTCGAGAAAATATAGATTTCTTCCTCGAAGAAAAATTGATTCAACTTACTTGAAAGTAGGTTCTCAAATCGCTACCATAACTACGACACCGTCTACGACGAACTGGCGTAGGTTTCGTTGTAATATTTTGTAGGTTCGACGTATGTACGTGTCTGCTTTGGGTACCGACGGCCGGTGGTGTGTTGGACAGATCTCGAAAAGGCCTGCGGGACGCCTTGTTCAAAGCGGATGCTGGAGCGTGGGGTGTCGAGCTACTCGCTGACAACGATCTCGAGACGGTCCACTTGAGCATCTTTAAAAGAAAGAACGAAAGTATATATTCGAGGTGAGAAGGGGGCTTTTGCTACGTGCATGGTATGCATATAACTACGACTAACGATTGCAAGACCTTGGATCGATCTCTGTTCGTGCTTGAAATAATGATAGGATAAAGTCGACGACATAACAAAAAGAAAGAGAGCATACAGAAAAATAACAGGAAAATCACATTCGATGACAAAAGTGCAAGGTTGCACCTGTCACGCAACATAAGAGAAATAACATAACAGGTGTAACTCGGAACGGTAATCAAAAACCGTTTGACGAATTAACACTCATTTGAGCTTAACGACTGTTTAACAAACTATTCATTTGTTAATGTCACACGTTACGAGAAAGAAAGACAAAATCACATTATAGATAAGTTTAAATACGTTTTATTATTTAAATATGCTCAATCGTCTAATCATAAACATTCCATCAAAGCGAAGGGCGTTGATACCAAAAATGATGAAAAAAAAATTATTATTACGGACATCAGGTTTTCACTTTTAACGGTTCCTCAAAAGAGTAAACGCGACGCATTGTTAAATATAAAAATGCATTCATTTGCATACAAGCTGTCGCCATGCTGCAGACGCGCTTCTGTCCCGTAACACGCACTTTTTCGTTAACACACACTCTCTTTCCCTTTCTGTACTATACTCAAACATATAAATACAGGAAAGTAAGTACTGCCTTAGTGAACACCCTGAAAACACCATAAACACGAAGGACACATAAACGCTGGAAAGCACCTGCCCCTATGGTAAGACGCACAAGAACAGACATAGGAACCATCTGGCTTTTATAAACCCTCCCTCCTATGAGGTGCTTTCAATAAACGTCGAAATAAATTTGCAACATTCTCATTGACATTCGAGAGAAAATAAGAAAAAATTATTATCGTTGTTGGCCTAGCATCTCATTTACACCTATACATTTATACATATAACGCGAAATGAATCTCATCATTTTGAAAACTCAATATTTCACAATTTGAGACATTCTATCTTAAATTATTAGTCACTTTTGTTACTAACTTTCTTGCCGCTTACTAAACGGCTATGCGAATCTTTGCCAATCGCAACTTATTATACGTATTGCAATCTTCGCGTCATCATTGTTGTCGTTGTCGTCGTCGCCGTCGTTGTCATCATCATTGTCGTCGTCATTGTCGTCATCATCGTCGTCGTCGTATTCGCTCTCGTTCGAATGCAATATTATGCCTCATATCTGTCACTTTTATTACCTCGTAAAACATCTCGACATTGAATATATCCTCATAGATTAAGTATGATGCAGTTGATCCTAAAACGGAATACACCATCATTTCACGCGTATGAGCATTTTCTCTCAATTTTTCTTTATTTGAATATAGACGCTTCTGATAAGAAAATTAAACATAAAGATATTTCAAGAAAGATGAACGTAAAGAATATGGATTGATTTTATAAAAATATTAAATATATTATGTAAAGATATAAAGATATTAAATCTTGCTTCAGGATTCTTCTTTTCGTCTTTCTGCAACGTATATATGTATAATATATCCGTCATTTTATAACTTATAAAACATCCTTACGAATTTTAAAGACGCAATCCGACCAGTTTGAAGGTTGCAAAAAAAGGGATCTTTGCTTTACGAATAACAATATCAGGTCTTATCCAATTCTTTTCATCTACCTACCCTCTTTCTCTTTCCTGCTCTTGTTTATCCGAGGAACGAAACAGGATTGACCTCGCGCCATCGTACTACAAGTAAACGAGTAAAAAGGAGCGACGGTTGAGAATTACCTTGCTAACAATTTAAGAACGGTCCCTTTTACATAATTTATACGATTAAAACCCTTCTCGTAAAGACGGTTATACGCGAAACGAAGAAAGCCATTTGAGGGAATATAAATTCGAATTGTAAACCGAACTATTATAAACCGAATTGTCTTTATACAAATATATGGCTTCTGCAACGAATGATTAATAAAAAAATAAGGAACAAAAAATGATAACGTATCTATAATAAAATAATAACGTAAGCGGTATTGATATTGTCTTGGTGTATATAAAATAAGAAAACGTACAAATAAAAGAGAAAAGGATAAAGGAAAAGCAGGTGATGACGAAGCTCGTGTACCTGATACCTTTTTCAAGATCTCACTCGATAACACATTTGGGAACACGAGCTCATAAATACGAGGACAGTTTATACTCGCAATATGGTCTATGTACATCGCGAACGGTCCCAGAAAATGTTCTATTCATCTCTTTCTCTCTTCTCTCTTACACACGCACTTATGTATGTGTGTTCTCCGCCTTTGCCTTATGAGATTCGCTTCTGATTTATATTGGATTGACCCTACGCACCTTTGCTTGTCTCGGCATGGTCTCGCAGACGAGAGAGAGAAAGAGAAAGAGAGAGAGAGAGAGAGAGAGAGAGAGAGAGAGAGAGAGAAAGACAGAGAGAGAGAAAGAGAGAGAGAAAGAAAGAAAGAGAGAGCACAACAGGGAACGCAGGCAAGAGAGGGGAAAGACGATTTTCGAAAGGGATTCAAGAGTTCAACCGACGACAATCAAAGGCGCATTCATTCGGAGGCTACTCGCTTTTTGACGACTTACGAAGGAAGGAAAGAGAGAGATGGAAGAAAAAAGGAGGGAAAGGCGTTGCGAAAAGACAGACTTTAGAAGCACATTATTTGGAGCACACCTGCCTCCGTCTGTCTTCTCTCTCTCTCTCTCTCTCTCTCTCTCTCTCTTTCTTTCTCTCTCTCTATCTCTCTCTCTCTCTCTCTCTATCTCTCTCTCTCTCTCTCTCTCTCTCTCTCTCTCTCTCTTTCTTTCTCTCTCTCTATCTCTCTCTCTCTCTCTCTCTCTCTTTCTTTCTCTCTCTCTCTCTCTCTCTCTCTCTCTCTCTCTCTCTCTCTCTCTCTCTCTCTCTCTCTCTCTCTTTAATTCCAATTCCCATCACTTCTATATATCGTACACAAAACGCATCGCCAATGTTCCTTGCTGTTTCTATGATCGTTGACATAAAAGACGTTCCTTATACAAACGAATCAATTAAATAACAACACATTTACATTTTCTCTCTCTCTCTCTCTTTGTCTCTTTCTCTCTCTCTCTCTCTCTCTCTCTCTCTCTCTCTCTCTCTCTCTCTCCTCATTTCGTAGATAGTGATAAAATTCTATTTATAGCACCAAGAAGGACATTCAGAAAAATAATAAAATAGGAATAATGAGCGGAACGAGTTCTGTCGCGCCAATTTCTACCCATTAAAACGAAGGTATCTTTTAGTTATAGAAACTCTTATGGACTCTGAATAATTTATTTTTCAAATCAACTAAGAAATAGCAATTATGATCAATTTTATTCTAAAATGGTATCATAAATATATAAAATAATAGATAATCACAATTAGTAAATGAAAAGTGATAGATAAAAGTTAGTACTGACTTTATCTTACTGGATCCCTGATCGTTGTAACATACATCCACGAATCCCATCAATTATCACTGTTATCGTATCACACTTTAAACTTGTGTGCACATAAGAGAGGTTAAATTTTTCGAGTGAACAACAACACGGTCGCAACACGAATGTGAATGCTACAACGGTTGGTTCTTCACTGACGTGGTGGGGTAAAGCTACGGGCCTTATGTAGGTAAGGTAAGGGTCCCTAGAGAAGGTTTTCAAACTTCCTTTCTCCCTTTCCCTTCCCCCTCTCTCTCTCTCTCTCTTGCTTTCTTTCTTTTTCTATCCCCCTCTACAATCGTGACCTAACTATGGCAACCATTCAAAATCTCCCCACGTGGACGATCGCAGTCGAAGATACTTGTAATTATTTCTACATATCAAAAAAGATGAATAGTTTTTCTTTTTTTTTCGACAAAATTCAACATAATAAAATTATTGATTCGTAATTAAATAAAATCGAAGGAATAAATATTTTTTTAAATAAACTTTAGGCGAAAGATAAAGCTTTCGAAACATAGACAAGCTCATCACCATTCTAAACATAGACGTGAAATCTAATCAGAGAAGTAGAGGAAGCCAAGGAACCATCAGCGTTCTCTCTCTCTCTCTCCCTCTCTCTCTCTTTCTCTCACTGAACTTGGGTTCACTATTTTCAAATATCGAAGATGTTTCTTCCAACCGGTTTTCGTCCAATTTGAATGTTAACCACTACAATCATACGTTGCACCACGGATAAAAACAAAAAGAATCCTTTAGAAGATAGTTCCTCGAAGAAACATTTTCACCCGTCACGTGAACCTCTGCGAATATCTGCTACATGATTTTTTTGGAAAGCTTAAAAATTATACGAGTCAGCAGGCAAGTATCTATTTATACGGTCTGAACGAAGCATGATGCGACACAACGGAACGGTTTCTATTGAAAAAGACGTATATAACCATGAACGATTGATCGATAATCAGATAGGTATATAGAAGAATTAAATATAGAAGAATTATTATGGGCATATAGAATAATTGGAGTGATTAACCCTCGCAAATATTTCCAAATGCTTCCTATCATATTCCTTTCTTACTATCATATATTTCTTTTTTCATTTTTCCATCTAATCACGACTAGATACCAATGATAATCATTTAGAAATATGCAAGTAGACATAACGTACCGAAAGATCAGTATTCCGTTCACGATAAACAGATGTTACGATAAAAGTAAAATGGCGAATGCTATGGGATACCAATACTTTCTAATAATATGATAGAGAATAAAATGATGTGATATTTAATTCGCGCGTCGGTTAGACAGTGCGCCTGGACGAAAGGAGTGATCAACCCTTGGCGTTATTCACGTATAGAATAACATTTCCACCATTGTGATAGTTGTAATATCGTAGTAGGAGTAACGGATAACATGCTTCACGCTCTGTTAAACATACACCCATCGTATATAACCCAGACGTATATGTAGATATATTCGAACCGATAAACGAAATTAATTAGGCCGCGAATATGACGACATTCTGGAGTGCGAGAGAAAAGAATATCGAAAACGAGAGTGCGTTTACCAAGGGTGTCACATGCGTAAAATTATCCACACTCTGTCAACCGCCAAAAAAAGGAAAAAAAGTTTCAGGCGCTTTCTCTCGAGTCGCTGCTAATTGGCAGGGATGACGCATGGCTGTTATAATTGGTCAAACGATGCTAAGATCACGAACATGTATATGAAAGAAACAACATTTTCTTCCTCTTTTCCTTCCTCTCTATATTCTTTTCCTTAGAAATCCAACGATTGATCCACCATAGAATATGCTTTCTTTGACAAGGAAAAAACGTACAATTTGGAGAATGAGAATAACTTTCCTTTTCGATTGGATGAAATCGCACTGATGAAAGTTATGCTTCAAAAGACAATGAAATAAATAGATAGATGGATAGATAAATGGATAGATAAAAAGAAAGAGAGAGAAAGATAGAAAGAGAGAGAGAGAGACGTGGTGATGTAGTCAGGCACGCCTAATAATTCACCGAGGGCGACGCGCGACGTGTACGTGTCAGCGCGTCGCGACGCGCCCGTCCGTCTCGTTGAGGCTACAACATAGCAAGTTAAATTCTCCCTCTTTTTCTATCGGCGCCGACAGACTTCTTTTTCTCCTGTAGATCCTTTTCCAAAGTCCTTTCTCTCCTTTTCCATTCATTTTTTGAAAAGCCAACTCAAGCAAATTATTTTTGTTCAAGAAAAATCCGATATAATCATCTAGAGTTAAATAGATAACAACGAGAGGCCAAATGTATTCTCGAAAGTATCCTATAAATAAAATTCCGCAGAATAAACATGATGATTTTGTTGCTCATATCTATTGCTCATAGATCACATGCCTGTTGAATTGAGAGGACGAACATAAAGCGGTCAGCTGTTGACGCTTCGTCTCGTTCAACTTTTGAGGACACGCAACCCTCTTGTCCACTTTTCTCTTCTCGATCTGTCTGCATTTCTTACAAATTGCCGGTATCGTTCCACGTTCATTGATAAACGAAAGATTTTTTTTGCTATTTTCCATTTATTTATCAGTAATATCGATAAAACGAATAAAACAATCGTCGTTAAAATTAATCACTCTAAAAACACGCGATTTGTTGAGCGTACGCCTTCGCGGAAATAAATAGCTTCTCTGGTCGCGAGTCTGTCGCTAGATGCGCACAGATAGGCCCTTTCGTTTCTAAGAAGATTTCGCGGTGCGCACGGAAGCCGATAAAACGAAACGTAAGTAGAAACATTTGAAAACCAATGAGCGCCTAATGAAGGTGGAGCCTGCGAAGAAAATCTCCACCTACTCTTAAAACGCTCTATTTCTTCTCTCCTCGCATGTCTCGCCGCGTTGCCTCTGATGACGACCGAGGAAGGGGGAGAGAGAGAGAAAGAGAGAGAGAGAGAAGATCCGAAGAGACAAGAGAAGAATCTTTCAGTACGTCTCAAGTCGGTTAAGTCAGTTGGTATTCCAGTATCCCGAACAAAATGTTCTCCCTTTGCGTCTTCTCGATCCGTGGCTTTTTGATGAAACGCGCGAAATAAATTATTTCTTTCTTAAAGATGAAAACTTTACATTTTGGTGTTTGCAGTAGCAACTACGCACAATAGCACAGTGCGGATTCGAGCGAATTAAGAAATTGAAAGATCGAACAGTGCAAAGATTCGTACGATCAACGTTTCGTTGATTATCACAACTGATTTATATAAAATGTAATTCGTCAGAAAGTAAATGGTATTCTACAAATCGAAAAAATGTTTCCATTTTTTAAAAAGAATTACGAACCAACGAACTCTTTGATGGTCACATTATTGAATCGATGAAACATAGTGACTTAATGTTGAAATGATTTAGAAAAGGAGAATAAAAAAGAAGATAAGACGTTTAGGAATTAATCGGACTAACTCGGAGCAAAATGATCGGTGCGAATGTGGACCAGCATGGTAACAACATAATAGCGTCGCAATCAACGAATCATGCGTCGCAAGATTTCACTGTTTCACGACTTTTATCAACGTCGACGATGCATTCGTTAGGTAAGAATCAACAAATTATAAAAATATCATAAAATAATATATCATTAAATTGATTCTTTTAAGAAGAAACTTACCAACTACGATATACCGACAAAGCATGTTCGATTCCATCGGAATTGTGTTTCCGCCCATACTGCTCATATTATACCGCTTTGATGAATACTCAAACACAGTAGATTCATTCAAGAATAGTCGCAGCGTCTGTGTCTGTTCGACTACTTTTTTTTCCTTTTTTTCTTCTGAACGACCACTTTGTCGTACGCAGCATCTTCCACTATTCCTTATATTGAATAAAATCTTGTAGAAAAAAAAAAGAAAGAAAGAAAAAACTTTTCTAAAATACACATAGAGTGTCACACTGAAGGAACGTCGACGACTGGAAGTAGGAGACCAAGGAGAAGTAGGACAACCTTCTCGGCGCAACAGTTGGCCGCATTAGAAAGGGTTTTCGAAAGGACACATTATCCCGATGCTTTTGTTCGCGAGGAACTCGCTACTAGAGTATCCTTATCGGAGGCAAGAGTTCAGGTAATTCAATCCCGATTATAAGTAGATATTTTTGCCTAGTATATTTACTCTTAGAATTTTTCGAATAAAACAGTAAAATCTTGTAATGTACAAATAAGAGAACAGTAACTGAAGAACAGTGACTGAGAAAGTAACCGACTGTCTCTCTTAATACACGTGTTCTTGAGATTATATTCGAAGGATAGAAACATGAGAGCGAGAATGAGCGAGAATAAGCGAGAATGGGCGAGAATGGACGAGAACGAGCGAGAAAGGGATGGTAGCAGGAAGAGTAGGCAAAAGAAGAAGGCGGAGGCTGCGGACAGATAAGCAGAAAATCGAAGGAGACAGGTTGTCAAGGAAAGAAGCTATGATTAGCCTGCTGCGGCCTAAGATCGTGCGCGTCTGTCTATCCAACAGCATCTGCGTACTTTAGCCTAGCATATAGGCGCGAGAGACGCGATCCCAGCACGTGTGTGTCTCGCAAACCCCTCTCTTACTGTTCCTCACTCCCTTTCATTCCCGACTCTGACCGTCTGTCTGTCTTTCCGTCTGTGGTCTGTCTGTCTCCCTGTCTCTACGAATATATGTACGCCTGCCAGGAGCCGTCACGCTGTCCCGTCTTTCCTAAGAACGCGTCGCAAATCCAACGTATGCGTTGTTTGTGCGGCATGCCGCAAAGAGACACGAATCTCCTCTTCTTCTTCTTCTTCTTCTTCTTCTTCTTCTTCTTCTTCTTCTTCTTCTTCTCCTCCTCCTTCTTCTTCTTCCTCCTCCTTCTCCTCCTCCTCTTCTTCCTCTTCCTCTTCTTCTTCCTCTTCCTCCTCCTCCTCCTCTTCTTCCTCCTTGTTCCTTCGCTCTCACCCTCACCCTCACCCTCACCCTCACCCTCACCCTCACCCTCATCCTCGCCCTCGCTCTCGCCCTTGCCATCAACAACACTTCTTTCTACTCTAATCTCCATGTGTCTCTCTTACCCATCTTATATTAAATTCATACAGACTTTGCCTTTCACAGGTATGGTTTCAAAATAGACGCGCCAAATTCCGGCGAAACGAAAGAAGTTCGGTACTTAATCGTGGCACTTGTACAAGCAGAGAATTGGAAACGACCACTTTACCACTTCGACCGATAAGAGTAAGCAGTCACATGCACGAAAACAATTCGGAAAATAATTCCTTCCAAGCGCAGCAGCTTCCACATTATTCCTATAGCGAATACTGGAGATCTCCTCAACATTATACCACCGTTCAAAGCAGTAATTGTCACGGATTTGTTAACGCTAATCTTGGGAACGTACCTGCTCTACCATCATATCATCAATCAGCAGAAATTCACAGTGCTGTCGAAGGAACGACTATAACTGGTCTAAGCGCATTGAGATTGAGATCGCATCCTTACAGTGCTACCTACTCCGCCATGCACGCGAGCATGTGACTCTTTTTCTCTTATTTCTTCTCCGATATTGTCATTTATTTTTGACCAATCAAATCAAAATCAAAGAATTCTGCGATGTTCAAATCTACACGTCCTCGATAATAATTTTATTTCGTCCTGCTTTCTTTCGTCCACAAGATTCTAGCGCTTGCACAGGATTCGTTCGTTAAAACCAAAGATACTTTCACTTTCAACTGTAATCAATGACGTAGAAAAGACTTATAATTAAAAGTCGAGTTAATTAATAGTCAAGACTTTTCTTAATTACTACAAGTTTTCTAAACAGGGTATATAGATACATAGATACATACATATATATGTTTATACGTTGTATAAACCGTGAGGAGAGCTAAGGATATCGTATACAAGGTATACATAATAATTCCTTAACGAGATTTACTGTATTGTGTATATAGATATCCATGTATACTTGATCAAATGGGATAATATGCGAATGCATGTAGTATTAGCAGTCGGATAGATTAAACACAAGTATAACTTTCTTAATAATACTGTAAGAAATATCATTAATTACACAATGGAGATATATATATATATATATATCCATATACATATATATATATATATATATATATATATATATATATGTATATGTATAATCGCTATTATGCGCGACAGACGACTCTATTCAAAGTAAGACGTAAATATTGAAATCGATTACATCATTGCATTATAAATTGTTGATTACAAATCGTTGTTACAAATGTCTTATTATTTTTTATCCGATACGCTTTATGATAAAAATATAATACAAATTTTTAGCAGATTTACCATTAATACAATGACAGCTATGATAATAATAATTATTGTAATTATCCGTCCATAGAATCATTTTCATCATAAATGATCTATTAATCTTTGGTACTATACTGTTATCTGTACATTCTGAACGGCATTACTCCAATCGACTTTAGACGGTACTAAATAAAATGCAGGAGCTATTTTACTACCACATGGGCACTGACTACCGGCTACCCAGCTAAAAGAGCCTAATTTTGTATTACACTTTGGACAATTCAACTTTCCTTCCACATTATGCATTATGTCTGGCATCCATGCCAACGGCTCCACAAAATATATCTTTGTGCATAGTTCTGTCATTTCGCTTTCTTTCTTTACATTTACACGTTCTGCTCCATCTTCCCCGTCTTTTATCTGTTTAGATATTCGTTTAGAACTAATATGTCGCCAAATCTGTCGTTGGTGCATTGTATGCGGTAAAATATTACTTGCACTTGCCACGATTCTTCGACACTTTCTACAACGATAAACGGTTGGTTCTGGGCGTATAGTCGTTAATGCAGGATCCGGCTTTATTAAATCAATGCAATTTTGGGGTAAAATTTTCACTTTCCTCACTTTATCCGCAGCTATTTGCAATCTGTACATCTTAAATTGAACATTAGTATTGTCTATACCAAAGTCCATCTCTTCGTATAATTGCAATTGAGCTATAAATCCAGGATTTGGTCCAACAAAATGTCTCTTTTGTTTGACTATTTCCAATGCATCTAAAAAAGATTTTCTATGTTTCTTCATAATATAAGCGATAACAACGCTAACGGATCTGGATACGCCAAAGTAACAATGTACCAGCGTTCTGCCATTTGATTTTAAAGCTTGATCAATAAATTCATAAGAATCTTCCAAATGAGTTAATAAATCTTCCCTTGGCATATCTGTTATTTGAATATATTTTACAGTGAGATTGGGTAATCGTTCTTGAATCTTTCTTGGTAGAGGACAAGAATCTACCGTAAGTATGTGAGTCATATTAATTTCTTTCAACCACTTCACATCCGTGGCAGCTGTGAGATTCCCTAGAAATAGATCTGGTTCGATTTCATCAAAACTGGATGGGCCGGCATTAAAATCTTCTCTAATCAACTTGTTTTCCTCGTCTTGTGCCATGATTAGCCTAAATTTTTAAATAATAAAAAAGCATGTATATATATATATATATATATATATATATGTATTTGTATATATAAAAAACATAATATGTAGAGAAAATATAATTGATATTGTTGGCGCCACGTTCAGTTTTAACAAACTTTACGCCATAACCTACATTTTTATTCCATGTAGATAGAAAAAATAATATAGAGTATAGAATTGAAAATGGACTCACCAAAAAATTTCTAACTATTCGATCTTTACTTATGCTGAAAACGGCAGATATATTCTCCGATACGTTAAACACATACGCACGCAAACATCGCAGACCGATGATAACCTCTATTTGATGACTTAGCTCATTTCACGCAAATATAAATATTTATCGTTCGTTCATTGTTTCTTGTTGATCGTGAAATACAACATTTCTTAACGATTACTTGATCGTAATATTTTGATGAAAGGGTCTTCTTAATAAACACATTCGTCATCTCGAGATGTCTTTTTTGTTAAAAATTGCAAAAGGGTTGAAAAACCTATGATACCTTCTTAGATCACCACTTACTATTCATTTTCTAATCATTTTCGATGGCAGAGCCAGGTAAAACGAAACGTCTACTTCCGGAAACGGTGAATGTTTTACCTCTGCATCCCCTATAATAGACTTTACTTATCCAAGCCTATCTCGATTTCATTTTCTCCGTCGGTAAAAGCGAACACGCCATTTTATTAGGCGAGTCTTAATTTTGAAATATTTCGCGTATATGTTACTTAACACGTGACAATAAAGGATAAAAGAGTGGTTCTTCTGACCACGAAGGTTTCAACGCTCTGACCTCTGCCATTAACCACAAATCTGTCGTATAGAAGGATGGCGGATGCATTGGATCTTCCTGGTGCTTCTTCTATGCAGAAAATGTCGACAAGAACATTTAGACAGAAAGCTCAAGAATTTCTTTCTTCACGAAAATATGCCAATAATCTCGTCGACATAATTAGCCAGTGGGATGTAAGATGTTTCTCTCCCTTTCTTTCTCTCTCTCTCTCTCTCTCTCTCTCTCTCTCTTTCTCTCTCTTTCTCTCTCTCTCTTTCTTTCTCTCTATCTAACTAATCGATTCTGTTTGATTGCACTGTAATATTTTTCTTAAGGTTATAGGAAAACTTATATACATCTTATTTTCATTAGGAATCATCATTCTCTTGTTTATTGACTATAGAAACAATATTTGTGGAAGTGCTTAAACGTGGTGATATGTTTGTAGAACAAACAATTACTCTTACAATCTCAGGTAGGGTTGAAACTATGACTCAAATTGCCTTATTCTTTTTCTATGTCTTTATTTATAAGATTTTTATTTTTTGTTAGAACCTAGTCCGGAAAGACGTTACATCAATTGGTTGCGCAATTGTTATGAAGAGGTCTGGGAGAAAATTCTTTTATCTATGGAGAAATCTCGTCCAACCATTCAATTGCAGGCCCTTACTACGGCATTAAAATTATTAGCTCAAGAAGGTAAAACACCGCTTGAACCAACTGGGAATTTGGGATATTACTTACCACTGCACCGTCTGAAACCTATTCTTATGTCTTTACTTTCCCCGGAGAAAGACAATATTAATCTAATAAATAGATTTCAAGAGATAGCTGGATATTCGGACGCACTTTATTATACATGGAAATGTCTACCGTCTCTTACTCCAAAGAGACAACCACGTGAAATTTACATTAAGAATTTACTTGAGCTTATAGATAAACTGCCACTGCCTAAAGACACAGATGGTAAGAATATTTTGAATGACAAAAAATATAAATCATATATGTATGTATATATGTATATATTATTTTCTCCTGAAACTAGTTTTCTCCTTTTTTCAGAGAATGAAATCTGTGAAAATAAACAATTGTTGTGTGAATCAAATGGAGGTAAAATTATATAATAGATTTTAATAACGTACAAATTTAAATAAATAAAACACACCTAATATATTCATTTATGTTTACCAGTAATTAATAGCTTCACGTGGGATCAAGCCAGTGTAAGACGTTCGCTTAACAAAGTATGGGCGTGCGTGATGCATTGGGAATTAACGCCTCAACTGCATAAACAATTGTTAATAGTGCTTTTGGAAAGAGTTATGCCGCATCTTGAAAAGCCTATATTATTAACAGACTTCCTTATGGATTCTTTGGATGCAGATGGATGTATCGGATTACTTGCCTTACAGGGTGTATTTTTACTGGTTACAAAGCACAATTTGGAATATCCAAACATTTTTACTAAACTTTACTCGATGTTTGAGCCAGAAATTTTTCATACAAAATATAAGGCTCGATTATTTTATTTGTCTGATCTTTTCCTCAGTTCGACGTAAGTAATGTATAAGTATGAAAAAAAAATTTATTGTAAAAAGTGCGTTTAAAGAAAAACAAATGTCTCGTTTTGAAAAAGATCCTTATACAATTTTTTTTTTCTGTTTCAGACACCTACCGGAAGCATTAGTGGCAGCATTTGCGAAGCGTCTTGCACGTTTAACGTTGGTTGCGCCACCCGAAGATATTCTTATTATTTTATTGTTTGTGGGTAATCTCCTCTTAAGACATCCAGGTTTAAAGAGACTTATAGATCATCCTCAAGGTGGGGAATTAATATCCGAGGAAGGTACAGGAAACGGTGACCCATTTCTCATGGAAGAACGAGATCCGTTGCTCAGTAATGCGCTCCTTAGTAGCCTTTGGGAAATCAAAGCTCTTCAATGGCATATCTTACCAAGTATTGCTACAGCAGCACGTTTTATACGCGAGCCGCTTCCCTCTGTCGAATATGATATGGCATCTGCACTTCAACGTACGGGAGGGCACATGTTTGATCGGGAATTAAGAAACAAAGTGAAAGATATTATGTTAACGTTCGAACGCCCAGATTCTATGGCATTACCGAAAGGTGACCGTCTGTTACAATACTGGCAACTTACATCCATACATTGATCATGCATTATCAAGACTATCAATGGAGCACGTCGTCAATAATGCAATACATATACGTGCGAGATCGTCAAGATCGCCGTGCGAAATCGTCGTAAGAGTGTGATGCGGTATGTTGCAAAGGATAAGTATTAGAAAAGAATCATAATAAATTAAGACATTCGTTTTCGTTTTTTACCTCGTATCTGTGGAAAAGAAAAAGTGGCGTGTATGTGTGTTGGTAATATTTAACTTTATATCTGTTAAATATAATCTTTGTTAAAATCGTTTTTAAACCAATTGATTTACAACGTGTCATATGCAATCACAATCTTAAGCTATACATATTGATCTAACAATTATTATTAATTATCTACGGACTATCGCGATGATTGGAATAATCACTTTCGTCATAGCAAGTCATTTGTACACACGAGTGTGAAATAATAAAAAGATATTTATTTTAATAGTATTCTCCTTACTCTTGCAATATATAATTATTTCTTTAATGAATATGCCATAGATGCAGGTTAATTTATCATTTACTATTGTAATTATTTTATATCAATGCCAAATATTTACGTATGTATTACACAGGCATTTTGATGCTTCTCTCATTATATTACATTTAAATGATCATTTTATCGTTTGATACATTCGTCTTATGGCGCTAGACGAATTATTTATCATTTTGTTATGTATCTCTCTCTCTCTCTTTCTCTCTCTCTTTTTCTCTCTCTATATATATATACATACATACATACATACATATATATATATATATATATATATATATATATATATATATAACAATTATATTCTATGTACATGAATTATGATGATTGGCATACAACATCAATGCTATTATTTTTTTATTAGGATTTCTTTTCCAACACCTACAAAAAAAATTAATTTTAGTAAAATAGTACTATATAATACAGGATAGTGATAATATAGTCAAAAGATAATAGAACAGAGTATTATTTTTATGAAAACATCTATCTACATGTGCATATAAACTATCAGAATAATGTAAAAATCATAAACCTGTATCAGTTTTCTCCATTCTTCTTCAGTTAACGCATGCTTTATCTTTACTAAAATATTTGGAGGAATCTCAGGAGGAATAGATAACATAGCTTTAGCATCCTGTCTGGCAGGTATATATTGTATCTGCAAGAGTTCTGCCACTGTAGGTCTAACTTTAGGATTGTGTTGAAGGCATTTACGCATCACATCGATTAAAATGAGAGGTGGTTCGAATTTTTCTGTTTTATCAACCAAAAGTATAGACGTTGGAAAAGCTATCTTTGGATTCGGATTCGTTATTGCATTCACTTTAGCCCACTGAGGACGTATGTGATGAAATGGAGTTTGTCCATACACAAGACCATATAAAATACATCCTAGTGACCACACATCCGATTTGTAACTTATCTATACAATACAATTAAAGATATGTATACACACAGCACACAACACACACATATATAAAAGGATTCTATACCATCATATATATATATATATATATATTAACAATTATTTTCTCAGTACAAATACATAATACCAACTTTATATTTAACATTGTGATTAGGAGAATCTCCGTTTCCACCAATATCCATTAGAGCTTCTGGACTAATATAATTTAAAGTACCAATTGGACAATTTTTTACAACAGAGGTCATATCTGCATTCATACTAGAAGCAATACCAAAATCTATTAATTTTAGACGACCACGTACTAATAAAAAATTAGCTGGTTTTAAATCTGAATGTATGACTCCTGAAAACAAAACTCTTTGTCATTATTTTCTTCTTCTCATATTGCAGATATAATGAATCTATATAGATTTTATAATAAATTAAATTTTCTCTACCATTGTCGTGTATATGCTTAACAGCTGTCAACATTTCCGTCCAATAGTAAAGAATCATTGTTAATGGAAGTTGTTTCTCCTGTGATGTCAGTTTCAATAAACGACTAAGATCTGTATCACCCATCTCCATTACTACATAGACTAAAGGGTATTTGATCTCACTATAAAAATGAAGTTTATTTTAACGTCGTATTAAATATATATGTTTCATAAATAATCATATTTAGTAAAATCAATCATACTAATCAAACATCCTGACTATACATGAGGCCTGCAGTTTATGTAGCATAGAAATTTCTTCTAAACATCCTTGAGCTGAATCCTTATCCATACGGCTCAAATTTACGCATTTGATAGCTCGTAATTCGGACGATGTCAAATCTTGTACTCGTAGAACTTCTCCGCTCATACCACGTCCTAAAGTACCCAGAATTAAATATTCTTTATTTTTTATCATTATCCTTTTATATCTTTCCATTGAGTTGGAGGGATTTGACGGTATTGAAACCTGCACGTTCGATATTTTATCTACAACTTCTTTTATATTCTCTTCTACTTCTCTCTCATTAGAAATGACATTTTGTTCTTCCGAATTCATTAATTCCGCTTTAGAGATGGATATACCATGTTTATCGGAAACAAATACATTTTCTTCTATCGCATTCTTTATCCTTTCATCATTCTTTCCTATTTCCATTAATTTAAGATTTTTAACAGATTCCGACTGTTCGGCAGAGCCACCACCAACATCCGACTGCATAAATTTATTCTCTAATTGCTCTATATTTTCTTTAATTACAGAATTTCTCCCTGATTTATTCTCTCCGGATGGTGTATCAAATATATTATTATCAGTTTCAGTTTCTTCTACTCTTGACAATTGCTTATTGTGTAATGTTCGGACTTTAGAATTTGCCGAAAAAATACAGAAGTTATTAACAGAATCAGATTGATCGGAACTCATAGTAATTCCTAGGGGTTGTCTCATACGTTTTCCTCGTTGATAAAAATATCTGAAAAAATAAAAAAAAAGAGAAAGAAAAGAAATATTAAAGATAAACGTACCATCCTCGTTATTTATTAAGGCTGAATTTCTTTTAATAACCTAGGCATATCATCCATTTTTCTTATTCCTTGTATAAAAATGGAATTGGTAGAAGTCGGTGTAGATTCGACAGTGGATAAACCTCTACTGTGGAGCGGCATTTGTCTTGCATTATTCTGCGACCATGTCGAAAGAATTGTTGATGGAGTTTGAGCTGCATCTGTTAGAACTTCATTTTGTAATTTGTTTTGCAAAATACATGAATTTGATTCTACTGAATGGAGATTTGTGTGTTTTAAGGGAGTAGCTGTTAAAACAGAATAAATGGATGATCCAGTATCAGAAATAGATGGTATCTCTGAACAAAGATTTTCTGAGTTTAAATACTTCTCGTCCATAAGAAATTTTGACTTTGATTGATTTGTAACTGCACGGTTTATATCTCGCAATGTATTTTTGTCATTAGATGGTATAAAGGAAACATGTCCAATACCGCTTTCTGTATCCTTAAAAGATTTATTTTCACTTTTATGATCAAGCCTTTCTTTATGTATATCTTCTTCCATAATCAGATTTCCTTGTTTCTGTTCCATACGTTCAACATAGATATTTAATGGAATATTTTCATATTCTTTTAAGGCTAACACATTTTCTTGATACAATTTCAATCCTAAATTAGCATTTCCCTCATTTTGGGTAGCATCATGAAATAAAGAATTTCCATGCTGCACCGTATCCAAAAGATCACTGTCTTTAATATTTTCTATGCAAGTATTTTTAAAAGATATTACTTTCTGATTCTTTTCTTGTTCGTCTTCATCAGTTCTATTAACATTATTGTATACAATAGTATCCATTTCCACCGATGACCTAATACTACTATTTGCTTTATTATCATTATTGCTTTGTAAATATTCTTTGAAAGAAGAGTTCAATAAAACACCGGCATGTTCTTCTTTCGATTTCCCTTCGATACTTTCAGAATGTGATATATGTTTCAATGACGAATCGTTGCAACATACATCTTGAATAGAATCATTTAAAGATAATGCTCCAACATCATCATAGTCTGTTTTATTTTCTATATTAATTATATTTTCTTCATTTTCTTCGTCGTCACTTTCACAAAAATGCAATAAAGCTTTCACACGAACTGGTTGAAACTTTGGACGTGCATGCAATCCACCAGCACCAAAACTTGATCTAGCAGAATGATGATCTTCCATCATTTAAAACTTTGCAAGAATATTTTTGAGTGATTTGCAATCTAAAAAATATGAAAACTTAAATAATATTGTAAATGTATGAATACGATAAATTAGATACTTAACAACTCTACCGATTGATCTCACGAAACTAATAAAATAGCAATATTTCTGGGAAAAGACCGAGCAAAAAGAAATGATAGAATAATCTGCTTTTGTTCATTTAGAAACACCATCATACGCGCACTTGTCAATTTTCCTCCTGTAGCATCAAAGAAATGTCAATTTTCTCTCTGTTGCCTTGATAAAAAAGAAAAATCAAAGTACGACACAAATAAAATACAATTACAAATGAATATTTACATCGGAATAAGTTATTATCTCAAATGGTACATTGTAATTAATTCTAAATACCATATAATATCCATATTTTGGATTTTCAAATACAAACTGTTTCATTTACTTTCTACCGGTTATTGCTTTATACGTCATCAAAATTTAAATCCTCAAGAAACATTCTGATTGGTTGATGTTAGGGCGCTACGAATACCATTAGATCTTTTCATTTTCTTTTCTTTTATTTATGTGAAAAACGTCCAATTTTTTTTTAATTTCTTATAATAAGGTCAATAAAAATTAATCGAGTTATTACATTTTAATAATCTATCAATAAAATATAACGCACATACTTATTCTCCGTTAGATGGCACATGGATAGAAACATTATCAATTTAAGATTGTTTTCCTACTATAATCTCTCAATTCATAGGACCATAAATTAAAAATTCAAAAGAGCACTAGACTATAATGCATTTTTAAACAATACGATTATCTATCTCTTTTTTATGTATTACGCAAACTTCCGAAAAAATGTTATGTCCGTAGGTAAACAAATCGTACTTTATTTTAATTTTTCTTCAATCTGATTTTCTATAATTTTGAAAAATTATGCAACATTTTATGCACATACATTAAAATTTGTTGAATTTTAATTAAACCCACTTTATTACAAAATAAACTACGCTTAAGCATTTAAAATATTTGAATATTGAATTTCAAAATCATTCCAAATACCATACTTGAAATCATAAGTTCAAAGATATGCATATCTAATGTCTTCTTTTCATCTACACACGTTATTTGTAATGAAATTAGTAGAGTAATTTTGAAAGTGTAAAAAAAACCCTATATAATATAAATATATAACAATCTTTGTTTTCATATTCTATCATACACATCTTTATTTGATATCTCTCTTTCCCTATCATATTTTCTTAATTATTCGTAGAAACAAAGAAATCTTCATTATATTTCATTGTTTTATTTATTCGAAAATTAAATGAAAGTATGACTAACAAATAATTCTTTTATGCATTTACTCGATGTGATATTGATGCCAACAATGCTCCTCAAGTAATAGTCGACCTTTATAAGGTCATACATAGGAACTACTTGGCAGCAGTCATAGTTACACAATGGGACTCATACGGATAATTACATCCTATCCATATTTTTTATCTTCCTTATAATCTAGCAATTATCCTAAGTATGTTTTATCCCTTTTCTCGCATATAAATATGATTTTCATAAACGTAAATTGTCACTTAAATTGAAATGTAAATGTCAAAATCCTCCCATTGTATCGCAAGATTGATAGATTGACAGATTGCTCTATTCTCATTCTCTCTTTCTTTCACTCTCTTATTCTCATTCTCTCATTCTCTCTCTCTCTCTCTCTCTCTCTCTCTCTCTCTCTCTCTCTCCCCTGCCCCCGTTACAGTGTATAAACACTTTCTTATAGATAGACTCGGAAAGCTTTGGGAGGTTTCTGTATTCTATGGTTCAAAAAATTAAGAAACAGCCTGCATCATAGCATTTTGCATAGACGTATGAAGAGAGATATAAAAAATAATATTTTATTTAAATCGCAGGGACGAAATTAGGAATTGCATTATGAGTAATGAAAAATGGTCTAAAGTATGTCAAAGTACTCTTAGCGTTTCCCATTATTATAATTAAGAGCTCGTAATGGTGCTTTGAAGGTCGATGCAGATTGTTGCTGCATTTGATATGCCAATGGATGAATTTTAAAGCCATATAACCTGTAAACAGTACAAACTGTTATTCATATTTTAATGAACAATTGGAATAAACACTAGTTATTACAAATGTCATATCCAGTGAATTATATTGGTTATTTCACATAATAATAGATATATTATTAAACAATATGAATCACCTAGGTACAAATTGATTTGCTGCGCGTTTCGGTCTGTACTCGGGATGAACCATAAAAAGCATGTGTGGAAATCCTGTACCAAAATATGCACCATCGGTATGATGATGCCTAGAACTTTTAGGTGTATAGACATCCATACATTTAGGGCAATAACTCTTGACCATAGCTTCACCAGGAACATCACTAAGACCCAGAGGTAACATTGGTTGGGACTCGCAATATACACGCGGACAATGGCCAAAATCACCAGCTTGATACTTTTCAATCATTTGAGCAATTCCTCGATTTGTAAGAATGTAACGTGCATGAATGAGACCATAAAGCATTTCTGCAGCCTGTTCAATCAGATCTGATTGGTTTGGATTGTCATCTAAATCGTCATCTACTATAAATAAAAAGCAGTTATCAGAACTAATGCACAATAATGTACTTAGAAGTAATGCAAGGAACTTAGCACAACGGGTTCACCTACGAGGCTCGAGATCTAATATCATATCTAGTGCTTGTCTGTAGTGTGGCACTTGTTCGTTCAATCCTGTTAAATTAAATTTATCCTGAATATAATCTTCATCGACCTGAAACAATTAATTAAATATCTGCATAAACTAGTATGAAATCCTAATGATAATCGAAATATTACACAATATGTTTACTAATAAGAATAATACTATTAAGATACAAAAAGAAATATGAAATAATATTTCAGACATCTGTAGGTCATAATAATTTATCGTAATGTTACACTTTTCATTGCGTTACAAATAGAAGAAAATATCTATTATTCTTACTCATGACCATGTTAAATTATGACAACTACGATGCTAAAAATAATAAGAATATATTTCTGTTTGGCTAAAGCTTTATTACTTCATTGACAGATTGATAAAGAATAACTAATTATGAAGATGAATAGAGGCAAACAGATACTTGACTTACCTCACAGAAAAACTCATTTCCTCTGAGGCCACAAAACCACGATATCCAAGATACCTCCTCGGAACTGCTCATTTTTCTGTGAACGAAAAAATTGAAGAAAAATATTCTTTATTAATTTTCTGTGCTAAAAAACTGCCACCGCCGCCACCGCCGCGTTGATGAAGTACAGAGAGCGCGTGTGTAATGCGTGAACATGCGTGTGCGCAAGAATCGCGAATCGTATCTTTGTACATACGTATGCGCGCTTGCGCGCCCGCGTGTGTGGGGGTGCGCGCACGCGCATACGTTACGTGTAACTGTAAAGAGACAGAGAGGGAGAGGGAGAAAGAAAGAGAGAGAGAGAGAGAGAGAGAGAAAGAGAGAGAGAGAGAGTTGTATAATAGGCAGATACATATGCACCAATACACGTGCATCGATATGAACGAATAATTATATATATATATATATATACGTACATATGTATGTATGCAATGTGTGCACGTGCCTAAATGTGTAGATGTATATACATACGTATATACGTATGTGTATTACGTTTGTGCTTAGTGCCCGTTTGGCAATTGGTTAGAAAGACGCGAACGAATGAGTGCAAGGGGAGCAATGGAGTTTTGGGTTTTACTAAGCAAGATGCCCGACATTACGGCCTCTCCGCGGCTTCACCTACATTGGCGTGGTCATCGCTGCTTCGTCAACTGATTTTCAAGTACGACGTACGATCCGACACGGCCAGGAAGCACATTACTCGAAAAAAGCCTTGTAGGACCGAGCGGCCCAATGTAAACCCAAAAATAAACAGCCCTTACGGCTTACCTTTTGGTGCTTTGATTAGCCACGCTTGCTCGTCGAAACGATGTAGATGGCGCTCTTATCGTTTCCTAATTTCTTCCTTAATACCAACCTTATATTTAACATTGTCATTAGGAGAGAATATCCGTTTCCACTGTTATCCATTAGAACTTTTGGACTAATATAATCTCAAGTACCAATTGGTGCAACTTTTTTTACAACAAATGTCAAATCTACATTTATACTAGAAGCAATACCAAAATTCATTTATCTCGTACGATCACAAAATAATAAAATATAAAGAATGTTGAAAACATACAAAAAATATATTTAATATATTTCTTTTGTATATGTAAATTTTTTATAATATGAAACTGAACTAATACAGAGATTTTCAAAAGTGTAAAAAGGAACTATTGTATTTACAATGTATAATACACAATTCTTGAATTTTATAATCTTTATCATATATATTTTTATTCATTTCATTCTAATTTTTCAATTAGTCATACACACAAAAAAACCTTGATTATTATATTTCATTGTTTTATTTATTTAAAAATAAAATTTACGTATGACTAACAAATAATTCTTCAATATAATTTACTTGATATGATATCAAGACTAATAACACTTTTCAACTAATGGTAAATCTTCATACAAAGGTCATACATAGGAACTACTTGACAGCAATTATAATTATACAATAAGACTCATACAGACAATTATATCCTATTCATATTTCTTATCTTTCTTTTTATAATTTAGCAATTATTCTAAGTATGTTTTATCCCTTCTCTCTTATATAAAGCTAATTTTCTTATAAACGGAAATTATCATTTAAATCTATATAAAAATTCCTCTCATCGTAGAAAATAGATACATTGACAAATTGCATTATTGTCTCATTCTCTCTTTCTCCCCCCTTCCCAATTTTAGTGTTCAAAACACTAAGCTTTTTACAAATAGGCTCAAAGAACTTTGGAAAGTTTACTTATAAGATAATAAAAAATATATCGAATCATAGCATTTGGCATAGAGACGTAAATCAGAGACGTCAATAGAAATGTAAAAAATATTTTATTTATATCTAATAAAAAATGATTTAGAGTTAATTCAGAATTAGAGATGTCAAAGTACTTTCAGAATTTCTCATTCTTGTCTTTCGAAAGAGTTCGCAATAGCGTTTTAAAGATTGATACGGATTGTTGCTCTATCTAATATGCCAGTGAAAGAATTTTAAAGCCATATAATCTATAAATATTAGAAACTGTTATGTAATAGTAGAAATATTATTAAGTAATATGAATTACCTAGGTACAAATTGATTTGCTATGCCCTTTGGCCGGTACTCTGGATCAACCATCAAAAGGATATGTGGAAAAAAATATATGTGTACCAAAATATGCACCATCGATATAATGATGTCTAGAACTTTTAGATTTATAGATATTCATATATTTAGAACAATAAATCTTAACCCATCCTTTGCCCGGAATATCGCTCAGACCTGGAGGTAATATTGACTGAGATTCGCAATATACACGCAATATAAAAAATCATTCGCTTGATTCGATTTTCAATCAAATTTGAGCAATTCTTCGATTTGTAAGAATGTAACGTGTGCCATAGATCACTCTAGCAGCCTCTATGATAATCATATTTGATTGTCTCTGTATTATAATATGCTATAAATGAAAAACAATGGTGTCAGAATTAGTATACGATAACGTATTTCTAATTAATGCAAGGATCATAACATTACTGATTCACTTTCAAGGCTCGATATTTAGAATCAAATCTAGTGCTTGTTGGTAGTACTGTACTTGTTCGCTTAATCCTGTTAAATTAAATTTATCTTTAATGTAACCATCTAAAACAATCTATTAAATATATATATAACCTGTATGAAATTCTAATAATGATCTTAATATTACACAATATAGTTCTAAATAAGAATAATACTATTATTAAAATATGAAAACACAAGAGAATAATAATTTCTATACTCAAATATTAAAATATATCTATAGGTCGTAGTAATATATAACGACATAACATTTGTCATAGTCAGAAATGAAAAGAAAATATTTATCACTCTAACCTCATTGACAGAAGGACAAACAGAGGCAGATAGACACTTGACTTACCTAACAAAAAAACTCATTTCCTTTGACGGCACAAAACCATGATATATAAGATATCTCCTTGGAACTGCTCATTTCTCTGTAAAGGAAAACATTGAAGAAAAATATTCTTTATTCATTTTTTGAACTCGAAGAATAACACCACCACCGCCGTCGCCATCGTCATGTTACATACGCATGTGCGCGTATACATAAACTCACTATAAAGAATTCATATATACGTCCATATGCGAGCATTCGTGCTTAATGCTCGTTTGACAATTAAAAATGAATGAAAATCAGGGAGAGAATATGAAGTTTTGCCTTTTTGTAAAAAAAATATTCGACATCAAAGTCTCTCCACAGGTTCACCTATGTATACTGGCATGATCATCGTTAATTCATTAACTGATTTGATTTTCAAGTAACATATTATTTTGAAACAAAGCTTCGTAGGACCGAAGGGCCCAAAGCTAGAAATAAACAACCTTTTAGCGCTTTGATTAGTAACACGTATATTTGTCGAAGTGACATAGATGGAGTTCTTGTCTACCTTAAATTTTTTCATCTTTCAACCATTCTCTTCCCTTTTTCTATTTTTCGTCAAATAATTCAATTATATGTTCTTAGATGAAATGTGGTTAATTTTTATTCTAATTGAAATTATTCGAGTTTTTTTTTTATGAAGAAAAACAAACGTTGGATTGCTTTAAATTCTAACGATTTACATAACATTACGTGGCTCTCATCGTTAATTTTTAAAATAGCATAAAAAAATAATTAATCTTACAATTTATTATACAAACATACACACCCACACACGTATGCAGGTACGGACGTACGTGATTTTTGGAGATAGACGTCTAACCTGTAAATGTCCGTTTTAATGTTTCTATTTTAAAATAGTATTAATAATAAACTTAAAGATAGAAACATTAATTTTATCTTCAATTTAATGGAAAGCTTATTGATATTCCCCATTGTTAACTTTTTTAAGCATTAATAAACATAATAAACATAATAAACATAAGAAAAATGTTATAATTACTTACAAATACAGTACAATTAAATGAACAATGGTCTTTTGGGTAAAGCTAGGTAAATTTAAGAATGAGCAATCAACTATCTATACATGTCTCTTATCATACCAGTGCATAAATATAGAAATGTACTTTTACCTTTAGAAGATACTACAAGCAGTTATGGTAAATATAAATTTAACATTATTTACAATTGATTGCACGTCATATTCTAAATATTTTTCTAGATGCATATGTGGTTCGGAAAAGACCTGGGTACATTCTTGTTTCCAGGATACAATGTTTCCACTACATGTGCTTTTGTATCTACTTGTATAGGTCTAATTAGTCTTGCAATATTATACGAGGCCATGAAAATATCCCAGATTAAATTGGACCAAATTGCGATATTTAAACCAAAACCTATTTCTAGATCTTCAGAGAATTCTTCTTTGTTATCTAAAATGACACCAAGATCCTTTGCTTCTTTCTCTTCTATGAATTGGTATTTGTACAATGATGATAAGTAATTCATGAAATATATTTTACCAATCCAGGAAAAACATAATATAAGAATAACAAAAAAATCAAAATATTATGTAAGAAAACGTAAGCTCATGATTAAAATGATTATTTATTATCAGTACAAGCTGCGGAAAATGGATATTACAAGTACTTCATTGGTCTATTCATACCACGCTTGGTTACATACTTATGATGGCAATTATGACATATAACGTATATATTAGTATTGCCCTTGCTATCGGAGGTTCCTTGGGATACTGGATATTTGGTCCTGCCTTGATAGAATTAAATATGAGTCAATTTCGAAAAAGACAAAAGATCATTAAATGCGACAAGGAATGCTTAGGTAACTTATTAATCGCTCTTGTACCATAATAAATTAAAATCTTTCTACTTATGATATTTATAGATGCTATTCTTAACCAAGAAAGACGCGAGTCTGCTGTCTCTGTTATTGCGGAACAATTAGTATTAGAAGCAACGGCAGAGATTCATACACCTAGAGATGTCTGAAAAGATATGTTTCCTTGACTCGATTGGAATTAATCTCAAATGTAAAATTCAATTAAAAGAACAATTTATACTTTTCACAATTCCCATCATCATTTTTACAGATATGTGTTTGTGGCTACAATCAAGAACAAGAGAAAGTACAATAAAATGAATAAAAAATAAAATCATTGAAAACAAACAAAACAACAATTAATTACTTTTATAATGCCCTACGTTAAACAACCATTAGTTCTGTGTTACTTACAGCCTAATGTATATCATGTAAGAAAGTAGGAAAAGGAAAGGCAAATTAATCGCATACAAACTGTTAGATCAAAAACTGAAGATTGGAATGTGTAGAAACGTAAAAATAATACTTTACAAGATATGCAAATCTAAATTACACCAAAACTAATATCAATTGTCCAGATATCATCACGTGTAGTTTGCTGCTTCTGGAGGTCTTAATTTATATTAATTTCCATTTATCAATTTCCAGTAAAACTACATTCAAGGTGCATTAACATATAATGTTTAAACAAAAATGATATCATTTATATTTTACATAATAATATATTATACTGACGTAACATCGTACCATGCATTATATTATATTGTTTAAATAAACATAAAATAATCGTAAGTATTAATTATTACCTGCATGAAAACAGCGAGAGTGCCAATGTTTACTTTTCGTAATATAAGTAGAAGACTTGATGTTTGACCTTAACTGTCAAAATCGTTTGCGTCTTTGTTTTTTTACATTATTTATATCACATATAGTTAGTTTGAAATTTTTATCTAAGAAAACTTTAAATTGTAATTATTTTATAATCATCGTGCTTTAATAGCTATGCAATGTTTAAGTCATTCATACTATATATACAGGATTAGATATAAACTGTGCATTGTTTAAATTAGTATATAATAATCGTAAGTATTATCAATTTCAGAATAAGAAATTGTTAATGATTTAAAAATTTGGATACGAAGCATTTTACCAGTCACTTGACACTATTATCTTTAGTATATCTATTTAATTATTTGAGTCCTTTGATATATCATTTCTTATGTTTCTATTATTTTGTAAAAGGGTTGAAATTAAATTAATTTACGTTATTGAATGAATATATCTTGTAAAATGATGTGTTTAAAATAAAAGAAAAATTTCTATTTAATATTAACTCCATGCACCCTATGCACCCTATGCATCAATGTAATTAATATACATTTATGTGTGTGTCGCGTGTATGTTGTATATACGAAAAAAATGTAGGTTAACAATACAAGCTTTGCCATCTAGTGAGTCTACTTTGGAAGTACTGTTTGCGCGCTTTATTCGAAAAACTATACTACTATCATTAGCTCCTATTTAGAAAGCGTAACTTTTGCGATGATATTACTGACTGAATCGTGATATTTCATTCTAGAGAGAATATTTACATAATACTTAAATGTTTAATATTGTTTATATTATGCGAAACGAACTCATCAAGACCAGTACGTCAAAACCAGCACATCAAGACCAGCATGAAACAGGATAAATCTCGCAGGTGTCGAATGTTGGAATTTTGGACATTTAGAGTGATAAAAAAATTATAATAGATACAAAATATGTCAGAAGTGAATCCTAAACATATGCTTCATAGTGGCATTTTTCATCCCGTTTTAAGACTATGGCAATCTCCAAACGTAGAAATTACTGCAAATAATCTCATGTATCCTATCTTTGTATCGTAAGTATTCCTACTTAACCTGTTGGTTTTTATAACTAATGAAAATGTTTATTTATATTTAATGTGGTTTTAGTTCTATGTAAGTCTTATAATATTTGTATATATTCCTCTTTTGATATAGTCGATCATATAAGATAATTAAAATATTATCGTTCAATTATAATTTGTTACATAATATTTCTTTCAACAAAAAGATATATACTCTTTATCTAAAGAGATATACTCTTTAGTCATTAAAAGTGTTACTACAAGAAATTATTGATTAGTAATAAATTTATTATAGATAAAAATAAAAGGATTTCAAATTCATTTTGTGTACTATACATTCTTTTGTTTCTTTTTTCTTTTTCTAGCGACAATAAAAATGACAAAGAACCAATTAGTAGTATGCCTGGTGTATATCGTTATGGTATTAATCGATTACACGAGGATTTACAGCCATTAATATCAAAAGGATTGCAATCTATATTATTATTTGGCGTCTCAAAAAATTTAGTAAAAGTAAATACTTTAGATTTCTGTTTATTTATCTCCAACAATCATATCGATATATATTTATTCATGTAGGATCATGTTGGCTTTAATGCCGATAGCAAGGAAAATCCTATAGTTCAGGTGATACCATTGATAAGGCAATGGTTTCCAAATTTAGTAGTAGCATGCGACGTATGTTTGTGTCCTTATACGATTCATGGTCATTGTGGTATTTTAAATGATGATGGGACCATTGATAACGGTGCAAGCATTAAACGTATTTCTGAAATTGCAGTCGCATACGCAAAAGCTGGTTTGATTTTTTCTTTAAATATAACACCATAGAATTTGAATAAATAAATATTTATTTATTATATCTCATCGTTATTATTATTTGTTTTAACACAAAACAACAGGTGCCCAAATAGTTGCTCCATCCGATATGATGGACGGTCGAGTAGGTGCAATAAAAAAGCAATTAGTTGTGGCTGGACTAGCAAATAAAGTTGCTGTATTATCGTACGCAGTTAAATTTGCATCAGGATTTTATGGACCTTTCAGAGATGCATCTCAGTCAGCCCCAAAATTTGGTAATCGTAAATGTTACCAATTACCACCAGGTAGTAATGGATTAGCAGCTAGAGCTGCCGTAAGTTTTATCTTATCGTTTATATTATAGTGTTTTATATCGTTATTTTAACTTAACATTAATAACTTTTTTCTTTTAAAAGGCTAGAGATATCGCAGAAGGAGCGGATATGATTATGGTCAAACCAGGATTACCTTATTTAGATGTAATTAGGCACACAAAAGATGCACACCCAGAGTATCCTATGTTTGTTTATCAAGTCTCAGGAGAATATGCAATGCTATATCATGGCGCACAAAATGGTGCGATTAACTTGGAAAATGTGCTAAATGAAGTTTTACTATCTATGAGACGAGCAGGAGCAGACTGCATCATAACATATTTTACTCCATTAATTTTAGATATGTTAATGCCAAAAAGCAAATATTAATAATTTGAAAATTTTTTTATAACGATGTCAATGATGGTGATTATGAAGTTGATGTATTTTAATCACTTCATTATGCAATTACTGTAAAAAAGAAAATAATTAAACACTATATTGTTAGTAATAAGTAAATGATTGTACAAACAAATATTCTATAGGGTTAATATCTGAAAATAAATTGTAATGATCAGTTGAAATAATAAGAATATTACATCGCATTTTTATTAATACAATTTTGCCTATCTTGAGATATACTTACGTTATATTTAGGTTATGGTAATTTATGGCAATTTATCATTACATGTATTAATATATACCATTATTCTACTTAATTTATAATTCAATTAACGACACGTATTATATTAGAAATACAATAAGAAATATCAAAGTTTAAATAAAGCAATTAATCAGTATATTTAAATTGGAAAATTTCTATGTATGTCACTTGAATCGATGCTCGATTTTTTTATATTTTAAAAATTTTCTTTTGTCAGAATTTAGATTCTCCATTACAGATGATAATGATATATTTTAATTGTTATATTATTACATGAAAATGATTAGATGCAATTCTATAAAGGTTTACCATCGGAATATAAAATGATAAAACACGTCTACGTTTCGTCCGAATTTTCTGGAATTAAAATCCTGTGATGACGTGGGCCTATAAACGTTGGCCAACTCTATAGACGAGAACAAATAGCTTTACTTTATTCTCTTGTATCGTACCAATTGTAACCAATCGGTGTGAGCCACGACGAAATCTCACCGTTAATATCAAGGCGCTGATTTCAGTCTGTAGTCAGTCAGATTCCGAATTGCTTTTGAGAAGTTTGCTTTGCTGAGGGACTACCTGAATTCTACTTTCGGTGAAGAAGAATAATACTTATTATTTAATTGGTATATAATCATTTTTTTAACAATAAGTAATTTTTGTTTATTCTCGTTAAAATGAAATACTTTCCTTTCAACGAAACTATATTTTGATTCGCGTTATTTTAAGACAAAATCTTTCCTTTATTATGCCACGTATCGCTATTACATTCTGTCTGGAATATATCTATGTACTTATTTAAAGAATAATTCTGATGTACTTTTGCTATTTTTTTTTATATTCGTGTAAATATTAATGTTTCTTACGTTTAAATATTAATGCTAATTACGTTTCTTAACGTACACACACACACACACTCACTCATGTATGTAGGTATGCGTACAATTTTCGTAATTTCAACAAAATTTTCAAAATCTTATCGTATTTTAATTTTATCTGCTCAATGAACATTTCTTCCAATGTCACTTTCTTTTTTAACCAATCAGTGTATTAAAGTACATATTTTTTATCTTTTATATTAAACAAGCAGATGCCAAATACAATTTCAAATTTTGTACACATTTATTTCATATATTAATCAAAGAATATGTTAAATTATTGATTAATTCTTATAATAGTATTTAAATTAACCATTTCTTATTTATCTTATATCTTTTTATGGACAAAAAAAGTGAAGAGATAAAATGTAAAAAATAATCAATTATAATTTTCATTTAATCCCCAGAAAACATCAAGTAAACTCTTAAAAAATGAAAGGAGCAAAAGCTCTACTATTGCTAGGGCTAGTTACAGCCCTTGCACTTGCTAAGGAGGAAAAGAAAGATAAAAAAGAAGATATTGGGACAGTGATAGGGATTGATTTAGGTACCACATACTCTTGGTTAGTACGAATATGAATAATAGATTTTAATTAATCAATAAAAAAAAGCATTGATAAATAATACATTAATCAATAGTACATTCATAAAAAAAAATTGTATAAAATAATAATGAAAGGGTCATTATTAATAATAAATAATATTTTTAGCGTTGGGGTATATAAAAATGGACGCGTTGAAATTATTGCCAATGATCAGGGAAATAGAATTACTCCCTCGTATGTAGCGTTTACTGGTGACGGGGAACGATTGATTGGGGATGCAGCAAAAAATCAATTGACTACAAATCCTGAAAATACAATTTTCGATGCAAAACGTTTAATTGGGCGTGAATGGACGGACACCACGGTGCAGAACGATGTTAAATTTTTCCCATTTAAAGTTATTGAAAAGAATAACAAACCGCATATAGAAGTTCAAACTAATCAGGGAAAAAAAATATTTACACCGGAAGAAATCTCTGCTATGGTTTTGGGTAAAATGAAGGAGACGGCAGAAGCATATTTGGGCAAAAAAGTTACCCATGCTGTTGTAACTGTTCCTGCATATTTTAATGACGCACAAAGACAAGTAGGAATAACAAAATTATTAACAGAACGAATATTATACGAGTACTCTACATAAATTATTTATATTTCTGTAAATTTTCCTTTGTTATATTGCAGGCTACAAAGGATGCAGGTACTATTTCTGGGCTCAATGTAATGAGGATTATTAATGAACCAACGGCTGCTGCTATAGCTTACGGTTTGGATAAGAAAGATGGAGAAAAGAATGTTTTGGTATTTGACTTGGGAGGCGGTACTTTTGACGTTAGTTTGCTCACCATTGACAATGGTGTCTTTGAAGTTGTTGCTACTAACGGTGACACTCACTTGGGGGGTGAAGATTTCGATCAGCGAGTTATGGATCACTTTATCAAATTATATAAGAAGAAAAAGGGTAAGGACATTCGAAAGGATAACAGAGCAGTCCAGAAACTTCGCCGTGAAGTTGAAAAAGCCAAGAGAGTACTCAGCGCGAGTCATCAAGTACGTATGTGGTTTTTATACTACAATTATATTATTATCGTTTCTGTTAATCTTAATAATATTCGTTTTTTATGCTACTAATCTATTGTATAATATGATATATAATATGTATTTATTTTTCTCATTATCTATATTGTATTATTAGGTGAGAATAGAAATCGAATCATTCTTCGAGGGCGAAGATTTCTCAGAAACTTTAACACGTGCTAAATTTGAAGAGCTTAATATGGATCTCTTTCGTAGTACTCTTAAACCTGTACAAAAAGTATTGGAAGATTCTGATATGAGTAAAAAAGATGTACATGAAATTGTTCTTGTCGGAGGATCAACCAGGATTCCAAAAGTACAACAATTAGTAAAAGAATTCTTTGGAGGTAAAGAACCCTCAAGGGGTATTAATCCTGATGAAGCTGTCGCATATGGTGCTGCCGTTCAAGCTGGTGTTCTTTCGGGCGAACAAGATACAGATGCGATCGTACTTTTAGATGTTAATCCGCTTACAATGGGTATTGAGACTGTAGGAGGTGTAATGACCAAGCTCATTCCAAGGTATACTTATTACTGATTTTAGTACGTTAAGTTCGAAGAGATTATTATATATCAAATCAATACGTTATATTAATCTATTATTTTTTCATTTTTTTCAGGAATACTGTCATCCCTACGAAAAAATCACAAATTTTCTCAACTGCGTCGGACAACCAACATACTGTTACGATTCAAGTATACGAAGGCGAACGACCAATGACCAAAGACAACCATCTTCTTGGGAAATTTGATTTAACTGGAATTCCGCCGGCTCCCCGTGGAATACCTCAAATAGAAGTTACATTTGAAATCGATGCCAATGGTATTCTTCAAGTTTCCGCGGAGGACAAGGGCACTGGAAATCGAGAAAAAATAATTATTACCAATGATCAAAATCGATTAACGCCCGATGATATTGAGAGAATGATCAAAGATGCTGAGAAATTTGCGGATGATGATAAGAAATTAAAGGAAAGAGTAGAGGCTCGTAACGAACTCGAATCTTATGCATATTCGTTGAAAAATCAACTAGCCGATAAAGAAAAACTTGGTTCTAAAGTCACCGATTCGGACAAAGCGAAGATGGAAGAAGCGATCGACGAAAAGATCAAATGGTTAGAAGATAATCAGGACACGGATCCGGAAGAATATAAGAAACAAAAGAAGGAACTATCGGACATAGTACAACCAATTATAGCTAAATTGTATCAAGGTGCTGGTGGTGTTGGTGTACCGCCAACTACAGGTGAAGATGATGATGATTTAAAAGACGAACTATAACCGTTCAAGAGTCGGCGAAGCGTCTTCGTTCTTATTTAGACTGAAATAATCCACTTTCTATATGAGGAATACATCAAGGACCTACTAATATGTGTCAGATGATAATGTCTTCATGATGGATGAATATCGGAGACAAGTTGAAGAGTTTCAAAGTCTTACACACTACACCATACACACACAGTGATCTATCATAAATCGATATATTAATTGACTCTCTATCATACATATTTCTTACAAGGAGCAATAATGCTTCTCCATCTTCTCTAATCAAGGAAGAAAGAAAGACAAAGGAAAAAAGTAATTGATACAACTAATGGAGAACTTACTTAAAAAGTTCTTAGATAAGACTCCACGTATTGTTAATTTATTTTAATTGTTTTATATGTTTGTTCTTAAGTGTAATCTATAAGCCAATTGTATAACTGATGTGTTTCGAATATGCAACAGTATGTATGTGAGTATGATTGAGTTTAAAGATGTTTACAATTTGTAATTATATATCCAAGAGAGCGAGAGAGAGAGAGAGAGAGAGAGAGCGAGCGAGAGAGAGAGAGAAAGAGAGAGAGAGAGAGAGAGAGAGAGAGAGGAGGAAAAGAAGGAAAAAGAAAAAGCAACCAGAATTATAGTACTGTGTACAATACAGGTAATGTGCAGGTGTGAGAGCGCGTCATGTATTAATACCATATATGTACTAAACTACATAAATAAATACATTTTTTCAATAAAACTTAAACTTTGCTCGACGCGTAAAAACAACCGACGAGGAAAATAATTATTTTCATCATTTTCGACAATTTATTTATCCCTAAATAAGAGAGAATGCATGGACAAGGAATTGATTTTTTATAATTTTTTTACTTTTTCATCTATCTATTTATCTTCCAAAATACAAAGCTAACGAATGAGTAACTGCAATACACTGGGCCTAGTCTTGCTGTGTAGTCTTTTTTTTTTGTTTTTTCTGTTACATAAGCAAATGTAGAAAAATAATATTAGTAGTACTTATTTCATTTTTTTAAACATTTTTTTTCTTCAATATTGACTCAATATTGATTTGATTTATAGATACCCTAAAGTGTAATCTAAATGATAAATACTCATTAATTATAGAGTATGAAATTAATATATGATATTGCTGCTGAGATAACACAAGATATAATATTAATTATTAACATAAGATAGTTTCATAAAATTATTTTTTTAGATTTCAATTTTTACTATTTATATATGTCATCTACATTTTATTACAACGCAAAACACTGTCAATCTATAAATGGAAATGAAAATTTTCTTATATACGGTAAGGCCAAAAAGTAGGCATTTTTTATATGTTACGAAGAATGAATTCAAAGTTCACAAGATTGATGTCAAAGAATGATAAAGAAGAGATACTATTTTATCATGCATTTTTAGGTATTATGACACATATTATGTATCAAATAATACGTGCATATATATATACGTATACAGTACAACTTCGTAGTTCCCATTGTATTGCTTCAAGCATTGTATACACATTATAAACTGTAAACGAGTATGATTTTTTACTAAAAATAGTTTTAAAATAGTAACATAATTGTAACTCTCATAATTGTAATTTTTCACTCTTTTATCCCCAAGGAATATAGTGTTACTTATATCAATTACTTGTAAGAAACTCAGTATTAATAAGAATTAAACAAACATTTTGTGATTTTATTATTTATAGAAATTATTTGCTCTTTTTCTATCTTTCATTCTTTTCCGAACTAGTATGAACACATTTAACACGCATTGGTTTATTTTTAATAAGCTTATTTTGCCTTAATAAAAACAACTGTATGAAACTGTATGTACGATTTTCTACTTTTCCAATATCTACCTTTAGGTAACGGTATATATATTTCTTTTCATACTTTGGATAAATGATAACATTTAACGTATAATGACGTTTAAATATTGTTACGAATTAAATGTAATATCCATAAAATATCGTTACATCAGAACTCTTTTCGATCTTTATGTAGTTGTATAAGTATTATTACTCTTATAAATTTTGCGGGAAAAATAAAGGTTTCATTTACTTCTTTCATATTAAAATAGAATCATTAAGACAAATTAACCATTTGATTCGCGAATTACCAAAAAGGGCCACAAGTATCACACGTGAATATTAAGCACTTAATTTAAATTTCTTTCAAACCTGAGAATACATTCACGTTGTACTTTTTAACATTATCTTCAATGTGTTTTTTCTTTATATTTGGTAATTCAAGGATCAAGAAAGAGCTAACAATACCATTGTATTCTATTCTATATTATAAACAAAATTGTGTATTATCATTTCTATAGATATTATTAATCAACAAATTAATGGACACAGTACGCCTCTGGCAATTTGCTTATCCATTTCTCTAGTTTGAACATGTTTTGTGTATCACAGTATTATAACAGTAATGTATGTAATATTTTTTATTTAAGTTGTAATTACTTTGGATATGGCAAATATGAAATATAACTGTTAAATTATACTAATATAACTATAAATTCTTTGGAGCTAAATGCATATCACAGTGGGAGAATTTTCGATGCTCTATTTCTTTTTAATGCTTATTCGAATATTCAGAAGCGTACCAGTCGTCATCAAATATATCATCTTACAGATAATCATTTTAAATCTACGTATCTTATTAAAGATATTACAAAAAGCTTTACCGCCAACCAGTGGAAATAAGCAAGCAATAAAATGAAAGTAAATATATTGTTTCTTACTTTTTGTTTTATATATAAAACAAAAAGTAAAACAATTTATATATAAAAATGCACCATAGATTATTTTAGATACTAGCATTGTATCTAATATCCAGTCTTATTCTAGTTTTCTTATTGAATTAACTTTTTCTTGGTATTTTTTCTTGTTTTTATAATGTGTAAAAAACTATGAGAAAAATAAAACTTTAAGCATGTGAATTGTAATTGCATAATTTAATTATTTTTCTAAGTACTCATTTTTTGAATAAGCAAATCGATAATTGAATTGCATTTTTTTGTCGATTTTAACAAAAAACGTATTGGATTCTGTGCTTTATGTTCTGTATACCTTAAAATCATTCTATAATAAGATTATCTTAGCTACTAAAGGCATGCAGTAAATATCGTCATTGATTTAACATTAATATATTAATGAGACAATAGAAAATTCTTTTACTCTGTTATGTTTTTCTTTTTCTTTTTTCTATTTCAGGAAAAAAACAGAATATAGAAAAGTTAATATAATGTAATTAATGTTAAATACCATATCCCGTCACAGAATTTTTTAGTACTTATAAGTCCAGGCATTGATCAATTAAATTAAAATAAAAGCTTTTAGATTCATTTTGTATAGTATTGCATCAAGCATACTGTTTTAATTTGAAATTTTTTCTATTTGTAAATGACTTTCTTGATTTCTTAATAAGATTTTAACATTATTGTTTCATAATTATCAGCAAATTTTTCTCCATCTCAAAAGGCACTCTCATGTAGTGAATTATAAAAAAAGTTGCGACATATAAGATTATTATGAAAAATCATGTAGAAATGAGAAATGAATTTTTGTAGAGATTTACCTTTATAAGAATTGCCGCATTATAGTATTTCATAATATTTAAAACGCACAATTTTTTCTTCACGAGAATGGAGTTAAATCATGTGTGTACATCATAGTATACAAATAATTCATCTTCTTTAAAAGAGTGACGTTGCAAAAGCTTGTATAACCATTGGTACGGTTGCATCAAAACCATAAATTGTTAAAATGTTTCTGTTGTATATATCCTCTTTGTATGCTTTCGAAGAACAGACAACGCAATTTATTAATCTACAAAAAAATATTTCATATCAAGCCTTATTGAATGAGACAAAACACAAGCGTACAAGTGGATAATTAAAAATCAAATTCTTACTTTGTATGTGGAAGGTTCATTTGTTTTCTATAGTCTTCAAAGACCTCTTCACATTCGTTGTAGTCTATTATATCGTCTATGACATTAATAAATACATCATACTGATAACCTTTTTGAGAAGCCCATATAATTGGGCTACTTAAACGAATAATGTTATTTGGCATAGGTTGGTATACACTTATTAGTGAAGAAAAATAGAGTGACTGATCCAAATTGATAATATGAACGTCGATAACATCAAATGCAGCAGCAGTGATATCCTTTTCGCATCGAGAAAGTGTATATGCTATTAAAAAACCAGCTTCTGCTGCATTCACATTTCCACTACGCCATGTAGGACACTTCCACATTATTTTGTTAGCATTAATCGTTATCATGTAACGCAAGCCAGTCGATTTGAGATTCTGCAAATGTAAACTCATAGTAAAGAGTAATTAATGGCGCGTCATAAATATATGTAAATATATGTAAATATATATACACATACACACATATCAATATTATGAAACTTACCAAAACTGAAAGTTCGAAAGCTTTGTTTAGTGCGTTTATAATCTTAGAGTTTGGTTTCGGCGGAGGAGGAAATGGTTTCTTTGCTTGTTCTTTCATTTTTCGTTTCTCGTATGACAATGGCCTTTGAAAGATACATTACTCGTTAATAACTTGATATGCTGATCAAAGTGATGGCTAGAACCATCACTGTCAACCCTAGTGTAAACCTACATATTGTTTTAGTATCAATCTACATATAAAATAATGGTATTATAAATTGTATGATATAGAAATGATGCTATACATCTGTATAACTTACTTTCCAGAATTTTCATAATTTTTTAAAATAATATAGACAAATATTGGATGTACATTGCTGCTAGCTAATCTTTCCTTATTAGTAATTTCGTCTATAATTTTTTCAACAGCTGGAGCATCTGTTTTCAATAATCCCAAATTGTGTATCCTTTGCAGATTACTCAAAAGTGTATGTAAATCCATTGACGGTATCAATGAATTCCAAATCTAGAAAAATAATAAAAGTTAAAAAGAGAAAATATTTATTTAAATAAATTTATATAGGAATTTTTACATGATACCTCTGTAGATTTTAACATATGACCAGGAACATGATCTAATGTTAATTCATACTTTTCTAAAAGACCAGCTGCCTGAACTTTGTCGTTACAATGTTTGAAATCTTCAATTTTTTCTATGTAATCAATCAATTCTTGTACATCCAAGTTATCGCCAAATGATTTTTTAGTTTTTTCCAAACCATGCATTATATATTTAAGTATCACTTCTTTTTCTATTTTAAACAATACATGTAATGCTTAATATATATATATCACTATTGCTAATAACGTCGTTATTTATTTCCCGATCGCTGCTCAATTGCTTGCTTAATACCTGGTGTATCAGGATGCGGATGTGAAAGTTTCACTATATCCTTGTGCTTCCAGCCATATCTGCCTTTACATCGTGTTACACATTTTGCCAATTCTAATGGTTCCTTGGAAAGGTACCAATTATTAACAGCTTTACGCAATCCATGACCCCACCCATGGCTTGGCTTATAAGGGTGGGGCATTGTAATTTTACGTTTACTTAGTTCAGATGCAAATTTTATAAATAGGATAAAATGTTCTGGCAATGAACAAATTTTTCCTACAATTGCATAAGCGGCATGACGTAAACTTTCACTGTAAACTTGTTTGCTACACACTGCTAATGCGAATATTAATGTTTCAGAATGTGGAACAAGATTACTTTCAAATGCCTATAAAATAACAAAATAGAATCATTCTCATAAATAATATAGTTAATTTTATTATATCTTGAAAAGGCATTACCTTTAGAATAATTTCAATGGGCAATAGTTGCTTATTTTCATCTGCAGCTAATTTTTCTATACATCCGACATTTACTGCTAAAAAATAATTATGGGCAAACAAATTTCCTGGATGATAGAGAGCAAATTCTTTTCCAACATATAAAAATGCAGACATTTGTTCTTCGGACGAATGAAAACTAAACTCCATTTCTTTAAACTCTTTGTTTGGCTTAAAATCTTTAATTGCATCCATTTTTCAACGTACTGGAATAAAAATAAATAAATTTGATAGATTGCAACTTTATAACATAATGTATAATATGTAAATGTCTGAGAAAATATCCTGTATCTGGTTTATTATGAATGAAAAATATTTTCTTTTCAACGACGTTAGATCTGTCAATATGACCCAATATCCCATAAAATCTATTTATGGGATTTTAATAACAAAGGAAAATTTTAATGACATAATCCTAAAAAAATTATTTGCATAGACATGGTACGCACTTGGGCAGCAACTATATCACCATGATTAAATATTCACATATTCTTACCTATAATAGGAATACACAGAGAATAACGCTGCCATTACGGAAATAGATGTAGTCGCGACGTGGAAATTATATTCTTTAAACATATATTGCGGTCGGTAATAATCAAAGTAGTACCTAGTGTTCCAATCGCAATTACAAAAGATGATAACTATTAATAAATATTTAATTATAAACAACATTACCTTACACCTACGAAGAAAACGAAGTTTACACCCAACGAACGTACGAACGAACTAACCGTAAACGATGATATAGGTAGATGTGCATACTGCCAATTATATCGGCAGCAAAAATAGCCAATAGACAATAATCTCTTGCAATAGAGAAATACGCATACCAACCAATCGGAGTTGAGTTTTAAGTATATACAGTACAATAATGTTTACAAATTCTTATTGCAAAAAAGTATCGTAATACTTGAATTATTTTGTAAACAAATAAATATATTCCGAAAGTAGAAAATTCTAAAATGTTCTATCAATTAATTAGCATTATGTATCTACATACCATAAATGTTAATGGTACTCTCTAAGTAAATAGAATTACACACATACATTGACCAATCATAAAGCATATTTAATTTCTGGCAAGCTGACGTAACCAATGAAAAAAGATAACCTGTTCAATCACTATGTAAAAAAGCACCCTGATTTTATACCTTCAATATATGAAAAATAAAAAATATGAAATTGTTAAACAATGCGATAACTATGCACAGCGAATTTCATTATTTCAAGAAATATTGACGAATAATAGAGCGATCATTTTGTATGAATATTATAGATAGCAAGAGGTAATTTAATGTATACATTGGTTAAAAAAGTATAATACGTTGAAGAATATTCTTCTGTACATATACAGTAAAACCTGGTTTCGTGCGGTTCTTTTTTATGCGATTTTATTTTTGTGCGATTGGTTTTGTGCGATTTTATTTTTGTGCGATTGGTTTTGTGCGATTTTATTTTTGTGCGATTTATTTTTATGCGGTATATGAATCTTAGCGGCGTTAGCACCAGTTTAATGTTTTCTATCAATGTACATATATGTACATTGGTGTGGATGAACTCTGATTACGTGGTCTCTTTGACAACGATGTATCTGGACTTCGCGATGCTCTGTTCATTTGTTTTAAACAATCTTCTGACAAGGCAGAGTCAGTTACGTACATATTGTCGCTCGACGCGCGAACAGTATACGCTTCGTATTCAGAGTTTTATTCACGATTCACGTGATTAAGGATTCATTTTATAGTGAGATTAAAGGTAAATAAATTAGTTACTTTCGTTTCTATTTATATGTAGTTTTTATGATTTTTATTTTATTTTTAGACATAAGTACTCCCTTAAAATGAATAATTATAGCCAAAAGAAAGTAAAAAGGCAGACAATTCCATTAGAAACAAAAATTCTAATATCCACAACTGTTGCTAACGAATTTAAATTAGGTGAATCCACGATCAGAGCTATAGCACAAACGAGAGCTGAGATCATCCATGTCTCGTTATCGTGACGTTTACAAGAAATTGACTAGTCAACCGTCACAAAAACTCATTACTGACTTTATGATACCAAAAAACAAATCAATTGAAATCCTATCTTCAAGCGACGAAAGTGATTTTGAACCAATTCATCACAATATAGCACAGACGTGCGAGTAAAATATATGAATCTCTTAATAGTGCAACATACGACAGTAGTAAAAGAGCATCATATTCGAGAAATATTGTAATAGAGAAGACGGAAAAAGCTCTCGTGTTGTGGGTTAAAGATTTACCTAAAAAACGAATCCCCGTTCACAAAGAATTAATTCAAGAAAAAGCTAGACAGTATTTCAACCAACTGAAGGATTTAGAACTAAGTTCGTCATCCTGTTTACGAAAATTGAAATTTTCGTAAGTGAAATTTTCTGCGAGCAATGGCTGGTTTGCTGGATTTTTACAACGATACGCACTTCACAATGTGAAGATATAAGGCGAGGCAGTGTCCGCCGATGAAACAGCTGCTATAAATTATGGCAAAGTATTAGCGGAAATCATTGATGACGGTGGATATTGCCAAACTGTCAATGATAGTGACATTATAAATAGTTTGATAGATTATGAAAATGGACAAGAAGAACCGGAACCTATTATAGCAGATAAAATATATGCAGGGATCCAGATTTCTAAAAAATTGGAAACGCATTTTCTTAAAATAGATACCAATGCGGAAAGACGCTTAAAATTTCAAAAAAAGCTGAGTTCATGCATGTCTCGTTATCGTGACGTTTACAAGAAATTGACTAGTCAACCGTCGTTACAAAAACTCATTACTGGTACCATTACTGATTTTATGGTACCAAAAAACAAATCAATTGAAATCCTATCTTCAAGCGACGAAAGCGATTTTGAACCAATTCATCACAAGATGCGCGTTTTGGATTACGACGAGTAGCACCAAACTATTTAATGTATAATTTGAAAACTTCTCCATGTATATGTACAATGAAGAATTAAATATTCTTACAATTTCTTCAGGTCTAATTTAATTATTTAATTTAATTGAAAGCATTCTCTCATCTATTTCATAAGTCATTGATGTATTTTCTAAGTCCGACTTTTTTTATGTGGTCCCTGTCCACCGCATAAAAAAAATTTTAGGTAGTATATCGTACAAAGTTGTTTATTATATGTAAGAATTTATAAAATTTCCGAATATTTTTTTGTACGATTTCTTTTATGCGGTTCCTATCCACCGCACAAAAATAGGTTTTACTGTAACGGTTATTGAGTGATTAATCAAAGATAAAAAATAAATAAAGAAACCACAAAGAAGGACGTAAATGGGCAGTGTCAAACAAATCTTTTAATCCACGTCATATTCATTATGCCCGATATAAAGAAATTCTTTTCATAAATCAACAGTTGCAAAGGATATATGTATTATAATAATATATTTTGATGAGAGATAGATTCGTAGGTATTTAAATTGCAACGTGTTCCTCCGAAAGTTTAACGTAACTGATTGAAATGTAATGCTTAAAGGTTTATGCAATTTCTGCAAAATGATTGTTGAAATAAATGATCTATTCCAAAATCATTACGAAGCATTAGAATTTACTTCAACAGACGTATTTCTTATTTGTGTTATATTATAGTATACACAATTATTTGTTTTAATGAAAATTCTAATGTGCGTATAGACATGGTTTATAATAAAATAAAATAAAATAAAAACGAAGTGACCTATACGAACGAATGTTCGTGGCAGGATGAAAAAGGATCGCTTTTTAACGATCATAAGTGCTATGAATAAATCAATATTCATAATAAAGAGTCATATTTGTATAAACTACAAAGTAAAATACAGTCAGATAAATGTGTAGAATAAAGGCAAATTAATTGCTTTCTCAGTTTGCCAATTTGTCATATTTCCTTTTTCTGCCTTCTTCTTTTCTTCATCATTTCGTTTTCTCCCTGGACATTCGGTTTGTCCAAATTGCGAATACAGCGAACATTTATGGGAAAAGATGTGTCATAATTAACAAAAAAAGGAGGAAAAAGAAAAAAGAAAGAAAAAGAAACGAAAAGAAGAGAAAAGAAAGGAAAGGATAATAAGAAAAAATATGAAAATGGATTTCGAAGATACGGATTAATGATAGAATTATTTTCTTTAGAAGCATTTGCGGTGAACGATGCCAGGGCCAGACTCGTCGTACTCCTGCTTCGAGATCCACATCTGTTGGAAGGTGGATAAGGAAGCAAGGATGGAACCACCGATCCATACGGAGTATTTCCTTTCGGGAGGTGCTATGATCTTGATCTTGATAGTCGAGGGTGCGAGGGCAGTGATTTCCTTCTGCATACGATCGGCGATACCAGGATACATGGTGGTACCACCGGATAGTACAGTATTGGCGTAGAGATCCTTACGAATGTCGACGTCGCACTTCATTATGGAGTTGTAGACAGTTTCGTGAATACCGCAGGATTCCATACCCAAAAAGGAAGGTTGGAAAAGTGCTTCTGGGCAACGGAACCTCTCGTTGCCGATAGTAATGACCTGTCCGTCGGGCAGTTCATAGCTCTTTTCAAGAGAAGTACTGGCAGCTGCGGTCGCCATTTCTTGTTCAAAGTCCAATGCAACATAGCAAAGCTTCTCCTTGATGTCACGAACGATTTCTCGCTCGGCCGTGGTTGTAAATGAGTATCCCCTTTCGGTTAGGATCTTCATGAGATAGTCGGTTAGATCACGACCGGCCAAGTCCAAACGTAAGATGGCATGAGGAAGAGCATAACCTTCGTAGATAGGGACGGTATGAGATACACCATCGCCAGAGTCCAATACGATACCCGTGGTACGACCGGAGGCGTACAGGGAAAGAACTGCCTGAATGGCAACGTACATGGCTGGGCTATTGAAGGTTTCGAACATAATTTGTGTCATTTTTTCGCGATTAGCCTTAGGATTGAGCGGAGCTTCGGTAAGGAGAACGGGATGTTCCTCTGGAGCGACGCGAAGTTCGTTGTAGAAGGTGTGATGCCAGATTTTTTCCATGTCATCCCAATTGGTGATGATACCGTGCTCTATAGGATACTTTAGAGTAAGGATACCCCTTTTGCTTTGCGCTTCGTCGCCAACGTAGCTGTCTTTTTGACCCATACCGACCATCACACCCTGTAGTCATAAAAATAAGATTGTTATCCATCCATTTATTTTTTTTCAGGATACATTTAATATTCGATCCAATTTATTATTTACGATTACGTACCTGATGACGTGGTCTACCAACAATACTAGGAAAGACAGCTCGTGGTGCATCATCTCCTGCGAATCCCGCTTTGCACATACCTGAACCATTGTCCACGACGAGCGCCGCAACATCATCGTCGCACATTTTGAAGGATTGTTATTAGCGTTTCTTTCTGCGAATGAATTAATGAAATTAATCGCTTTCTCTTTTCTTTTACATCCTCTTATAACAATCACTTTGATAGAATACGGAAGTTCGATAGGTAGTTATTCATTGCATTTCATAGAGAAGAAAAACTGTTTATGTCGATTCTAGATACTAGGAAACGTTAACAAATCATTGAAATATCATTTTACTATTCACAGGCAGATACTAGGTGCAATTAAATTTCCATGTAGCATGCATCATGGTATCCTTATATTTCGTCACGTAGCACCATGCAAGATTTACCAAACTACACTTCACACAAATTTCAACACGCCGAAAATGTACATAAAATTAAGCCATTGGTTAGTACGAATCGATTGCCCGATACACTTGATCGCGATCACGAGAATCACAAAGTTGACGATCTATGCATAAGTTCGAAAGAAAAAGTAGTAGAAAGCATAGAATAGGAAGGAGATGTGGAAAAAAGAATTAGAGGAGTTGATGAAGAAGAAGAAAAAGCGTTGTCTAATGCAAGATAAAACGACAGGCGCAAGGTTTGCATTTTCCTTTGAATGATTTACCGTTCAGAGTTGGATGGCTCAATAGATCGGCGACGATCTCTTAGGGACGAACGTTGTACAAGAGACCGAAAGCGGCGAGTGGCGCATCGTCTGCTCTGTGGGGTACCTTTATCCATATCGGTTCGAAGCCGAAAATAGCGATCCGCCCCTTAGATGGAAATCTGCTGTACGTTAACGCGTGCATCGGTTCGCCGCCGCCGCCGTCGCCGCCGCCGCCACCACCACCGCCGCCGTCGCCGCCTAATCCTTAGTCGCCCTAAGAGCGACGTCGAGAGGGAGACGCGGGTTGTTACGACGCCGACGACGCGCTTTTCCCAACGGATCCCGAATCCAAATAAGGACTCGTTACAACGCAGGGCCGTCCTCCCCGGGTGCTTTTCACCTAAATGAAGGTACCAATAGATGATGGTACGCGTCCAGTTCACGCTTTCCTCCCTTTTTTAACTACTATTGCTTTTTTTTTTTTCTTTTCTTTTTTCCTTTTTTCTTGTCATTCTTTCGCTGTTCTTTCTTTGTTCGTTTCCTTGCTTTTAAAAGTACTTCTTCTTCTGTAAAAGAAAAGAGAAAGATGTAAAGAACAACATTTAAAGTAGGTTACGTTGTGAGATTCAGTCAAAGTCATGTGTCTTCGTCAAAATAAAATATCATTTATCTTTTACGTAATTATATATTCCTCTCATACTTATTAAAGGATTTTATACAAGAATGAATCTCGAGTAATTTATATTTACATAAAAAATCATGTTGTATTAGTTATTGTATAATGGCCTAACGCAGATGATAAAGATGATATAAATGTAAGGACAGGTAGTTCGTAGAACGTATTTGAAATAGAAATACTCGAGAGAATATTGATTGTATTTGGAAAGACAATAATCTTCTAAATAATAAAAATAACCATTTTTTATTTAGTATTATTAAAATGTACGGGGCGACGAGAATTACTCGATCCATCATCGAGCTCTCTCCCCACTTTACCATTTTGTAGTAGCATCGATGTTGGCTGTCGATTTGTCGGACAGATTCGCCGAGTTTGCATTACTGAGTTTCAATCTCGAAACGGCGCGTCTTTGTTAGTTGCTAATGTTCTTTTAATTGTGCTTCCTTTGCATACGTTACGGTAACTAACTTAAAGAAAATTATTATGAAAAAATGAGTGCAAATTGATCATCATTCTGCCGTATGCGAACAAGCATACGAGGATGAATATCTCCTGAGATTAAAATTAAATCATTAACGACATTCTCTTTCGTTAGCACTTTCGTGTCGGTAATAAAGCTTATATATAAAACAATTGTTCCTTGATAATTCGATTATGATAGATAAAATATTCGTGAGAGAGTTAGAATATAACGTTAGAATGTAAATTCTGTACATATACGTATTTTCTACGTATCTTATTTCACTATGCAAAGTTCGAATGTAAAATGACATCAATGTAATTTCGCTTTACACTTTAGACAAATTATAAATTTTGTATAATTTTCCCAAGTCCAAATCAAACGATCCTTCTTCTTCAAAATTATATTTGCAGATCGGATGATAAAAGTTAGCCAATGCATCCGAATGTTACCTTCTTCGTCAAATATGCATACAACGACTAAAATGTTACCTGGATTTTCATTTCCACTGGGCATTGGCTGATGGATCATTGTTAACCACATCGGTGAACGATTTGGTGCATCATTAAGGACGTGGTAATTTAAAAAAAATCATTACTGATTCATTGTCCGGTGTACAGCAGTGTTTATGCATGATCGTTAAATTGAATTCTCCCTTGGGTAGATAGCCAATTATATCGTCTTCCTTGTAAATTATCCATATCTATATACATATATAGAATTAGTTGGTTCTAATATGTAAATATTTAATTATACGTAAACTAAACTACTTTTAATAAATCCGTTTTATATACGGTTCCTTTAGCCAAATGTTTTTCCACTTACCTTGTACTTGAACTTCTAATATTTGTGAATATTAATTTTCTTTAATTTTCATCGTCCAATTAGTTTTCTTCTAATGCATATAAACCAAAAACTGACATATGAAAATAGTAGCGGTATAGTATAGGTACAAAGGCAAATCATCCCAGTAATTATTGCACGAACTTTATATCTTTCGGTCTATGATTCCGAATGTTTGCATGACAAAAGTTATAAAAAGCATAAAAATTATTAGACAGTTAAATATAATACATTTTCCTCAAAGAGATCGCTGAATATATTGTATAAAATGAGATGTAAAAGATGAATTTGTTTTTCTAGTAGTAAATCTAGATTTCATTACGTATATCAATCATAATTAAAAAATCTTGAATAAAATTTATCTTATTTAAATGTTATAATTCCAGAACATTATCAAAACGATTAATGAAACGATGACTTAATATAATATGCGTGCGAGTAATGCGTATAAAGGGTAACAAATGAAAGATTACTAGTTACACCGCTGTGAAAATATAAGTCTGATTTATTCCATAGAGATAGAGATGTAGAAATTCTGTGTGTATATACATATATATGTGTATATATGTATATTAAGTATGTGTATACACATTCACACACACACACACACACACATAATATGACGGTTATATTCAATTAGTGCCAAAAAGAATACTGATTGCTACTCCTAATAAGGAACTCCTTGTGGTTGTAGCTAAAAAGTACCAACAGTAAAATTGAAATAATCGACATGTAACTAGATGAAATAGTGCGGAATTTATGGGTGTATCTGCGTAGATAATATAGCAATAACAATCATTTATATGAATATAATTGCTTAGAAGCACTTGCGGTGAACGATGCCTGGACCAGACTCGTCGTACTCTTGCTTTGAGATCCACATCTGTTGGAAGGTGGATAAGGAAGCAAGGATGGAACCACCGATCCATACGGAGTATTTCCTCTCGGGAGGTGCTATGATCTTGATCTTGATAGTCGAGGGTGCGAGGGCAGTGATTTCCTTCTGCATACGATCGGCGATACCAGGATACATGGTGGTACCACCAGACAGAACGTTGTTGGCGTAGAGATCCTTACGAATGTCGACGTCGCACTTCATTATGGAGTTGTAGACAGTTTCGTGAATACCGCAGGATTCCATACCCAAAAAGGAAGGTTGGAAAAGTGCTTCTGGGCAACGGAACCTCTCGTTGCCGATAGTAATGACCTGTCCGTCGGGCAGTTCATAGCTCTTTTCAAGAGAAGTACTGGCAGCTGCGGTCGCCATTTCTTGTTCAAAGTCCAATGCAACATAGCAAAGCTTCTCCTTGATGTCACGAACGATTTCTCGCTCGGCCGTGGTTGTAAATGAGTATCCCCTTTCGGTTAGGATCTTCATGAGATAGTCGGTTAGATCACGACCGGCCAAGTCCAAACGTAAGATGGCATGAGGAAGAGCATAACCTTCGTAGATAGGGACGGTATGAGATACACCATCGCCAGAGTCCAATACGATACCCGTGGTACGACCGGAGGCGTACAGGGAAAGAACTGCCTGAATGGCAACGTACATGGCTGGGCTATTGAAGGTTTCGAACATAATTTGTGTCATTTTTTCGCGATTAGCCTTAGGATTGAGCGGAGCTTCGGTAAGGAGAACGGGATGTTCCTCTGGAGCGACGCGAAGTTCGTTGTAGAAGGTGTGATGCCAGATTTTTTCCATGTCATCCCAATTGGTGATGATACCGTGCTCTATAGGATACTTTAGAGTAAGGATACCCCTTTTGCTTTGCGCTTCGTCGCCAACGTAGCTGTCTTTTTGACCCATGCCAACCATCACACCCTGGTGACGAGGTCGACCAACGATCGATGGGAAGACGGCACGAGGTGCGTCATCTCCCGCGAATCCGGCCTTACACATACCAGATCCATTGTCTACAACAAGGGCGGCTACTTCGTCGTCGCACATTGTGCTTTTTGTTCGATTTTAAAGATCTGCAAACAAAAGAAACATCATTTTATATTAGTTGGTCGTCGTAGTTTGTGCAAGTAATTTATCACGTATAATGTTTTAGCTAAAGTCTTTCGCTAAATATTCCTTTCATATGTAATAGATTTGTATGTTATAATTCCTTTCATATGTAATAGGTTTATATGATTGTTTTGTTGCTTTAAAATATTTCTCAATAACGTTTTTAGGAATCATCGCTAGCCAGGATTGACCCAGTTGCCTATAAAACGATAGGCGAGTGGCTTCAGCATCGCAAAGTTATTTCTGTGCGGCGGATAGCTAAGTTTAGATGGACGACCAACGGACGCTCCCTAATAAGTTCAAGCAATGTTTATAGTATCCGACGTCGCCCCGGCTCGGCCGTTAAATGAAAAAACATAGCTCATATGCTTGTGCGTGCCAAAATTACGCTATGCTTTGAAAAGCATCGCAGAAACGTATGCGGACAAAGACCTCGAATAAGTTTAAAATTGTGCCTTGCTTTCATATTAATTAATTGCAATCCTGGAATGAATTTTATATCGAGAGATGGACAATCTAGTCAAAGGTAGCTTAATTACTTTGCGAGTGAAACATTTCTCTCTCTCGCTCTTTCAATCCGTTATTATATATTTTTAATAATAAATATTATTAATAAAAAGAAATTAAAAGAGGGACAAAGTCGGAAAGTTACTTGCATGAAAACTCATTTAGAAACATTCGTTAAACGCCAGATTTACGAACGCGTTGATTTTTTCTTTACTTTGATAAAAAAAAAATCTTTGTCGTGAGTATCATTTGGTTACAGTCGAGTTAATCGAACGATTTTTCCTTAAACTTAATTTTTGTTTCTATTCGATTTGTTAAGATTTAAAGAAAATATAGTATATCAATAAGAACGGATTTTACAAATGAGAGATCGTTGGAATCGTATAAATGCAACGATTATCTAGATCGATATAATATTAAGGATGAATAATTGAAATAAGATTGTTAGAAAGTATCTTAGGACTTGGTGTCGCTTGGTATATACGTACCGTGCACGGGACAGAGTTGGAGTGGCGTCTGTGCCTTTGGGCGTCGCGACGTCGAATATATGCTCTCGTCAGTACACCCCCGCATTTTCGTGGAATGGTGCGTGCTCGACAGGCACGAAAAAGGCTTGCCTCGCGGGCGTCGCGACGCTCGCCGAACTAGGCGGTTGCGAGATCTAAGCAAGAGATCAACGTATAACTTCGAAAACTCCTATATTTCAATCCTTCTTATGATTCTTTACATAGTTAACCATTTTTTCGTTTTTTTTTTATAATACATCAAATTAATTGAAAATCATTTAATACCTAATCTGATCCAAAATTCGATGCAAAAGAATCCAAACGAATTTATATTTTTTCTTTCTGATAAATATGATATTTTATGGATGAATTTTTTGCACTCTAATTACTTATTGTTAGCTTCAGCTACATGCTGTATGGAAGAATAATATTATTCTTTTCGTTTTATTTCCATATTTGTTGATAACGACATAATGTCTTTCCTCTTTCTCTCTCTCTCTCTCTCTCTCTCTCTCTCTCTCTCTCTCTCTCTCTCTCTCTCTCTCTATCTATCTATCTATCTATTTATCTATCTATCTATCTATCTATCTTTTGCTCTCTCTCTTAAAAAAAAAATGAATCACCAACAATCAATCTTTTTCATCTACATCAATTTTCCAATTAAAAGTCATAATTGCAAGTAGAGCTTCTTATCCAATATCTCTAAATGGATAATTCGTTCTTTTTATTAATTGTGAAAGATTCTTTACAAGAATATCAACATATACTTTTATAGGCTATTTATTTACTCTAAAAATAATATCACATATATTACCGGGACATAAAGTAATTTATATTTTTATTTGACTTTAAGCTATTGTAAAATAACTTTCTTTTTCATATAAAATAAGTAAATAAATATTTGCTATAACTAATTACTTTCATTAAAAAGAGCAAAGAATAACGAATAAATAATCAACAATTTAGCTGCAGAGTTTTATTTTTAAAGATACGTGTTGATTGATCACTGATAGAGACTTGCAAAAAGAATTTTTTTTTATAATTTCGCCTTTCTTGTACTAATATAGAGTACCATTTAATAGCTATACTATTACCACGCATGCATAAATATATAAATATTTTTATTTTCCAATGCTAATATGTGCATGCGTATTTTTATTTATATATAATCTGTTTAACCAATTAACTATGTACATGATCAAACAGTTGACGGTTGGATGGTGATTGGTGAAATTCATAAATATCATGAGAAGCTACTGGAAATCGATGTGAGTGACTGTTCGTAAAAATAGATTCCTCGTACCTAATTTGGATGGATGGGAGAGCCAAGTTTTGATAAAAGCTACCTCGTGCGGCGAGACAGCTTTTTTTGGACATTGCCTCGCAATTACTCAGATATGCTTTTACTCGAGAGCAAAACTATAGACTCTAGCAAAGAAATGATTAACAATCATGATGAATATATATCTATATCAAATATATTATTGCATGTTTTAATTCAGTTTAATTTTGCAATCAGTTTCTAATTCGAGATCACAATTGGACGATAGTAAAGAACGCGATTATATAGGAAAAATTTAATTCTAATAAACTAAAAATAGGTATTACGTAATGTGCGCGCACCTCAAGAGTAATACAACATTTAACTGAATACATAGAGACAAAATGTTCGTAAAGAAGTCTTCTGAATTGCTTTATCGAATAATAAAACATCATTGAAACATACATTAAAATCCTATAAATGTCTAAAGGATTATAACATTGGATATATAGGAAAGGATATAACATCGTGTTTTAGTATTAAATAATATTTATAATGTCGTGTGAAATTTATATTTAGGTTTATATTTGACATGGTTTGTCAATTGTATAACAATGCAACAATGATTTAGTATATAATATTTACAATGTAAATTATAATATATTCAGATGCACTTTAGAAGCCTTGCTTCGTTAATAACCAAGATAGAATGAACATGAACTTAATTGTACGATTACAGGCAATATAATTGACATTAAGATAGTAAACAATCTTAATGGTAATGTAATGGTCAACTAAGCGTGGCTCCTTCCAAAGTTCATATTAATAAAATGATTATCTTTGGAAATCTTTGATTACACTGACATTTGATGTGATAATGTTCCCTTCGACTTTCCTTCTTGCAAAAAGTTACGAACTTAAAATAGATTGAATAGGATATTTGAAAAAGAAATCCCAAGAAAATATATAATTTGATAATGAAAAGTCGAATGCTGATGTGTCAATGATTTTCTTTTGTAGTAGCACAATTGTTCGTATAAATATGATCATCATTCTCAACAATACTCCTAGACGCAACCAAGACGTTAATTCTTCAAAATCTGTGTCGCATTTCTGACACTGTTTAATAATGGATCTAAAAGCACTTGCGGTGGACAATACCAGGACCGGACTCGTCGTACTCCTGCTTCGAGATCCACATCTGTTGGAAGGTGGATAAGGAAGCAAGGATGGAACCACCGATCCATACGGAGTATTTCCTCTCGGGAGGTGCTATGATCTTGATCTTGATAGTCGAGGGTGCGAGGGCAGTGATTTCCTTCTGCATACGATCGGCGATACCAGGATACATGGTGGTACCACCAGACAGAACGTTGTTGGCGTAGAGATCCTTACGAATGTCGACGTCGCACTTCATTATGGAGTTGTAGACAGTTTCGTGAATACCACAGGATTCCATACCCAAAAAGGAAGGTTGGAAAAGTGCTTCTGGGCAACGGAACCTCTCGTTGCCGATAGTAATGACCTGTCCGTCGGGCAGTTCATAGCTCTTTTCAAGAGAAGTACTGGCAGCTGCGGTCGCCATTTCTTGTTCAAAGTCCAATGCAACATAGCAAAGCTTCTCCTTGATGTCACGAACGATTTCTCGCTCGGCCGTGGTTGTAAATGAGTATCCCCTTTCGGTTAGGATCTTCATGAGATAGTCGGTTAGATCACGACCGGCCAAGTCCAAACGTAAGATGGCATGAGGAAGAGCATAACCTTCGTAGATAGGGACGGTATGAGATACACCATCGCCAGAGTCCAATACGATACCCGTGGTACGACCGGAGGCGTACAGGGAAAGAACTGCCTGAATGGCAACGTACATGGCTGGGCTATTGAAGGTTTCGAACATAATTTGTGTCATTTTTTCGCGATTAGCCTTAGGATTGAGCGGAGCTTCGGTAAGGAGAACGGGATGTTCCTCTGGAGCGACGCGAAGTTCGTTGTAGAAGGTGTGATGCCAGATTTTCTCCATGTCATCCCAATTGGTGATGATACCGTGCTCTATAGGATACTTTAGAGTAAGGATACCCCTTTTGCTTTGCGCTTCGTCGCCAACGTAGCTGTCTTTTTGACCCATGCCAACCATCACACCCTGGTGACGAGGTCGACCAACGATCGATGGGAAGACGGCACGAGGTGCGTCATCTCCCGCGAATCCGGCCTTACACATACCAGATCCATTGTCTACAACAAGGGCGGCTACTTCGTCGTCACACATTTTGCTATTTTATTATCGCTGAAAGAAATATATTCTTTGTTAAAAAATAAATTTTACGCGATAAATTCATTCGAAATCGGCTGAAAGAGGACGCACCGATAGTGCGAATAAACTTATATATAAGAGTAGACTAAACTACCAACCGTGAGGGTGAGTTGCGGATGAGTAGGTAGCTGCGGAACGGCTGAGGCCCGCAAGCGCTGCGAAGCCAGATATAACGCTCGCGTACCGTACGCGATGCTACCGAAGATGGGCACGAGGGACGTCTCCAGGGCTGCCCAATAGTTCTACCCACGTAAAATGGGAAACTTACGCAGTGCTTCGACCGGGACAACGCATAACCGGGAAATCTCTCGAAGCTAAATATTCAAACATCGGGTATATCATTGGATGTTCGAGGGTGGACCTCAATGTTTTTTGGACATCCCTGACTGCTCGAGAAATATGCGTCAATCCCCACCGGCGCTTTTCTTCTGTTTTCTTCATCTTCTTCCGCTTCTCTTCCCATCTCGTCCTCCTCTTTCATTTTAGCTTCAGCGTCGCTTTTCTCAACGGAACGGAACATCCAAATCTGGATATTAATGTAGAAAAACATTGAATGATTTCCAAAAATTCCAAGAGAAGATTATAAAATTTGAATTGTATTTTCTTCTTCGTTTTAAGGTAACCTTATATTATATTTCTATTAATGTTATTTTCATTTTATTCTACTTTATTGTAATATTGGTTTACGTTATTTTTACTATCATAGTAATTTTAATGTTATATTTTTTTTCAATTATTTTTGTAGTCTTATTTTTATTTTTTTTTTTAAATTATACGAAAAAGATTCAAGTTGTTATATATAAAAATTTAAGCTATAATCAATTAAGACTTAACGACAGAGAACAGTTTTAAGTTTATGAATCTTTCTTACCATAATATTATATAAATAATATTAAAAGTAATAATAATTTAATGAAATTTCTATTTTTATTACAAGATATTATTATTACAAGATATATATATATATATGAATACAGAAATATATATATATATATCTTGTAATAATAATTTCAATCAATATTTATTTATTAAAAATGTATTGAATAGTAATATTTTTCAGTTGTCTCCGTCCATATTAAGAAGTATAATACATACATATATGTACACACACGTTGGTGCACGCGAGCATTTAACTTTATTATTCTTTATAAATTAAAGGTAAAAAAAGACAAATATAATAAGTTCTCCTTACGTTTATAAATCACACAAGGCAAGTATACAGCTTCTCATAAAACCTCTGTAAATTTGTTTTATCGCTAACTGATTAATAATATAAAGTACGTCATCAGAATCGGTTATATTTTCTAAATCAATCCAGATGCAATCCAATAAATATGAAAAATTTTAATTATGTATATAAATTTTATAACTTATAAAATATATGTATGCATACATACACACACACACACACATTTCAATTTAATGTATCTTATTATTTACAGCTTCAAGTAAATTACGTTTTGACCAAAATTTGTGATTAGGATTTGTTCTGGCAATGAAGAGATTTCATTTAAAGAACTTAAATCCTCTCTGCTAATATAATAAAAAATTACCATCTTTAATTTCTTGTGATGCCATTTCTTCTTACTGACATTTTATTAAACATTTTAGACAGAAATAGTATTTCCTGATTTCTCATTTTTACAAAATATATTTTAGATAGCTTTAGTTATTAGTCAGTTTTATTTCCACACATTTGTCAGCGCATTTTGTTTAAATTTCTTCATCAGAATCGGTTGAAACATAAATAAATTGACTATTAATGAAATAATCATTTTACATAAGTTGACCTTATGATTGTCTTTTAAAAATTAGTAGTGTAAGACGTAAAATAATATCGTACGTCCTATGAAATATTAAGTATTTAAATCAAAAATATACATTGTTTGAAAAATAACATAACCTATAGTCATAAATATATAAAAATGAAGACAACTTTATGTGGCTTTGTTTATAACTAATAAAAAAAGAAATAGGGATACTGATAAATGTATTTGCACGTATTTTTAACAAAAAGGAATTTCAATTCGATCGAACATTTTTTATAAACAAAATACGAATTTCCATGAAATATGTACTTTTGAACGAGACATGATGCAGATGTGGCGCTATCTTAGGAATATGTGGAATGAATTAAACAATTATAAGCAGAATTAATAATAAAAAAAATGTAAAAAAGCAAGTTAATAAATAAATATTAGATTGAATTAAATTTATAAAAAAACAATAATTATTAACGTTTATTAAAAGGCCTTTTTAAAAAATGACTAACTTTTATAAAAAGGTTTACATGTATTTATTGTGTACTATTTCCTTCAGAATTTGGCCGTAGAGAATGTGCATGAGGGCGATACTAGCGCATCTATAGGATATGTAACTAAGTCTGAGATATCTCTTGTATACAATTTATTACCCTTGATTTTTTCTGAAAAACGTCATCATCCAAAAATATATAGCTACGTAAGAGCAAAGTAGTGAAATCGAGTGAAACGTTATTAATCTGTAGAGATTTTTTTAGCTGCAATCACAAAAGAATAAGAGTAAAGTTACGATGGATAAAACTAAAACCGATTCTAATTTTGAATTACCACCTCTTCGGCGTTTGGATGACTTTTTATTGGAATACGCTCGTTTTCAAATACCAAATTTTAAAGATCTTGATAAATGGGGTAACAGAGTCGTAAATAATTTGCTTTATTATCAAACAAATTATTTGTTCATGTTTGTGATTATTTTTCTCGTTGTAGGGTAAGTGTCAAATTCATTTTCTGTGTATATATATAAACACACATGGATACATACATATCTATATCTTATAGTAATCTTTACTATTATTTGACAATTAACGTTATACTATATAATATTGGAAACTATTTCTGCAGATTAATTCATCCTGTAAAAATGTTAGTTGGGATGTTAGCAATGGCAGTAATATTGGGAGGATTTGCCTATGTTTCGACCGAAGGAAGATTAATACACCAATTTAAGCAACAATATCCAGGTGTAGGTATACTTGGTATAATATTGGCAGCATGCTTTGCAACATATACATTAGGATCTCTCCTAGTTTTTCTACTTGGCATCCTGTTACCATTCGCAGGCAAGTTAAAATATTTCAATAGTATCGTTACAATATTGGCTAATTAACTAATAATTTGTTACAGTTATATTTGTACATGCTTCTCTGAGACTAAGGAATATTAAAAACAAACTTGCTAATAAAATTGAAGGTATTGGTTTGGCACGAACACCAATGGGCATTTTTTTGGAACATCTTGGTATGCAGGATGAAATTTTTGCATAATTTCACCATTCTTTTAGAATAAAACGTTTCTCTTTAAACGATAATAAGTTAATACAATTTTATGATAACAATTTTGCAATAGTATTAATATATATACTTTATATCAGCTTATACTGTAATGAATCTTCTCTCTCCAAATTGATTTATTTTTTTGTAATGTCTATAATTATCGTTATGCATAAAAGAACTAGACATATTTGTAATATACTTATTCATTTTTCTGTAATGTACTTTAATTTTTCTTTATATCTATCATTTTGTCTATTTATATACAAGACATAAAAAGGAAAAATTAAAATTCTTGATTACACCAATAAGATAGATACGATTAAGATATAATTTATTTATTGTAATTGATGTATTACATGCATCACATGACATGAATTAATTTTATTTAATGTAAACAATATATATTATATGTATGAATGTAAGATATTCTCAAATGTTATTACCAAAGATGCAAAAAAATGCAAATTACATATTTAGTCAGTAAATAGAAAAATATATTATCCAATACTGAGATATTAATATTTCATATTTTTCAATAGCTTTTCTATATATTTTGCTTGTATATAATATTCTATATATTATTATTTGTTACAAGTTGTATATTTACAATTATTAATATATTACATATTATATATGTAAGAAAAAAGCAAAGCAAGAATTTTGAAAGAAAAAATAGCTTACTTAATACTGCTACATAATTTATGAAAGACAATTATTTTCTTTAATATATATTTCTTAATTTTATATTGTATATTATAGAATAATGTAAATAAAATTATAGTAGAGCTCCTCTTCTCCAAAACTGTCTCTATATCTCAATATGCACTGTTATTAAAAAAATATTTTCTAAGTAGTAAAATAGTATACTAAAAGAATCAAGATAAAGATTATGATTTTAATTGAACATTCTACTTAGACATTGCAAATATATTTACTATTCTATATAGCTTTTTGTACATTCAAAAAGAATATTATTTTTTTTAACAAATTAATTAAATATTAGTTTTAATAATTTAGATTTTATTAATTTACTATAAAACTCATATAAAATTAATGTAAATTGTTTTATATATTGAATTTAGAATTATTCTTATATATCTAATCTTCTGTTATTTTTTATTTATTGTTTTGAACAGATGCGAGGAGCGCAACCTTACGTTCCCTAAAGTATTTCATTAAAACACGCGACTAACAACCAGCTTTGAAATATGTGATTGTACTATACTTTAATGGGTTATATATAATGATTATCCTTATAAATCATTACTTCCCAAAGGAAAAAAGGTTCTTCATATATAATATTAATTATACTTTATTATTCTGTAATTTATACCATCACACAATTTGAATATATTTTATTAATATGAAATTAAATCTATGAATAATATTTTATATTGATTATGCAAAAAAAGATAGACACTATATATATATACACGCACACGCGTACACACACACACACATGTGCGTATCATATAACATATGATACGCAGGTTAAAATAATTACAAAAAAATTAATAAATATATGAATATATAATCTAAATTTGTAAATGACCAGATCTTTCTCTTAAATTGAATGTCTGGCTATATCTGTATTGCACGTGTGTTACAGAAAATCAATACAAAACAGAAATAAACTTGGAATGTAAATTAAATGTTATTTTACACATTTTCTATATACAAAATGCAGAGAAGTATAATTTATATCAGTAATAAATTTTTTGCTCACAATTTGATTTTATATTCTGGAAGAACTATTTATATATTGCAAGGCACTTTACACGACATTACGATTTTTTATGTGTTCGTATCATTATATTAAACGTATCGTATTTACGATATTTTTTAACGTGACCACATATAAAAATACATCTGTTGCCAATGTGGTAAATATTTTTCTATTGGTTCTGTTATAAGTCTAGCCAAAGGCACTTTTGCAGACAAAATTTTCAGTATTGCTATTATTTTAAGACGACTGTAATTGTCATAAAAAGGTGAACGTAAAATATATAGTAGTATACCTAATCTTCTTTGATAAATTTCTTTCCATTCTTCTTCATTAAGTGCAGCTGCCTTTCCGTAATGATTAAATAATTGTAAACTGGAAAAAAATTATTTTATACTTTTATTGTTTTTCCTCCACATCGGTATTCTTTAATTAAAAATTCTTTGCTACCTAGATAAATCAATGATTAAAGACAAAAACCATGGTTGCCAATTCATTTTTCCAATTGTAGATAAACAACCAAGATGGATCAATGGCTTTATTATATAAAAAGTCTGAAAAGAAAAAAGAAAGAATTTTGAAATATTGTAACAAGAGATTTAATGATAAAAGATACTATATATGCATAGTTGAAACAAACCTCTGCTAATTTCAACATTCGTTTAGATATAAAAGCATTATCAACATTTTCATTTTCATCTCTCATAGATGGTATAGGTGCCCAGACCCGTGTTTGTATAGATCTAGAGGTTCTAATACTCCTAACTACGATACCACTTCGTTTCAACTGAAATCCTTCTCTCATTTTAACATCTTTATCGCATACATTTATTTTATTTCTATTCAGTGGCTTAATAGAAGGACTTTTCACTAAATTTTCTTTGTAGACATATACCAAACACAATCTCATTACAGCCCTATAAATCGAAAAAATGTAAATTACTTTACCATACGATTTTATTAGTTGATTATAATGATGGCAAACTTACTTAAATATTTGTATAAATCCAATAATGAGCCATTTCCCTGACTTTCCCCAGATTGTATGTGCAGATACTTCAAATAAAGCTTCTGTATACTCCAACACGGTTAACCAGATTTTAATTTTTAATTGCAATTTTGGTATCTTCAAATTCATATACTTGCCACTCGATATCAATAAATCGTTAAACAATTCAATTAAATTTGGTATGGAATAAATAAGTTCCGATGCCAATGTAGAATTATTAAATCGACCTATAAGAAAAAATCTGTCAGGAAAAAAATGCCCATAACGAAAAAGAGAAATATAAATAGACAAATTTAATACCAGCTGTAAAGTAAGAGAAACATCTTACTGTACTCTCCAAATCTGCCAGTAATTGTGGATTAGATTGTACCCAATGTTTATAAGATGTGATCAATTCAAAGAATCCTGAATTGATGGCATCCATGATTATTTTGATGAGTTGACGATTAATTGAACTGTTAGTAATTTTTTTATAGCTAATCAATTTATTCTTTATTCAAACAGAAATAAACGTTTTGTGTACCTTCATGAATGACCGAATAAAATTTCATACTATGTTCTGTTCATAGTTGAAATCTGAGCAACTTGACTGCTGACAAAGACGACTGACCAATGATTTGTGTCTCTAATATAAGTATCTATGCTATATGATAACCACGACCAACCAGCAAACGAACATACAACAGTAATTTTACACAACACAATATTTAAAATAAAACGAAGAATAAATTAAAATATATAATGGTCATACAATAATTAGATTGAATTTTATGTACTTTTTTTTAATTGAGTTTAATTTAGTTTTCAATTCTACATAAATTCGGTGAATAATTCCAAATGATTTTCTCGTCACGTGCATTTGATTTTTTAACATAAATATCGATGATAATCGTGATTGTTGAGTAAATTTAATATTAAATATATATATATATATATACATAATTTTATACATAAATATATATATATATTTGATCTAATAGAATTTTCAAATATTTTTGGTTAGTAAACTTCTCTGGATTGAATATTATTTGTACATATGCAAATTATTAATCTGCAAAAGAATGATGGATAAACTTAAAGAAAAGATTAGTGAAAAAATAGAAACTCAGCTCTTGACAAACGTCATAGACGAAGGTAAGAGAGTTCTATAATTTATTTATGGTACATCAAAAAAGTATTTTATTTGAATATCATTTTTCTCTTAGAGTGCAATGCAGTTATTATACGGAAAATATTAGAAGGTCAATACGTGGATGTATTACTTGAATTAGCATCGGCCAAACTATTTGAATCTCTTTCTAATAGCGATGATTTACAAGAAATCATATATAATAATATAAAAAAAGATACAACGGATAGCTACGAATGGTTATGCCTAAGTATAGCATCTTTGTTTTACTTTATTAAATGCAATTGGACAGGTCCGATTACAGATGACAGAGGCATTGAATTATTATCGGTTACAAGAGAAAAAGCACTCAAGTATTTATCCCTACATGATGAATGTAATGAGAATGTTGAAAAGCCAGAATTTCTTTATTTATCTAAAATTATATTCTCAAATGAGTATATGCAAAACAACTATAAAAGTTGTATGTGGTGGTTATTTAGAGCCAATCTTCTGCATCAGTTCATATTAGAGGAGACTTCAGGAACAATATTTGAAGAAACGGAAATGTTAATTGCAAATATTGGTGCTTTAAATATCGTACGATCTACGTTTTCAGAAGCTCTATTTAATCTCGAAGTTGCACAATTTTATTTGTACTATAAAAGAATAGAATGTTCAGAAAAGTATTTGGCACATGTTGAAAATATTGCTCAAGTAAAAATGGAATTACAAGGTATTATGGGAAAGCGAACAAAATATCAAAAAGAATTGAAGCCGCAATTATTTTTAAAAATAAGTATGGACAAAGAAGATACATTTGAGACAAGAATTTGCAAAAACTTACCAAAGTCTTTAGATCTAAATGATGATTTAAGACTAGAACGTACTCAGTTTTCTGAATTTCAGGATGAAATTAGATTGGGAGCATTGGAAGAAGCCATTGTTTTAGCAAGACAGTAAGAATATTTATTATTTTTCTACATAAACAGATTTGGTAATATATTCTTCATAATAACATAATATGTACACTATAAAATTATATTTTGTTTCTTTTCTAGTACTCAGTTGCAGTTATCTCAGCCAAGAGATAAACTTACAGATGAAGAAATTAATCCATATGTAACTGTGAGTATAATAAAATAATCTTTTTAGAAGTTTATCGCAGTTATATGCAAGATAGCCAACAAAAATTTGTTTGCTTACAGAAAGTAATCGATAATACAAAAAATTGGTCATTAAAAATGACAGCTCTTTGTTGTCGATGCATTTATGAAGCTAATGACAAAAGAACTGTAGAGCGATCAATGTTACAAGCTGAATATTTATTAAAAGAAATAAAAGATTGTAACGTCACAATGGCAGAAAGATTAGACATATTTTTTGCCAGTGGAATGAAGCCTATATGGATGTTAGAAAAAATTTTAGCTAATATCATGCTTAGTCTTGGGTTAGTGAAAGGAGCTTTAGACTTGTTTCTCAAGTTGAAACTTTGGGAAGATGTTATTCTTTGTTACAACATACTAGAATTGAAACACAAAGTAAGATTTTCGTCAGTACAATGTGAAATATTTTTTAAATTGTATTAACATTTTAATGATAGTAATAAAAGGCTTGTTTACACTGCGTAGGCTGCAGAAATTATACTTCAAAAAATTGCTAAAAAACCAACAATTAAATTATGGTGTTTGTTGGGTGATACAACTGGCGATGTAAAGCATTATGAAACAGCATGGAAATTATCAGATGAGAAAAGTAGTCGCGCACAGAGGCATTGGGGGTTCTTCTATTTTCTAAAAAAAAATGTATGCAAAAAATGATGTATCTATTTTCTGAAAGATTATCTTCTCATTTATTATACCGTGTTCTAGTATGTCGAAGCTATACCACACTTACGGTTGTCAGTTGAATTAAATAATATCCAAGAGGATGTATGGTTGAGACTTGGCTTTGCAGCATTGCAAACGGAGGATTGGAAACTAGCGGCAATGGCATACCGACGATATTGTGCTTTAGAGCAAACTGTATGTAAAATAAACTTTATTTCTTTAAAACATTGCATTTGCATAGTTTAAATACCCAACTTTCAATTAGTTAATGACTATGATTTCAATATATGTATATTCTTCTTTAATATTAATTTTAGACTTTCGAGGCATGGAATAATTTAGCAAAGGCATATATAAAATTAGGTGATAAATACAGAGCATGGAAAGTCCTTTACGAGGCGATTAAATGTAATCACGATCGTTGGGAAGTTTGGGATAATTTGATGGCAGTTTGCATTGATTTGGGACAATTTTTAGAAGTATGTTGAATAACATGTAATCTGTTAAATAATATTAAAAAATGGATTTTCTATTCTTCTTTCTATTGTAACTAATTATAATATAAAATGTTTCATATTAAGCATTTATTTATTACAGGTAATAAGATGCTACAATCGCATTTTAGACTTAAAAAATGAGCATTCAGATATTCAGATTTTGGAAATATTAACGAATGCTATTGCAAACGACATTAAAGATGTTAATGGCAAATCATGTAGAAACTTATTACTTCTACCGACACTTCAATTATTTGGCAGAATTACATCTCGTATAACTAATAATTCAGATCTTTGGAGATTATATTCTGAATTAACGATGCTTAAAAGAACAGATGTTGATGATCAGAAAGCTATGCAATATTTACAGAAAGCATATCGTGCTGCTGTATCAGAACCCAAATGGTTTCAAAAAGAAAATACTACTTTATCTGTTCTACAGTTGTGCTGTAAATTATCGAAGACGTATTTACATTGTTCGTCTTATTGTACGGATCATATGAGATCCAAAAGAGCATTACTAGGTAGTGCTAAATTAGCATTACAAGGAGTTATTAAAAAAGTCAAAGATATATATTCAGAAAATGCTGAGGTAATGCAAAATTTACAACAAGTTGAAGAATATTTTAAAGTAATTTCAAGTGAACTAGAAAAAATGTCATCCAATAGCCGATAAATTTTAATAACATTCGGTAAGTGACATACATAACTTATACTCATTGTTAGTTACAATTTTTATACATTATGATAATAATAATAGTAATAATAATAATAATAATAATAATAATAATAATAATAATAATAATATTGCTTAATGCCAAAACCAAAAATTTGAATCAATAAAGTCAAAACTTGACATATTGTTTTTTAATACAGAAAATTGGTCAAGCCGTCTAACAAATACCTTTCTCATTCCAATATCTTGTAATTGTCGATAATTATCTGCAAGTGTGTCTTCTCCGTTCGATAGTATTCTAAATTTGTTCATCTAACAAAATATATTATTATTTATTAAAAAAAAAAAGACACGAATAGAAGAAACAGACTAAAAATGAGATAACATATAATTGTACCTGTCGAAATGAGATTTTTACCGGCGTTGAAAAAATAATCCAAGTTACTACTTCATTGCACGGTGGTGATGTTAACGATCCTTTATAAGTATAAAAAGTATCTGTATCTTTCGGCATTAAAGAAGACAAAGCAATTGAATTATTCATCTGTTTTTTTTTATTTATCCACTTTATATCACTTAAGATGTTTAATATGGGATTAAGATTTTCGTTATCTTGTTCCTGTAACTAGATACTTTTATGATAAAATATAATCGTTTTCACTACATAAAAAATGATATAAAGTCTTCTTACTTGAAAAAATATTCCTAATACAGTAATACCATCCTGATAATTCAAGGCATAAGACAAGTTAGGATAAGCTGCATTTCTGTGAATTATATGCATTTCCATCGGGAATCTGTAATAATATTACTTATAAATAATATATTTATAAAAAATATTGTAAATTCTCTACTACCTAACATTATTGAACGTATGCTCAGATCCTCTGTTATTTTTTGCACCCCAATGAAAATGTAAACTTTCCATTTCATATGTTTGGCCTTTCTTTAATACAGCTCCAAATATATAAGGTATTGGCAATTGGTTTCTTGATATAGTACGATTAATATTTAATTTAACTAAAAAAAAAAGGACACAAAAAAATAGTTGTAAATTTCTCGGTAGCATACAACATACTTACCAGAGTGGCCATCATTTTCTAATGTAATAGGAAGTGGAAGCAAATCATGAAATCCAATCATTTCCAAAGCAGGGAAAGACAGTGGGATAGATTTAGATGATGATAATGCTATTGGAGATTGCAATTTTCCAGCACAAAACTTAAAATGTTGCGCCCACATGTGTTGATCTGAACAATTATATAATCATGTTAGAAAAAGCCATTTTGATACGTAAACATAATTATAAACTTAAATTTACCTCGTTTTCTATAGCCAAAATGGCCAAGAGTAAGTGGAACTAGAAAGAATAATAAGAAACTAAAAATTAATGTTATACTTTTAACTTTAATAGTTTATTTACTTACATAAAATCCATAAAATCATAACAAAACTATACCTCTGCATCTGTAAATATAAATATTTATATTTTAGAGAGAGAGAGAAAGAGAGAATTGTATATGGATTTAGATAAAATTAAGTTTCCTAGATAAATTTACCTTGCCTCTCATCATATTACTGACTGTATTGAGAAGAAGCATGCACTAAACTGAGATGGTCACACAGTGCTATCGTGCTTATTATTCATTCCTACATTTATATATTATGTATTCGAGAAACACATTCTATCATTGAATACAAGCTTGTATAACAAAAGTTTTATCCAACTCAGAATTGAATTTTTCTAATAATAAAAATATACCTATGGCTGAAAAATTTTTTACCTAGTTTAATATACATATCTATATTATCTATGGATAAAATTATAATAAACATTCGAAAAATATGTGTTACAAGAGCGAACATCCTCAAAATGTTTGTTATATTAATTTGTAGATTATATAACTGTGTATATAACCATTTTTATTTATTTACTTTCTTCTTTTTCTTTTTTTAAAATTAAATGCAATTATCTACATTACCATTATTAAAATTTTTGTAATTACATTCATTTTCAACATCTGTTTCTTAAGTGCCATCACATGTAACAACAGGTATAGAAAAGAATAATTTACATACGAAACAGACATATTACCTAATTTCAAGACAATAAATTAAAAAAATATTTGTTAGAAATGTTCTAAAGATTACAAAATATTTCTTATTTTCTATCATAAATTGCGATATTTTATTCTTTAAACAATTATGTGTAAAATCGAAGTATATTATATATAATATATATAATATATAATATATAATATATATATTATATATATAAGTATATTATATATTATATAAATATATTATATATACATATATTACTTATAATATATATATATAGTTTTCAATAATTTAGTAAAATTATACTAATGCATTAATAAGATTATCAATTTTGAACATTATCATTGTTATAATTCTTTATATAAAAAAAATAAAAATAAAAAAAATAACCTTATTAGAGTTCAATATTGAATAACTTCTATAGTGTATGTACAATTATCTTTAAAATATTACATATACCACAGCCAAATGAGTTGTCCATGCAAAATAAGATGTATATAGTTAATATATAATTAATTTGCTCTTCCTTTTATCTATAAATAGCACACAACTCTTAAGATGTAATCTATAAATTATGAACAATAATAAAAGTTGTTATGTTACAAGAGGAGAAAAAAAGAAAATATTTGAATTACTATTACTCATATTTGTGTAGTATTTTCATTAAAAATATGAAATTCAACTGATTCTATATTTCATTTCATTGCCTAATATAGAATAAATATCATATAGTCTTATTCTATGGATCTTTGGATATGTATAATACATCATCAAGAGTGCTAAAAATGTTTAAAAATTTATAAAATTATTATTAAAAATATTTCCGGTAATATATTAGTGACTTACGTGTAAACATTAGACTTTTATGTATCGAAGATCGAAATACGAAAAATATATTAATTAGTAACAAACTCCTTATGAAAATCTGTTGATTGATGATCAAGATACATTTTATATACATATTTCAAATAAAAATTTTTATATATTAAAGAATAAGAGAAGTATATTAATAATTGTAACAATGATATAGATATAAATTTCTTTCAATAATATTTACTGTCTAATTTTAGTTTTTAAGATTTTACAGCACCATTTTAAATAATTCGCGACAACTCTATCATGATATTTTGTGCCGTAGCACATTTTATTATTTTTATAAATCAAAGATTAGTAGATAAAAATGATCTTCTTTATGATTTTTCACTATTTAGTATCGATGTAGTAGTAATTTGCAGAGGTACTGAAAATAATTCTTCCCATGGTGATTGTATTGAATTAATGACAGCCTCGACAGCACCTGTAGAATTAAATTCCAAGGTCCAAGTTTCTTCCGAACCGGCTATCTCATTTAGAAAATTTAAAATCAGTATTGTATCATAGTGTTCCTAAAATTGATTTCATTTCATTTTATGTGGAGTATTAAATACACATCAAATACCTTTAACAATATAATTAATAATAATGAATTAAAGAAAATGAAAGTTAAAGAAAAAACAAAAGGTTCACTTACGATTCCCATTAAATTACTCATAGTTTGTTCTTTCAATACTACCGGGACTACTTTAGTATTTGGTAAAAGCCATTGCATATTATCTTCTAATATTACTAACGTGGATGCTGTTACTAATAATCCAGAGTACTGTGACATTGTAGTAATATTATGATATTTTAGTACTGCAGAAGAATAGAGCGCTAATATTCTGACAGTATCACCACCATTTTCATCTTTTTTAATACGTGATAATAAACTGTGCATTAAAGTACTACAATGTTCTGGTACAGAAAATTCAATTTTGCAACTAGCAGGTAGTGGAGGGTCTGTAGATCAATTTTTTCATTGATAATCGTTAATTCATTACAGTGTATATAACATCATATAACAACATATTATATATATATATATATATATATATAATAATTAATATATATATATATATAATATTATATATATATATAATATAATATATATATATATAATATGTATATATAGGTATGTATAATATAATATATATATATATATATATAATATGTATATATAGGTATGTATAATATGTATATGTGTATATATATATATATATATATATTACCTGTTATATAAAATAAAAAATTCGATGTTCTCTGAAAATCTTGAAGTATGCATAACAAACTAATGCCGACATATTCTTCGTTTATTTTTGTAGGCTGTTCTAACTCTATTAAAATGCCTTGTTTAAATGGTAATGGAGCGATAGATTTCAATTTATCTATAGCCCAGCTGTATTCTTTGTGTAACCAACGCTGTGGATCCTCCCTGTTTTATAAAATGAAAAATATATTTGATTAGAAGATATTTCTAAAATATACATTAAAAATAGATAATAGAATATCCTACCCTTCTGGTCCATCAATTTTAAGGATATAAACTTTTGATGTAGATAAAACTAAACATCCTGGAAATACTTCCTTCAAACTGTGCATCAATATATCGGCCTAAAAATATTAATATTAACGAAATAGTCGAAATAAAAAATTAATAGTACAACAACTATCAGTAAGATTAAGAAGATACCCTAAGAAGGAGAGCGAGTTCTTCGCTTTCATATTCAAAGACATTTAGAATTATATGAAGCTTCACTCTATGATCAACACTAGTGAAATCTGTATAAGAATATTGCACGTTGCTATTTAATGAACTTGATTCTTCCTCAGTTTTTATTAGTAAAGATTTATTACTTCCTATTTTTATACTCTGCAAGAGTTCTAAAAATAAAAGTAATAATACAGTATTTGTGACCAGCATCAGATTATGACTTTAAATACCTCCAAGCATCGTAGATATATTTGTTACAGGTACAAGTTCTTTTTCAGCATTTATTTTGTTATTATTACATTTCTTAACGTTTCTATTTTCGTATGCTGTACAGATACTATCAGTTAATGAGCCTAAAACAGAAGGAATACTTATATATCAATAATTTAACAACAAATCAATAATGTAAAATCCACATAAAAATATAAACCTGAAGAACTACTTTCAGTTAATCCAACCATAATTGGACCAATTGCATCTGTAATTGTTAGAAGTGAAGGAGCAATGCTAACGGATTTTTCTTCCGACGATTTCTTTCTATTAGGAGTTAGATTTGATCTGTACATAAAAAAAAAATAGATATATTATTTTGCTTGTTTGTTTATTTGTTTTTTAATGAGCTATATATTGTGATGAATAACTCAATAGCCACAGATTCGTTACTATTTACTAACTTTGAAGCTTCGTCCAAAACTTCGATACTACTTTGACTTGGATTACTAAGTATTTCTATGTCACTTTCGTATTTTTTAATTAATGCACTTATTGAAGGCGTTGATTCTCTCGATTCTTCTAAACTAGTTGCTGAGCCTGTTAATAGAAAAATTAACATTTATGACAAATAATAAATGATATATTAATTATTCTTTTGAGTTATAACAAATCTTGTTTCTACTATTTTGTGATAATAC